TGGTCCCGTCCTGGGTAATGGTGTCTTCCCTGGCGAGCTGTGTGTTTTCCGCACTCGGGTCGGTTCGCTCGCTCCGGGGCTGGCTCGTGTTGTAATTGATGATCGAGTTTTCGCTCAGTCGTGAAGGAACAGCAGGCGTGTGAGGCGTGTGTGGGGACAAGGGCTTTCCCGGCGAAGAGGATACCGATACAGATGCAGGCGCAGCCATGCTGGGAACGTTGGAGAGTTGCCGGCTGGATGAGCTCGATGAACGCTGCATATGCATCGACGATGTCATGGAGTCGGTCAGCGCATTATTTGACTCCTTCATGAGGTGGAACCTCGAAAGCTGCGCAACTGTCCGGTTCGTCGCCCCCTCGCCCTTTTTGCCGGATTCGAAACTCTTGAGAGTCTTCTTACTGTCCAGCGCCTTGAGAAATTCGGAAATCTGGTCATCGTCAGTCTGCAGAGACCCAGAGCTGCCCCCTCCACTTGCTTCGGCCAAAAGGCCGGATCCTGGCTGGGCCACAGACGAAGACAGACTCTGCCGTCCGCTGCTGCCCTGTTCGTCATCGCCGGCCTTGCTAGCGCCACCGAATGACAGTCGCCCCTTGCGATGAGTGAAGCTGCTGCTGTAGCGGCTGGTCGAGGATGGTCGCGGAGAGCCTACCACGGCGGCCTCGGCCGGTGGGGGACCGCCTCGGAGAGAAGCAGGCATCCCTGCTGTTAAAGATGTGCGATTGCGGGGCTGGGTGAGAGCGTTGAGAGCCGCGGCGCGCGAGGCCGGAGAAGCCGGTGACTCGGAATCCAACGTCCGCGGAATGGGGGATCCCGACAGGGAGCCAGCCTTGAAAGGCTGAAATGAGACAGACGGCCGGCGACCAGTGCTGCCAAAGCCCTTCATAGAAGGTCTCGCCGCGAGGCCGGTGACGGGTAATGAGTTTGGAGGGTTTATTTCGTTGCCTGTTGGGGCGGATCCCGGTGGTGAGCTTGTGTCAGACCCGGGGGGTCTCACGGCTTTGAGAGCCGATATAGGACTGGTGCCCAGGGCACCTTCGCCGTGGAAGGTCGAAAGGCTGCCGTATGTCTGGTGAATATCTGATAGATTCCGGCTTCTCCGGTGAGATGGAAGAGATCCAACTTCGGAGTCATTTCTCCTGATGCTTTCGCGTCGTTGAGGCAGTGATGGCTTGAAGAAGTTCTCGTCAACACCCATGAAACGCGAACTGAGAAGCGCCTCCGAATCGTCTACCCGGAAGTTGCACTCGTTTCTGTATGTCACAGATGCGTGGAAGCGGCCCACGGGTACCTCCAAGTCGCCAAAAACGTACTCGGTCACGACATCCGGTCGCCCGTCGTACAACGGATGCCTAAGCCGGTCAAGACCGCCGGTGTCGGACTCGCCGGTTCGGATGCGGCACCGGGGCTCCAAAGAAGGGTGGACACCTTTCGTCAACGATGACTGGGAGAACTTCCACCCTGGAAGGATCCTTGTCGCAACGAAGAGCGACCGAAAGAAGACGATGCTCTTCTTGTAAATCGTCGGCAGCGTCGGGCCAAAGTCGTCAAGATCTGTGGTGGGCATCGTCTTCAACTCAATGCGCCATCGTTCCAAAATCACCTCCGTGTTCCTTTTTGAGGGGACCAGACGCCCGTCGTCGCTCGAATCAGACGAGTTCAGAGCTTCCATGACGTCCCAGCGCTTTCCATTCTCGTCGACGATGACCAGGCTCTGGCTCGGGGTGAGACGGGAGGTATCGAGATAGGTTTCGATGATTAGGGGCATGGGCTTATTCTCGAAGCTGCCGCAGTTTCGCCAGATCCGGAGCTCCTCCTTGAAGTCGTCGAACTCTTCCGTCTCGATTTGGAACTACAGAGGCGCAAAGCGTCAGTAGCTAGAAGCGAATAGCAGGAGATGGAGAGCGTGCAAGGACCATGACTTACCCATTTGTTCAGCTTCTTGCTGCCGGATCCGCGAGCCGCATATACAGGCTTGAGCTTCATGCGCGATTGCAGGACCAACGACGCGGCCTTGGTGTGAAAGTTCTTGAGGCAAGTCAGTCTTGATACTTGACCGGTATGCTCGCGCGGCTCCTGAACCTACCTGAATTATCTGGTCCAGCTTTTTGACTGCATCGGCAGATACGGTGGGCGGAGACGACATGTCAGCGGTGGGCGAAGCCGTGACGGAATCGCGGCCAGAAGCTCCCGACCCAGCTCTATCACGAGCGCCAAGGATGCCTTCTCTCGGGTTGTTGGTCCGAGTGGGATTTGTCTGGGGGGCGGAAGCAGGAGAAGAGACCCGCGGGGCAGGGCGAGCTTGTTGATGCATCTTGTCTCGGGATGGAGACCGGCAAGGCAAGGGAAGCAGGCGTCTCGGCTGTGGTTGTGTAGCTAGCTGTCGAAGCGAGGCTCTCCCCCAAGGCAAGGATGCTAGTGCGATGCGGTACGGGCTGCGCAGGAGAGGCTATGCTTCGTAGGCGGAGGGAGATTCGCGGTGTCGAAATCGGGTTGGCACCGAACCTGCTCATCCATCCTTCATAGCAAGAGAAACGGGCGGTTCAAGGCGTCGATGCCTCAATCCAGAAGCGTGCGCCCACGGAGGGTCGCTCGATATAATAGAGGGCAACTCGATGCGGCGGCGGAAGGGAGGAAGCAGTGTGGAGGAGGCTATGTGGGAACGGTGGCGGCGAGGCAGGCAACGACGGGGAAAGGCAGGTTCGGGTCGACGTGGAGATGGGGCGGAGGAGGACGGAGGGCGATAGCGATAACGATACTGCTCGAACAGGCCAAGGGCGCTGTGTCACGTTAAGTTAGCAGGCAGAAGTAGACAGGGCTGCAGGGCGGCGGAACAGAGGAGTTAGGCGTTGGCTTCGACCATGGCTGGCCTCTGGTTGTCCAAGGTAGGATAAGGGTGTATAGTATGGTATAGTATAGGAAGGGAACTCTTATGCACGTTCACTAACAAGGCCAACGAGTTGGTCTACTAAGTGCGCGACGTGTGGTGGGTTCCCCAGGAAGGGATGGGAGGACAGCAGAAGTTGGATATGCGAAGCTTGCGTACCGTACCGTCTTGTCGCAGTCGAGTTGGGGAGACTGCCGATGTCGGTGTCATCCGCTCACAGGTTGAGGCTCGTGATGGTCGACAAGTAGCCTTCCGCCATCGAGTCACCTGCTTTGTGGGGCAAAAAAGAGAGAGAGAGGGGGGGGGGGAGAGAGAGTGTGTGTGTGTGCGTGTGTAGTACGTGTGTGCGTGTATGCAGGTATTTGGAGTGAAAGCAGGGCGGTGTAACTAGGTATACCTACCTACCTACGTTGTGTTGCCGCTGTCGGTAGCGGAAAGGCAGGGGGAGGGGGAGGGGGAACGCAGGTTCAGAATGGCGCAAGTGCAGAAAAGATCAGATGGTATATGCTGATTTGGAAAGAGTCGAGGGGAAGTAAAAGTCAAAGTTGAGAAAGAGAGGGATGGATAGGTAGCAGGATTAGGTAGAGAAAAGGGTTGAGAAGAGACGAAGAGGGGAGGAGGTGTGGAGAGTGAGAGAGTGGGTGGCTATGGCGATAAGACGCAATTCAATGCAATGACCCAGTATTGATGATGCAAAGAGGGCAAGAAATGGGCGCAACAAAGGGATTGTTATTGTTAACAATGCCTGGGTATCCTGAGAATTTGATACCTAGGTAGGTAGGGCAATCGAGGAAAGAAAGAGAGAGAGAGAGAGAGAGAGAGAGACGGGGAGGGAGCATAGACAGACAGACATACAGACGTCAGAGAAGAAGGGAAGACAGGGACAAGACAACAATCAAGACTGCGGGTGACATGGATCTCTTGAGCTGCTCCCCAGGTCCAGCGTCGACTCTCGCCAGTGATGTGCGTGCGTGCGTGCGTGCGTGCGTGCATGCGTGCATGCGTGCATGCGTGCGTGCGTGTGTGTGTGTGTGTGTATGGTGTGTATTGTATCCGTAGCATGAGAGCAGAGTCAGGTAGACAAGGCCAGTCAGTGGACAATGGGTCTGGGTCCTGCAGCGGCAGCACTATCCGCTCCGCAAGCGCGTACACCGGCACCCTTAACAAGCATCCGTGAGCTGGGGCGGCTGCTGTAGGCTGGCCTGGAGCATCTCCCTTGCTACCAGTGCAGCCCCATCTGCCCAGATGGCCATGCCATGCTGTTGGATGGGATAAGATGGGATGGGATAGGATGGGACGAGACGAGACGGGGAAGAGAGAGCAAGGGGTTACTGGCGAGTACCTTGTCAGATAGCCTGTAAACAGCCACCATCAAAGTATCCAACAAGTATCGTATTCCAGACCGTTCGTCACAGGATGGGATGCCCCATGGTTGCCGCCTCACCTCGCAGGCGTCTACACTTACACTAGGTACTGCGTAGGTGCAAGCAACTTACCTTTCTACTGCTGCCCTCTTCTTCCCTTTCTTGTTGTATCCATCTACTATGTACTACCAGGTACCTAGGTAGGCAGACACGGTCCAAATAGCATCTGTTTCCCTCTCCTCCGTCCACGCACGGGCTACCCCGTTACATCTCGTCGGATCGCCAATAAACTGACACCAGCACATCATCTCTTATCAGTACCGATACCACCACCACCATCACTACCACACCACACGACACCACACCATGGCCCCCGTCCGCCGACCACTGATAAGTACAAGGCCGTATCGTGGGCCCCCGCATGCGCCTAGAGCACCTCCGCAGATCGGACCCAGCATCCGATGGTACCACTCACACGCTTCCTTTCTCAGACAACCAAACTCCGATCCACAGTCACGGCATGAAGATAAAATCGCCGATGGGAGAGCCCTGAACCTCCTGAGTAACCATGTATGCCTTGCCAACCTTTCTCCCGTCACATGCTGCCACCAGCTGGCCTAGTGTGGGCTAGGTAGTCTAGCTTACCCTCGGGGACAACCCACCCAACCACAATTGCTCTCCTCTACCTCCCTAATCGAGTCTCTGTGACATGCAACCGTACCTGGGCAGGACACAACGGCAGACGAATTGGACCCAACGAGTCTTGTTTTTCTTCTCTCTGACTCTCTGAAACACACACACACACACTCTCTCTCTCTCCCTCTCCTTCTCTCTCTATGTTTCTTCAAGCATCCCGCCATATTGTCTATTACACTGGTTGCCATCAGTCTCGGCCCACAGTGTCCGCCCCATAAGTAAAACCTAGTTGCCAACCTAACCATGTCTGACCGACCCGTGTCTAAATTTCTTCCGGGGCTCTGACTTCCGTGACAACCACCCACCTTCCACACCCCAGAAGCGCCTGTAAACACTACGCAATTAGTTATCACTGGGTGGGTGCCGCTGCCGCTGCAGCTGTCGATGCTTTGCCGCCCCTTCCCCGCCCCCGACTGCTCCGTCCTCGCGAGTTACTCGCCGGCCCGCTCGGCGCCTTGGCCGCGCATCCACCGGCCTCAACACCGCTACTGACGCCTTGCTCCTGCCCCAAGGGCCCGGCGCTCTTGCTCTTGGGACCACCGCGGCCGCGTCTCCCTCGTTTGCTGTCCTTTTGACTCCTCCCCTCCTTCATCTTGTCCTTGGCTTCCCTACGAGCCTCTTCCTCCTGTACACGCCGTGTCTCCTGGTCCCACCATTCTTGAAACTCCTGTTCCTGCTGGATCTCTTGCATCGACCTCTTTGCCACCGCTTCCTTGACAATCTCTTGTTCTCGCTTCTGCTGCCCGATGATGTCCTGCAAACTCAACCCCAAGATTGGCTCGCTCTTGCTCGCTGGCGTCATGTACGACTTGGAGTGCGGCACCAGGTGCTTTGCCGTCGGCTGGCTCGACGATGCACTAGGCACTGCAGGAGAGGTGCTCACGCGGGACTGCCCTGGGAAGCGCGTATCGGGCGATGCGGCTCTTCGGGGTGACGAATTCGCCGAACTTTGGACCGAGAGCAGCTGCCTGGTGTTGGTCGCCAGCGGTGGCACAGCCTTGGCCGAGCCCTTGACCAAGGTGTCCCTCAGCAATGTCTTTGGTCCGCTTTGAACCGCCTTCCAAGGCGCGGGTTTGCTTCGAGCCGCTTCCTTGTCCCAGGCCGCCCTGGGTTGCTGAGCTTCAGCCTCGAGGGCCGCTTGTGCTGCTGCCTGTGCCAGCTGCTGCTTCTTGCGCTCCTTCTGCGATACCTTGGGCTGAGCCGGCTTGGGCGAAGCCTCTTTGCTCTTTTGGGCTGCAATGCCGGCCGACAGGGCCGACTTGGCAGGGGTGTTCGTCAAGACCTGGCGCAAGTCCATCTTTTCAGTTGGGAAAGTCGCTGCTGCCCATGGGCTGCCGGACCTCTGGGCGCCGAACCCGCGAGAGTTTGTCGGCGACGGGCTCGCGCCAAGCTGTCTGCTCGATGGTGGACTTTGCCCCGGGAACTGCGGCGACCCGTCTTGGCCTCTGCCGTCTTTCCAGGGGCCTGGCAGCGATGGCAGCCGTTCCATGCCGGATCGACCCTTGGCCTCGGCAACCCTTTGCGACGGCGAGATGGGAGGAGAGGGCCCTTCGTCGTCCATGTTGAACATCAGGTCCCCCTGGGAGTCCTTGGGTCTCAAGCTGGGACTGAACGACTCGTTCCGGCTAGCCTTGGACTTGCGTCGACTTTTATCCAAACTGGAAGACATGGAGGCGGCCATGTCGTCAAGGCTGCCGAACTTGGTGGTCTTGAAGGACGACGACATCTTCTTGTCGTCCTCTCGCTGACTAAACCGGAAAGCCATCTCCCGCACCCTTCTTCGCCGCTCTTCGTCAATGTCCAGTGCAAGGTCGGGGTCCTTCTCCAACAAGAGCAGCTCAGCTCGGCCGCTCCTCGCAAAGGGATAGCAAGCCAGTTGGTTCTCTCGTACAACGTTGTCCAATTCCTCTAATAGGTCTTCGTCCAAGTCATCCAAAAAGTGATTCTCAAGCAGAGCCTCCATCTGCAAACAAATGTACTCCAGGCCGGCGTCTTTGAACTCTGTAACCGAACAGGCACTGATTTCGTTCAGCAACAGGGCAATGTTCCTCGTGTTGGCAAAGCGCGCAATGATGAACTGGCAGATCTGTGACAGCCGATCGAGCATCAGCTCGTTTGCGATGCTCATCACAGACATGACGAGATCTGAGAAGTCATCAATGTTCGCTGCAGTAGCCTCGTTGAAGATATCAGGGCCGACGTCTGCGTAAAGGTATCGCAAAACGTACTGGAAGGCCTTGGGGTCGCAATGACTCAGATCAACATGAACAAGTTCCTCCTCGTCTAACTCGTCACGGCGGCCTGCGAGCCACATTCCGCCAGCGCGTCCATGGAATAGGCCTTCGAAAAACTCGCATCTTTGGCGCATGAGCTGACTGTGAACTGGCACCTCTTCGCCATCAAGTTCAACCAAGGCATCGGCGTCTTCAAAGTACTTGGTGTCTTGCGTTGCCTTCAGAAAGTCCCTGTCGAGCGACTTCTCGACGGTTGTTTGCAGACGCACCGCTGCTTCAAGCTTCATCATGTCGAGCTTGGTGGCCAACTTCATCAGCTCATTTCGAACATGACGATACCTGTGCGCGAGAGAAGGCGCTTGACGGGTGTGGTTCCAAGCCGGTATGACCGCGTCGTCGTAGCAGTAGACCACTAGGTTGACCAAAGAAAGCAGATCAATCGAGTCGAAAATGATGACCGTTTTGCCATCTTCCTCTCCAATTTTCAATACTTGGGTCATCTCGCACTCCCCCGCATTGCGATACTGGCTAAGCAGGCCTCGCAAAACATAGCTTCGGGCCGTCAGAAGCCAGGAATGAATCGGGATCTTGATATCCGGTGAAGTCGATGTACAGACCTCCATGTTGAGATCGTCCTGCGGACTCAGGTGGAGGAGGAATGAGCGCAGATCGCGCTCCAAATCCGCACTCTTAAGAAGCTCATATGCCAACTCTCCAATCCTGTACTTTAAGTCCTCGGCCTTCCAGAACCCGAGTGTATCCTTGTCACCGCCGCTTGGCGTCGAGGCCTGGAAGCCTCTCAACGGAAGCAACGATGCCACATCCTCCCAGAGAGACTGCTCATCGATATTGATTTGTTGCTTCATGACGTCGCAATCCTTGCGGATTGCTGCGAACGCGCCAAAAGTGGAACTTCTGACAGCCACAGCGTTTGTCACGCTTGGAACACGCTGGAACTTAAAGTCCTTTCGTTTGATGTCCGATGACCCTGGAATGGCGGCATCTTTGGCCTTGGCACGCTTGATGCGTCGCCAGACTGCCCCAGACTCTGTACATATAATGACAGCGCCATGCTCGCCAACGCTTACCGACTTGACGCCATCCTTCCGAGCGTTCCAGACACACTGCGGTGTCGTGACAGCGCCCTTAATCTTGGAGGGGTTCGTCGTGGAAGTGGCCACAGGGGCAGCGTCGGACTTGTGATTCAATGTCATGGTGAACAGGTCGCCTCTTGTGGTGACTGCGGCAATTGTCTCACCGCCGGAAGTAATGCGGCTAACTTGGTTCTTTGCTGAACCATACCTTGTCGACGTGGACGTGGCGAACTGGTGGTTGACAAAAACGTCGGGGGAGGGGAACTTAACAAAGTTGTAGCCGTAACTAGTAAAGACGCAGACTGTACTATCGGCCAGCAAGACTGTGGTCGCCTTGTCGATGGCCGAGACTGCAGCGATAGGTGAGGAGAAGAGCGAGGCAGCAACTTTTCGAGGGTTTGGCTGGACCTCCAAGGACCTCGAATCCGCATCCATAAGGGCCAGCTGGCCAAGGTTCTTGCCCCAGCAAAACAGAGACGTCGACGTGTGGGCTACAGAATGTACGGTGGATGCTGCAACGCCCACGACGACCTCCTTCTTGAGGGTCCCAAACACTTGTCGTGGAGTAGTGCTCATAGGTTCCTCGTCCTGCCTAGCGGGCGACGGCAAGCTGTATCCTAGCTGAGAGCTGCTATTGGATCCCCAGGTCCATAGTTCGCCGGCATCCGTGACTGCCATGGTGTGGTTTTGGCCTAGTGCAACTTGCACCACCTTCTTCTCGGCGAGAGCCCCCTGGACGGGCACAAAGCGGAACTGAGTATTTTCATCACCCAGACCAAGTCGTCCACCGCGGCCGACGCCACAAATGTAAAGGTTCGATACAGGGTCGGTTGTCAATATGGCCGTATGCAACTTGGACAGAACGGCGTCATGAATCCGTAGAGGCCGGTTCCTAATCAAGGCGGGTATTTCCTCCATGTCCATGTCCTCAGCCGTAAGATTCGTCGTCCCGTGTGAGGTTGGCTTCGTCCTTGTAAGGTGTTCCTCGTAGAATCGCCGCACGAGCTGATCGGGCCGTTTCAGAGTAACCCTCTCGGGGAACTGTCGATCATCTTCGTCGCCTACTCCAAGTGAGATGTTTCGGTTGCTTCCGAAGACAAAGATCTCCTCGCCTTCAGATGCACCACCTAGTGCGGCGACGGAGCCCATCAACGCCTGGCCTCCGTCGGAGGCGTCGTCCATGTCAGATTCGAGGTCGGAATGATCGGACCCAGCCGAGTCATATAGGTTTCGTACAGCAATAGTCGAGTTGTACAGGTCGAAAGGGCTATTGCCTTCACGGTCCTTGGTCTTGATCAGCTGGCCAGCCTTGGCCACGGAGCTTCCCAGCGTCTGTTCGGTCAATATGCGACGCTCTCGCTCGAGCAGCAGGCGGGCGACAGCAACATTTCCGTTGTATAGTGCCCTGTGGAGAGCATTCCAGCCACTCTCGGGGTCTTGGACGTATAGGTCGATGGCGGGGTGGTCAAGCAGTGCCTGAACAAAAAGGATGGCGGCGGAATCGGGCGAGGAAGCGGCTCGGAGGAGCACAGTGAGGCCGGCGTGGTCGCGACTGTTAATTTCGGCCTTGCCGAGATTTGAGTTGATATTCTTGCAGGTGGCGGCGCCGATGCCACCGGTCGAGGCCTTGCGTGTCTTGAGATTCCGGGGAGAGGTCCCATAAGGACCGGGACTTCCGCCCAGAGATGCAGCGCCTATCCCCGGACTCCTCGTGGAGGTTTGTGACGCGTGGGCGGCCGGGGCCAGTAGACGCCGAAACCTTTCGACATCGTTTTCCCAGTAATATTTCCAGAGTAAGTGACTCATGGGCAGGGGTGGGCGAGGGACCCTTCCAGCACCTGGATAGCACCTCGCTGTGAGTCTCTTGGATCACGGCTTGTTTAAAGGTGCGGTTCCGAGCGCGAGAAGAGTGTTTTCTTTTTGATTTTGATGAACGAGGCTGGAAGAGTTGAGCCAAGGGACGCGTCAGGTCGGTTGCGAGGTCAGGAAGGCCAAAAAGGAGGGCGGGAGAGGGGTTTGTCGATGTTGCCACCTAGTCGTTGAGGCCGGGGCTTTAGAAGGGCGTAGAGGGAAATTAATTGCAGGTAGCGGGTTGCTGATGAAATTATCAGTGTCGCGGATTGAGGCGCTTGAGTTTGGATGGCTGGACGAGTCGGTTCGAATGGAGGATGAGGGCGAGGACGAGGGCGCGGGTCTAGAGAGGGATTCGAATGGTGAGGGAGGTGGGGTTTTGGCGATGGGAAATCGAAGGCATTCGTTCATTCAAACCGCAGGCCACTGACAGGAGCAGTTGTGAGCGCCAGGGCCCGGGCTGTACCGGGGGCCCACTGGAGACTCGTTCGTTGCTGCGCAGCCATCCAATGGGACGCCCGTTCCGGAGCCTGTGCTCTTGTTGCAGGCCAGACAAGCTTCGCTTCAGGGGGGCGCTAGCGTGCTGCTGTCCAGCTGCAGTGCTGACAGGGAGATAGGTGCACACACAGTACCATACCTTAGGTATGTGAAGCGAAAGGAGGCAGGCTCTACATAGTGCTCTCGCGGATGGTGCGGATGGGTGAGATAGGATACTTGGAATAGATACCTAGAGTAGGTAGGATAGTAATCGTCTTGATCGGTTCGTCCGTATGTGACTAGGTATCTATTCGTGACGTTGCGTCTTCGAGACAGCAAAGCCAAGAAACGTTGGCCTTTCATCTGATGGCTGAGATGTTGTGGTCTTTCTACATAGGTAGGTAGGTAGGTAGGTAGTTTGAGTTGACGTGCCGCCCATTCCTCTGCAACATCACGCATACCATGGCGTTCAAGATGGGTTAAAATTACTTGTTGTTGATGTTGTTGTTTCACTTTCCTTGTCGTTGGTGGTGTGCATCAAACCAGAGTGAGTTAAGCGTAAAATACTACATATGTCATCAGTCAGTGCAGACTACCTACCTAGGTAAGTAGTCGAGTTGTTGCATTACCAAGTAGTTGTCGACTTGGCATTGTGGAGAGCTACCCCGGCCTCCTGTACCCCGCCTGAGTGCTGTACCTGGAACCGCCATTTTGGGCTGCCAGATGCGCGCCACTCAGTTTTGGTCGCTTACTATCGTGTATCTACTACACTACCTCGGTAGGTACCCGGGGAGCTTGGTTACATTGTGTGTGTCCATGAGTAATATCCGGTCCCTTCTCCATCGTGAGAACTTCGAGGGAACGCCTCGTACATACATGAAAACACCGTTTATGACTTAGCAGTCTACTTGAAGCGCAAAATACTTTGTCAGCAGAATCTATACATCTATCTACTGCCTATTGGCTGCCGCCTCGTTGTTGTACTGACTGACTGACTAACTATTGGCAACGCATTTTATCAGTACCTGTGTTGTTAATATTTGGTCTGATCGAAGACGGCGGGAAGGTTGGATAACGCAACAACTTGGATAACGTGAGGGGAAATATTAGTCAGAAACTGAATAAATGCAGCGCTAGGCTAAAAAGGGCCCTTTTTTCATCAGCAGACTTTGCCCGTGCAAAACCTTCGCATTTTACCACGTACCTGGATAAGAATGACTTCTGGGCCCCTTATTTGAGGGGGAAATACTAGATATCTGCCCTTTTCCTATACAAACCGTTATAAGGTCCTTCAGAGGTGCCCATAAGCTATCCAACACTTAGATACAATAATGACTAAGCAAGAGTTAAGGTTATATATCATTAAAGTGTAATAAAATGCGTGTTATTAACTTTTTAAAATTAGGGTTAGGGTTACAGGGATAGTATGGTACATCTTGCCTAGCTAAGGTTTAACTTAATGCGCTTATATAAGCAGTAAGTAACCCTTATTTGAGGTACGAGCTGTTATCCAACTTCGCCGCCGTTGCCGACCAGAGCCTAAACCTACCTTCACTTCGAAACCACGCCGCTTCACACACAACACATACACACACGCACAGAGAGAGAGGGAGGGGGTGGAGGGGAGGGACAGAGACAGAGCACCAATCACGGACATCATACGTCACCAGTGGAGTCTGACTTGCAACCGCCGTTAAGGGACTTCCATCCGGGGGTTAATCCTTGCGATAAGAACCTCCTCGTCCGATTTTCGCTTGATTTACCGAGTAACTTCTTCACTTTACCTAGGTAAGTACCTATCACCCGGTGTATTCCATTCCTATCCCCCCGCCTACCTACCTACGCACTGAATCCGCCCTCTGTTTTTTTTTTTCTTTTTCATTTTCTTTGCGTCTCGGCATGCTCCTAACTGCGCATCCAATTCTCCTTCCGACCAGCTAATCCCGCCAATTCACAGTGGTCTTCCGTCAAAATGTCGACCGACAAGCCCCTCCCCTTCGTCTACCAGTTCGCCGCAGGTTTGTCTCGCAAAATAATCCCGAGATATCGGACCCGGAATACTGACCGCTGCATCCAGGCGCCATTGCCGGCGTCTCGGAGGTCAGTACTTAGGGACACCAACACCATTCCGACATGCATTGACAGACGTGCTCACGCTTCCGCGACTCTAGATCCTGGTCATGTGGGTTCACAAGTCTCGCGTCCCAACCTCACGTGGCCAACTAGCTAACCGTTGCCAGGTACCCTTTGGACGTCGTCAAGACGCGAGTGTGAGCTCCGCCTCGATTCCCTACCTACTGCCCGCCCGCCCGCCCGCGCTTACCGACTGACACGCCGTCTTCAGGCAACTTCAAACCGGAAAGGGTGTTGGTGCCGACCACTACAATGGCATGGTTGACTGCTTCCGCAAGATCGTCCGCAACGAGGGGTACGCGATACAACCCCGCCTAGACTCGTCCCGGAGCCTTCAACTGCTTACAAAACTCCCAGCTTCGCGACCCTATACCGCGGAATCACAGCCCCTATCCTCATGGAGGCTCCCAAGCGTGCGACCAAGTTCGCCGCCAATGACGAGTGGGGCAAGATCTACCGCAACATGTTCGGTGTCGCCAAGATGAACCAGTCCCTTTCTATCTTGACCGGTGCTAGCGCTGGTGCCACCGAGACCTTCGTCGTCGTCCCCTTCGAGCTTGTCAAGATCCGTTTACAGGACAAGGCTTCCGCCAGCAAGTACAATGGCATGCTCGACGTCGTCCGCAAGACCATCCAGACAGAGGGCATCCTGGCCATGTATAACGGCCTCGAGAGCACCATGTGGCGCCATGTCCTGTGGAACGCCGGCTACTTTGGCTGCATCTTCCAGGTCCGCGAGCTGCTCCCCAAGGCCGAGAACAAGACCTCCCAGATCACTAACGACCTGATTTCCGGAGCCGTTGGTGGCACCTTCGGAACCGTCCTGAACACCCCCATGGACGTCGTCAAGTCCCGCATCCAGAACAGTCCCAAGCTTCCCGGCTCGACACCCAAGTACAACTGGGCTTGGCCCGCCGTTGCCACCGTTGCCAAGGAGGAGGGTTTTGCCGCCCTGTACAAGGGTTTCCTGCCCAAGGTTCTGCGTCTGGGTCCTGGAGGCGGTATCCTGCTCGTCGTCTTCACCGGCGTCATGGACTTCTTCCGTACCCTCAAGAGCAATGCGTAAACTCAACTTCACAAAAAGAGATTGACCCAAAGGAAGGATGGAAAGGGACAGAACTGGATTTTACATCTTATAGAGGTAGATACCAACACCGGGGTTTTGGATTCTGGCGCTTAGCAATAATATCATATTTTCGATGCCTGGTTTTGCACCTCACCCAACATGCCATTGCTTGCCTCGAGCGTCTGGGAAACTTCGTAATAGTTAGCAAGAGCAGCTTATCCGCGGAGGTTTCTGATCCCAAGAATCTTGAGCCAGGAAATGTTTAAGTGGCTCGGTTACCGTCTCTTGGGTGTGATTATTGCCGTGACCTTGAGAGTCGGTTGAATAGCGTTGGATCGGGACAAGAATTTGTTATTGCAATTTCAAGGCTGAGTGGCAGTAGTTCTTACTTCCGTAGTGATAGTGCCTCTCATCTCTCCCTGCCTTCTTTCCAACGCCGGCCTTCGGTCTTTCGCTGTCTGACCTAGGTAGGTAGGTATTCATTACAGAACGAGAAACGGATGCGTGTCACTGACAAATCTATAGCTTTATGCCTTACCTTTTGGGAGCTGCGCCCTCTTCCGCACTGCTTCACTCCTGCCGTTGCGACTGAGCAGCTTCTGGCAGCAATAAACCCACTTGCAGATTCCAGATCTCGCACCTCACACACAGCCTTTCATACTCGGCTCTTCAACAAGGCATACCAATCTCATCCATTGCGGACCTTGGTATAGGCCTGTCTCACACTCTATTTTCTCTAACTGCAAAGCCAACCTTCATTTTCATATGCAGACACGTTCACGGGCATAGCGTGGAGGTTGAGTTGCGGTTCATCACATTGGCAGTCACATCGTTCAGTGGTGACTCGCAAGCAATACTCGACCGAGACAGCATATTCCGTCTCCGCATGCTTGCCCGACGAAGCTTCCTGTAAGCAGGAAGATTTGGTGCTCAGGTAAGGAAAGTCTTTTCTTTTTTTCGACATATTACGGTCCTTACCTGTGTCTGGGTTGCTCCTTCCCTGGTTACCGACAATTTCATGCTCATCTATCCCGCGCTTTTGTTGCCTTATTTTAACACATCACTTATCTCGCACACACTACCGCACGCTTCAGCTCACGTCACGTAATTGGCTTTCTACTTCAAATACAGCATACAAATTCGGTCATAGCTAACTAACTCTCGAGATATATCGTTCTGGCTTTGGCAGGTCATTCACGATGACTACAATAGACGGGATCCCCCAGTCACTTACCCTAGCCGCAGGAGGCTTACACACACCTCCGTTCGACAATTCTCCTTCCAACGGCAACCAATCGGCTAGCGTGCAGTCGTTTCCGATCCAAGGAAACGTCATCACTACAGACCAGCAGGCACCAACTGCTGGTTCGTCATCAGCGGAAGACTCTACTCTGGAGTCCACTGTGGAAGAACTTCAGGTCACAGGCGAGTCGCACGCTGCTCTGGCCAGCCTTTCTAGTGGACTGCCGGGTTTTGGGGTCGAGTTACACACCAATGGACTAATCGTCTTAAACTCCCACGAGGGCGAGGGGACACGACAAGACTACAATCCAGACGAAGACGAAGTCGATTCTGATGACGGCGTAGCGGTCTCGGAAGATGGGTTGGAGCTCCACGGCGGTGTCAGAGTTAGTTCTGCCGAACTCTCTTATAGCGATGAAGACGATGCCGAAGTTGCAGACAGAATGGACGAACAAGAGAATGAAGAAAACGAGCCCGATGGTGGAGAGGAAGAATACGATAGCATGTCAACTGCAGGCGAAAATGATGACGACTTCAATCTACCTCTGCCCCCGCCTATCGACCTCGACCGTGTTGGTTGCAGAAGCGAGTGCCGAAGAGATTTCCGTCAGGGTGTTGACTTCTACGAAAAGCAAGTCGAAGCCCTTCAGGATAGGCTTCGGAATCTAACCATGACGAATACCGATCTGAAGACCAAGCTGGACGAGGCGAACCGTCAGATCGATGTTTTGAAGAATCCAGCTGCCAAAAAGAGAACCGGGACAACATGGCATAAGAAACTTCATCTGTCCATCACCAAGCCCGGCCATAGAAACGCCCTACCTTACAGTAAAATATACAAGCTTTGCTGCAAGGAAGAAAATATGAGCTCCAAACCCGGGAACGTCCATCCGAACTTGAAACTTCGGCGGCCTAAGCCCAACGAGCTTCAAGCTGATGCATTGGGCGGCTTGTTAACTGGTAACGCAAGGGACGGCTCGGAATCTGACCCAGAAGAAGAGAATCAAGGACCGGCGGTAGAGGGGCGTGACGGACCCGAGGCGCTGTTCGTACAGAACGACGAGCAAACGGGGATCGAGCAACCTCGGGAGGAATCGGTACTGAGAAACCTCGCATTCGAGCAGTTTCCGGCCAAAATTCAAGCCAATATCTTCAAATGGGTCTACATCCAGGAGGACAAATTGATACACTGCATAAGCCGTCTCGATCCTTACATGCCCCCGAGGAGCCCACTGGGACTGACGTCAACAGAAGCGGTTTACCCCATCGATTCCACCTTTCTGGCAAATCGTGCAACATCACTTATGCCATCAAGCCCAATAAGCATCTTGCTCTCCTTTCTGTCTGCAAACGATGGCACTCCCTTGGTGTTCACGCCTTCTATGGACTCAACACGTTCGCCTTCTCAAGTCTGGGAGAGTTTGGTCGCTTCTGCACTGGCATTGGAGCTGCGCGCCGAGAACGAATCCAGCATGTAGAGCTTCTATGGATGGGAAACCAGTACCTCACACAAAGACCAGTCAAGGAAGGCAAAGAGCTCAGATGGGCTTCCAAACGAACTTGGGATGTTTCTTGGCTCTGCCAGATGCGCCGGCTGAAGAGCCTTATCGTCCATATAGACGAGAGCGGCAGTAGTTATAGAAGACGAAAACACGAGCCAGCTGAATACGTCGACTGGATGGCATCAGTGACCGCTGGTCAGCCTAACTTTCGTCTGACAAGATCTCTCAGGACTTTGCAGGGATTGGATTTCATTTACCAGCTTCGGGGAATGGAGTTCATTCAGTTCTACGACTATGAGATGGGTCGCAAGAATGGCGGCCGTCACCCAATCCGCGACTGGTCTTTCTATATGGACATTGAAAACGTGACGGCGATGCCGAAGACAGGTGATCGGGCTCATGAGGCAGAGTTCGAAAACCTAACGCCAGTCCTTCGCGATTTCGTACTCGCAGACGAATATCTGGAAGCAATCAAGGTCCTTTACCGTCAGAGTGAGGCGTTTGATGCGAAGCATATCTCGCCAGCTAATGGTAAGAAAGTTGAAGACGAACATGCCGATGCTGAGATTCCAGACATTTTGGGGCCTAAGGAAAGACGCAACACGATGGCATCTCGCGCGGTAACTGACATGGAAAAAGATGAAGACGAAGATGACGATATTGAAATGGCGGAGCGAGATGAAGACGAAGACGATGATGTTGAGCTGCTAGACATAGCGATACCTGCCGAAAGACGTAACGCGACAGCATCTCGGGTGGTGATTGGCGCGGAACACCCCAATGGCGGTGGGAAGACTACTGCCACGAAGAAACTATCCACCGCCTTTAAAGTGGGATATGATAGTGCTGAAGATGGCTCAGGCACCGAGGATAACGATACCACTCCAAGAGCGCATGTGTTCAACGCCCGTTCTGGATCGGCTTTCTCGAACGCTTCTACCTTTGGAGAAGACGGTATCGGGAGCAGCTACGATGATGGGGTTTCCGTGGCGGGATCGAGTAAAGAGAAACCCATTGATCTGGACTCTTTCGAGCCCGAAAAGACACCACAACCGACCCAGATCCAGCACGAATTGGACGTGAAACGTGAGCCGTCTCTGGCGGTGTCTATAGGCCCATATTCGTCCCGAGAGAGCGAGAGATCTTTCGACAGCGGCAGTGGCCTCTTCCTTCGCTCGCCAACAATGTCTCGCCCCCGCACCCAACGCGAGTCCACGGAGATGACTGAGATGCTACGGAAGAGGGGATTTGAGGATTCGGAAGTACGAAAGATCATTGACTTGACTGAAGTCGAGGATGGGCCCTCGTCCATGAGTACTGGATACCCAAGTTCGTCTCAAACCGGTTCCACTCAGCAGACGCATCTTCATCCACCAGCAGCATTTAATCCCTTGACGCAACTTAGTACCAACCCGATTCGTGGCCGTCCCGATAGCGAGGATGAAGACACCCCGATTTACAAGAGACCTCGGTGGTTTTAATTTCCAGATCGGGCATTTCTTTCTCTTCGACCATATTTAAGGGGAAAGATGATCATTTTCTTTTCTTCATCTTGTCACTTTACAGAATTATCCAGCTCTGGTCCATGAGGAGCAGCTGCAATATTTGCCTTCCTTGCGTTTCGGCAGCGATATTCCGACTTTCATGGCAGTTGGGTTTCGCTCTAATATATCAATGAGCTTTGCGATGTATGGCGGCAACTATTCCTTCCACGATCTTCGACATATCGGCGAAAGTACCCACGTTGCATTTGGGTTTGATGATTTCCAGCGGCGACTCGCAGCATGGAGCGAGAGGCATACTAGATGAGGTGTGAAAGGCGGTTTGCGAACTCAAAAATCGGGTTATCGGCGACTTGACAGAGCCGTCTTGGACTGGCCAGGCAGTCCACAATAGTATTAGACAGAGCCATGGTCTGATATCCTATCGGACCACGCCGCTTGGCTTGCACAGACAGATAGAAACCCAATAGCGATTGAACTTTCTTGAACTTGGTGGTATATCAAACTCCGCAGAGACAAATCAGAAAGTGATCTTGGTGCCCTGGAAGGCAGCCATAGTCTGCTCCTCTTTGGCCTTCTTCCTCGCCTGCCAACTGGGATGCAGGACACCCTCATCATCCCTTCTCGGGGTCGGCCTCGGCTTCCCCTCGGGAGCGGCAGCCCTCCGGCCGTCACCTCTCCTACTCCCCTGCTTGGTGCCCAACGGGTTTGACACGCCCTTCTTCCACGGCTTCCGCGGCCCGTCCTCCTCCCCACCGACGGCACCCCGCTTCATGTCCCACCCGCTATCCCGCGCGCCGCTTCTTTGCGCCGCAGTCTGCTTTTTGACGTGGTTCGCCTGAGCGCCGTACTTCTTCTCCCAGATGGCTTGCCGCTGTTTCTGCCCCAGACGCTTCTTGGGAGGTGCGAGGTCGAGGTCCGACGCCTCGGACTCGGAGTTGGAGATGTACCCGCCCATGAGCGAGGGTAGGAACGTCGTCTCCCCCGGCCTTCCGGTGGGTTTCTTGGCACGAGCCTGTTTCTTCTGTTTGCGCGATGCCGGTTCGGGGGAGGGGGAGAGGGAGACATTGGCGGCATTGATGCGGCGTTGCCTCTCCGAGTCCATTCCGCTGTCTGAATCATCTTGGCCGACTGCGTCCTCATCCTCTCCCTCTCCTTCTTCATCGCTGTTGCTCTCGTCATCTGTGGTGTCTCCGTCTGCGGCTTCGCCCAGTAGGGCCTGGTATTTGGCTTTCAAATCCTCGCCGCCGCTCCCGTCTTCCGAATCCGAGCTGCTGAGCATGGCCTCAAACTTGGCCACGGCCTTTTCCTCGCCGTCCTCGTCAAGCTCGACCTCTTCGATGTTCTCGTTCTTCTCTCCATCAGAGGCGCCGCCCTCGGGAGGGATCTCGTCGTCCATCTCGTCAAATGGGTTCTCTTCCTCGCTAACCTCGGCCTCGGCCTTGGCAGACACGTCCTTCGCGTCAGCTACCTTAGTCTTCTTCGCTTCTCTGGGCTGGCCTTCCCCCATCTCATTCTTATCTTCAGCAGCGGCCTTTTTCCCCTTCTTCTTCTTTTCCGGTATGGGGACATTCAGGACCAGACAGACGCCTCGGACCGCCTTCTCGATGGCTTCCCGGACATGAATACGCTTGAATAGGCCGCTGGTGACATTGTGCAGAGCGTCCTTCTCTTCCTCGGACAAGTCTGGCTTTGGAATGCCTTGTTTAATCGATTCGGGGAGGGCGGGACTTTCAGCGATTTGCTTGACTTTAAGGAGCGAGGAGTGGAGGTGGGCGTCGGCGGTCTGTTGGAGATCAAGGGACTGAAAGGTATGTTAGCGACACTGACCGGCCTTGGGCGCCGTTAGGTTTGAGTTTTACGCACCTTGAGCACAAGAATCTCGCGCTCCAGCCTCTTGACCTTGTCGGGCGTCGCCTTGTCGTCGTGCAAGCGTTTGCTGTACCGTTGACGTTCTAGTCCTTTCGCGCCCTTCAGGGCACGGAAGATCTCTTTTCTGTAGTCGGCGAGCTTCTGCTCAATGTCATCCTCGCGTGATCTCTTTCTCTTGACCATTTTGGCCGGCGGTTTAATTGTGTTTGGCCTCTTTCGTTGTCGTTTGAGGGGGAGGTGGGTGTCGGAAGCTTCGAAGCTGGCCGGCGGAGAACAAGAAAAAAATGCGGTTCAGATGTTGAGTATCCGTACTCCGTATTAGAAGACAATCGATAAGGCGGAACGCTTCCGACGACCGTGCCCGTAATTGATGGGTCGCTGCTCGTGCTTGTTGGAATGGTCAAAAACGGAGACATAAACTTTGTCTGTTATCTGATTGGCCGTTATGGTCGACGTAGCGACATGGATGACGTTCCTTCTTTGGAGGGGCATCCAAAACACCCCGCCGTTGCAGATGCCTACAAGTGAGCCTCGTTGATTGCGCTTTTTTGCTCGAGAGATTAGTATTGTTAGTAATTCCTTCAATAGCTATCAAACGCATGAGTAAGCCGGAGCAGCGGCGTGAGGAAGCAAAAATTCGCCTCGCACGTAACGAACAAAGTATGGCGGAAAGTAAGGCCGAATTGGCCGCTCTTGGAGCTGGCACTCTGTTTGGCGTCAACGGCATGATTGCTGTCATAACGGGTGGCGGTTCAGGTAAGTGCTTCATTTGCCGTGTCCTTAGCGGAAGCTGACAAAACGGCAGGCATCGGTCTGATGATGGCCAAGGCCTTGGCCGTCAACGGTGCCCAGAAGGTCTACATCCTGGGCCGGCGTAAGGAGGTCCTCCAGGAAGCTGCGTCTTCTGTCGGACCCAATGTCGTGCCGTTGGTCTGCGATGTAACTGATAAATCCAGCCTCAAGGAGGTGGCCGCTGTGATCGAAAAGGAAGTCGGCTTCATAAACCTCTTGGTCTGCAATGCCGGTGTCGGTGGGCCCCAAGTCAAGGCTCCTTCGGCAGAGATGACGGCTTCCGAGTGGGCAGAGCAACACCTTGAACACGACATGTCCGATTACACGCGAACCTTTGATGTAAATGCCACCTCGGTGTGGTACACAACCATGGCATTTGTCAAGCTGCTGGACCTCGGCAACAAGAAGGGCAATCTATCGCAGACATCGCAGGTTGTCTCGACCAGCTCCATCGCTGCCTTCAACAAGAATGCTCCCGGCGGTTGGGCGTACGGTCAGTCCAAGGCAGCCGCCACTCTGCTTATCAAGCAGCTGTCAAGCAACCTACCTCGCTGGGACATCAGAGCCAACTGCATCGCCCCTGGCTGTGAGTCTTCCCTTGGGCCTCGTAAGAATAACCGAACTGACATACGACTAGTGTTCCCGAGTGAGATGTCTGCGCCTATTGCGAAACTCTACAGCAACGACGGCAGCGTTCCCAAAGAGATGGTGCCTCTGCAGAGGATGGGCGACACTCAAGATCTGGCGGGTGCAATGCTGTACCTCGCATCTCGAGCTGGGGCCTACTGCAATGGCACGATCATAACGGTTGACGGCGGTAGACTTGGAAACTTCCCCACGACATGGCTCGCTTAGGTTTGAGTGGGTGTTAGTAGATACGTGCTTTGCTCGCTTGGTAGATAAAAAGACGGTCAAGACCCCGGTCTAAAGCAAGAACCTTGGGTTCGCCCACTCGTAAGTAACTTAATTTGGGCATGCAATTTGACGTGTCCGGCCATGAATTGATTGCTAATGGAATGCGTGCTAAGAACGAGCGCTGCAAATGATGTTTGACAACGTTGGATTTCCATGGCTCCAATGTCAATCAGGGGTGTATGCGAGTCAATCAACAGGCGTCACAACCAGGACCTTGGCTCGGTGCGTTCAGTGAGAGTGAAGATGTGGAGAACTGAGAACAGGCACCGTACTCAGTAGGTAAGGGAACCTGATTTCGGAAATACATCGGCTAGCGCGCCGGCGTACATCCCGACACACCTCGAATACCTCCACGTACCTAGAAAGAGGGGCAAAACGCAGAACGGGCGTGAAGACGGTACGAATACAAGTACAGTCCAAGAGCCCAACTGACTGTGATCCAGCCTCCCCCACATTCTGTTGTTCCCTGCCCTGTCTGGCTAGGCTCATGCAAGTGGCTTAGCCTTTGGGCGCGACACCTTGTCTCTGACTCTGGTCGCTTTGCCGCTTGCTTGCTTGCTAAGTTGCTTGTTTAAGCTGCGCGAAGCTTCAGGCCTCGTTGCGGTCCGGCTTCAGAGTCGCTTTTGTGCTCGTTTTTCTTGACGGGTTGCGTGCTTGGCTGCGATCCTGTCCGTCACCCGTTTTCTGGCATCAGTTCTTCGTCTTTCCTCCCCCCCAAAACTATGGTCATTTGGGCAAGGAAACGCAGACCAAAATGGACGGAGACTGGGACGAGGTGAGTCGGGTCCCGTTTGCATTACCCATCGTCCGCTCTCGCGACGCTCCCTTCTCTCGGCAGACGTGCCTCAGCTGGAGTTGCCCACCAGGTGCACCCTTGCGCTCGGCGCGATCGCCTGCACACACGCTGCACTGGTTTTCCGTATCGCGCACTTGACTAACCATCTGGAATGTCAATAGGTCGCTCGCATCCCCTTTCCGCCTCCGGGCGTCCACGCCATGGCGACGCCCGTGACGACCATGACGTTTGACACGGCTCAGGACCTGCTATGGACCGGGAACGACTACGTATGAGCCATTCGAGCCAGCCTTCGTCGCGAACGCATACTGATGAGCTGTTAGGGTCGCGTCACCTCCTTCTACGGCAGCGAGCTGCAGCGATACACCTCCTTCAAAGCACATACGACACCTGACGGCCCTGTGAGGCAGATCCTCGTCAACGACAAAGGCGTTGTGGTGCTGGGGTCGAGGGATATACACATGGCCTCCCGAAAAGGCCCACCAATATGGCATATTAGGTGCGAGACCTATGCTCCGACCGCTGCATCACTGCCTGACACCGTCAACACAGACACGATGATATGAAAGACTTACGATGCATGAGCTTTACGTCCAAGGGGACCTCCGAAATTCTAGTGGCCGGATTCCAGGACACCATGTTCGTCGTCGACCTTGCCAAGGGCGAGGTGGTCAAACAGGTTTGTTCGGCATACATGAGACAATACGGCCCGTCTTGCTGATGATGCTGCTGAATATAGGTTCCGACCGCGCGCTCATATAAACTCATGAAACGAAGCAGATACATCTGCGCTGCCACCAAAGACGGCACCGTTGACCTGATTGACCCCGTCAACTTCTCGGTTGTCAAGAGCTGGAGCGCTCACTCGGCCCTCATCAGCGACATGGACGCCCAGCATGACTTCATCGTCACCTGCGGTTATTCGCTGCGCCAGGGCCAGAACTACATGTTGGATCCTTTCTTAAATGTCTTCGACATCAAAAAGATGTCGTCAATGTCGCCGATTCCGTTTCCCGCTGGTGCCGCCTTTGTCAGGATGCATCCGAGAATGTCAACAACGAGTATCGTCATGTCTCAGGGTGGGCAAATGCATGTTGTTGACCTGATGAATCCAAACACTAGCAATGTACGACAAGCCAACACTATGACATACCTTACTATGTTCGAGATTGCGCCTTCCGGGGAGGCTGTTGCTTTGGCGGACGCAGAATACAACATCCACATCTGGGGGTCTCCTTCGAAACTCCGCTTCGTGGACTTCGCGTCACAGACAGAGTTCGCAACCCCCGAAGAACCACTGCCTTCCATAGAGTGGACTGCTGATACGTCAGTAACTCATGTTCTCAAAGTTGTCCATCTATTATTTCTGGTGCTGACCTACTGCCAGACCTCTCAACTCCGTCGGCATGCCGTACTACAGGGAGGTCTTACTATCCGCCTGGCCAGATCTCATCTCTGACATTGGAGCTCCCCCTACCAAGTTGGAACCCCAATTCGTTGCGGGTCTCAAGCAGTCGGAGCTGGGCTTGTATGGACGCAACACCCGGGGTCTTCGCAGAAACCAGGTCGAAGACACCCGGAATCTGGACAAAGGGAACGCCTCGGGGATTTTGGCGCCGAAGTTTCTCAGCGAAAAGGCGAGAGAGTTTGCCAAAACCCCGGTTGGCAATGCGAGTGGCGATGACAAGGTTGATGACGTTGCCACTTCTCTTGCGCAACTGGACATCGATCCCACGAAAGCAGAATGCCCTCCAATGTACCGCAATGTCGAGATCAAATACAGCAAGTTCGGCGTTGATGACTTCGACTTTGGGTATGATAACCCGTCTCCCAGCTCAAACGTCTTGCTTGCTGACATCCCTTAGGTTCTACAACAGAACGCATTACTCCGGACTCGAGATCCATATTGCAAACTCCTATGCAAACTCCCTGCTCCAGGTCATGCACTTCACGCCGCTAATTCGAAACATGGCCCTCCAGCACGCAGCCACCGCATGCGTCGCTGATACCTGCTTGCTGTGCGAGTTGGGTTTCTTGTTTGACATGCTCCAAAAAGCGGACGGGTCCATTTGCCAAGCGACCAACATGCTGAAGACTCTTAGCCACCATCCCCAAGGTTAGTGCTTCTTTCCTTCTTTTTTTTCTTTCTCTTCTTGCTTTTTTCTCCCCCCTTCTTCTCGGCTCTTCTTTTTTTTTTTTTTCCTTTTTTGAATTCGAGAAGCAGAAGAGGACACTAACACGCTGGTAGCTGGCCCACTTGGTCTTCTTGAGGAAGACCCCAATGGGTCTACTTTGACGGTGATGTTACAGGGTCTGACGCGGTTCCTCTTGGACAAGATAGTCCAGGACTTTCGATCCATCCCGCCCGGCTCGAATGTTATGGAACAGGTATGTGGCAAGCGGCTGCATTGAATGCCGGGGTAACTGACCAGTTGAAGATGCTTGCGACGTCAGCGACAAGTTCAATCCGATGCATGAACTGCAGAAGCGAATATACTCGGCCTGGGTCCACCTATGTGAACGACTTGATGTACCCGCAAACAACAGGGGTGAGTTGAGGTTCCAATTTTTGCAAGTCGTCGGACTTCCAAGGGTCTTCGTTCTTGGCTGGAGCAGGTGATGGGGGTACTTTGCGCGCTGAGCTCTGAAATGTTTGCCAACAGCCCGCTTTCAGTTCACAACACTAATCGCGCATAGAAGAATACGGGCCGCAACCAGAAAACACCAAAAGTGACGTTTTCGCAGATCCTTAAATCAAGTGTCGAGAGGGAGACAACATCCAAAGGCTGGTGCAGTCGATGCCAGCGTTATCAGACCATTGCAACTCGGAAGACCATCCATAATATTCCCGCAGTGTTCATGCTGAATACTGCCGTCGGAAACGCAGAGCAAAGGCGTTACTGGTCCACGCCGGGCTTCCTTCCCGAGGAGATTGGCGTCATAGTAGACCACGGCCAGTTCTTTTGTTACGAGGGAGAAGACCTGAAGCTCCACCTCCAACGTGGAATCCACAACATTACTGTGTATTCGCTCATCGGAATGGCCATGAACATCGACCCCGGTCCGGGCCAGAAGCCCCATTTGGTTGCCATGGTCAATGGTAAGATCTTTCCTTCGGATGTGTGAAATCCAAGCTGACTGCGATGTAGTCGCCCATGCCCAGCCCACAGCACCGGAGGCAAGCCAGTGGCATCTGTTCAACGACTTTCTCGTTCGGTCTGTGAGTGCTGAAGAGGCGCTTTCGTTTCACCCCAGTTGGAAAATGCCGTCGGTCATAGCATTCCAAGTCAAGGAGGCGAACAACAAAATCGACATGGACTGGCAAAAGAACATCGATACCTCGCTGCTATACGAGGACAAAAAGTTTGAGCCCCCCCTGAGAGTTTCCCCGTCACGGATGGCTCGCTGACCACAACTAGCCCCCATATTGATGGCAAAACTTATCGCGCGCTCGACTCGGCCAGTGAACAGCCCGGGCCTGACAGCATTGTGGCCCTGGACACTGAGTTTGTTGCTGTTCGCCAGCCCGAAATCGAGATGAACTCGGATGGCGAAAGAGAAACGATCAGGCCGATAGTGTACGCTCTTGCGAGAGCTTCCGTCGTCCGTGGCCAAGGGGAGGACGAAGGTCTTCCCTTTATTGATGATTACATCTCCATCAGGGAGCCCATTGTCGATTACCTGACGTCGTACTCTGGTATTACCCACGAGGATCTCGATCCCCGCGTATCGAAGCACAACCTTGTACCCCTGAAGGTTGCGTACAAGAAACTCTGGATCCTGTTGAACCTTGGCTGCAAATTCCTCGGCCACGGCCTCAAACAGGACTTTCGAGTGATCAATATACATATCCCACGGTCTCAGGTCATCGACACCATTGACCTGTTCTTCTTGAAGTCTCGTCTTCGGAAGCTCTCGCTGGCGTTTCTGGCGTGGTATCTGTTGAAAGAGGACATTCAGCTGGAGACTCACGACTCGATCGAAGATGCCAGAACGGCGCTGAAGTTGTACCGGAAGTATTTGGAGTTCGAAGACGCGGGTGTATTGGAGCCAATGCTGCAAGACATCTATCGTGCTGGACGAGACGTCAACTTCCGACCACCTGCTAGAAGCGGACAGGCTGCGGACGTGCAGAGGACAGACACACCGCCTCCCCTGCCTACCGACGGAACAGCCGTAACTCCGTCTACACCGGGTGCTGTTAGTATTGGACCATCGTCGAGTGGCGGGTTCGGCGCAGGCTCGACTTGGACGCCCGGAAAGGGGTCGCCGCTTCGATGAAACGGAAGACGCCACCGGTAGTCTAGCACTCGGTTTAGGGGGCTGCTTCTGTAGGTTTCGAGAACCACTAGGATCAATAAAAGACTTATTGGACTTGCTGTGACGGGTCTGTCTCTCGCGATGACCGTATCGTTGCTGGAAGGGGCATGTTCTTGTCGTCGCCATCCCGCCCGATGGCTTATTCCTGTCGGTTCGTGGATGGAACTATGTGATGCCTCTCCAAAAGAATTGTTTGATGACCTTTGCGTGTGCCAGGAGGTGATCTGGGGCAGGCTCAACTTGGTTGCGGAGGCAAGCACTTCTCGGTGAGTGAAAACTCTGTCGTTACTGACCCAACTGAGGTACAAATCACACCAGAACGAAGCCGGAAGTCTCGGGGTTTTCAGAAGCATATTTCAATATCAAGTCAAGACATAGTGCTGTTGCCTGGGTGGGTTTCCATCCTCGACGTGCGCTGCTATTCCAGACCAAATCCGGCCTTTTCTCGACTGACTTTACCATTGCCCGTAATGTGTCAAGGTCGCGCAACCAAGTCACTCATATAGAGTGATGTACCGGACAACAGCTTCCTCGTGGTGCACATTTTGCGATGGCATCTCGGCCGCGCGACGCTTCATCAACGCGCATCGACGACCGATACCATTGCTCGACGGTGCTCGCTCGCACCGCCCACGATCTCCCACGTGCCAAGAGGTGTTTTTTACCTACAACGCGTGACAACTCGCCACGACAAGCAATTTTCACCGAGAAGATTTTCGTACAGGTTCATTTTTGCGTTAGATACCAAAAGACACGCTTTTCGCAATCCCTCCCCAACTTGCCTACTTGTAATTGTCCCTTTGACTCTATTTCGATACTAAAACGCGCCCCCACGCCTCGACCTGATTCGGCCTAGCCCTCTGATCTGTTATTATCCGATTTTGCTTCTTTGAGCCTAGCGTTCAGCCCTACGACGCGATTTAAGCTTATTCCACCCTGGTGTGGGACTCTTCAGCCAATCAAATCTTGGTGATCCGGCGCGACCTTGCTGGCTCCACACAGCTATTTAATCCCCCCTCCTCTCCCCCCCCTCCAACTTCCCTCCTCCTTCTCTCCTCACGGTTTGACTGTTGATTTGTACTCTGGCTTCAGCTATGATGTCTTCTCACTTCTCGCCTGTGTCGGATCCCGCCCGCCCGTCTGAGACCGGTCCGGATTCCAGGGTTAAAGTCCCTGTCAACACCAGCTCGACTTTTGTCGCCTCGCTTGGTTCCCTCGCCCTTCTGTTCGTCGCTTTGGCTGCGTCCTACCTTCGCCCTCTTCTCGCTCCCTTTCGGGAACGGATCAGGTATGTTTCTTCTCACATGGGGCCTCTCTCCAATGGGAGCCACCTTAGGTGATTGGCTTGCGTTTATTAACCTTGTCCTCTAGCGGTTTTCTCTTCGCTCCGGCGCCCCCCGCGATGCCTGTCGTTAGCTCGTCTCCTCGTCAACAACAGAATAGAGCTTCTCGACCCTCGATCACGGCGCCTTCTTCTCCCTCTCTTGGTAAGTCCTCTCAGGACTTTTGTGCGCGCTTCACCGCGCCTGTTCCCCCTTTCTGTACCCCTCCCCGTCTGTCTCCCCGAGCGTTCACGCTCAGCATGTCTCATTACATGGGTTCCCTTCCTCGAAGGAGCCCTTCCCTTTCTTGTTCATCTGCCCCTTCCCCGTCTGTTTCTGTTGTGTCCTCGCACTGTCTCCATGACCCCTTTGTCGATTCCGCTTCCCCTCCCAGCCCTGTGCCCAACTTTGATCAGCTTATGGCATTCGCCGATAAGCAGATCGATAAGGCACGCGAGGCTCGCCTTCGCCAGCCTCGCTCTTTCTCTTCTTGTTCTTCTGCTTTCTCTGTTTCCGGTTCTCTGGCTTCCCCTTCTCTTTCTGTATCTGCCCCTGTTTCTTCTTCTGCTCATGTTTCTCCTTCTTCCCCCGTTGTTTGCGTTTCCTCTGACTGTTCCTTGATTTCTGTCCCTTCTTGTACCCCTTCTCCTCGCGAGATGGATACGATCGATCGAAGTGTTGAGCGCATGCGCCTTCGGGCAATTGAACTCGACCGAGATTGTGACTTGAAGCTTGCGCAGCTCAAAGCTCTTGTGGCCAGTGGCATACCGACGAAGCCGTCGGCTGATAAGAGTCACGACTACTCCACTGACTCCCCAACCCCTCACACCATATCGAACTGGGATTCCACCCTCGAGGAGGATCGCCTCAGTTCCTACTCCTTCACGCACATGCCCACACCCTCTGCCCGCATTCCTGCAGCCTTGGCTGAATGGGATACTTCTTCGGCGTCTACCCCTGTTGCTTCTGTTTCTTCCCCTTCTGTTCTTTCTATTTCTTCTCCTTCTCTTCATCCTGTTGTTCCCTCTTCTTGTTCTCCTGTTCCTTCTACTCCTGTTGCTTCTGTTCATCCCCTTTCCATGTCGCCTGACCCAGTTCTGCGCAAGTTTGCGCGGAATGTTACCAAAGCTCACTTCGCCGCTCGTGGTGAGGAGCTTCCCCCTTCCTGGACGCCCCCATCCTTTGCCCATGGTAAGCCCAGCCCCCCCAAGCTGCCGCAACCCCTTCCCGTGTCCCCTCGACCCCCGCGCCGCCTTGTTTTCATCAGCAGACGCTCTCGTCGTGCTGGTCGTTTCCTGTTTTCTGAGTCCTGATTTCTGTTTCCTGTTTCTCATTTCCTGTTCCCTGTTTCTTTTGTTTCTGTAGTCGCTCTTTATTCCCACCCCTCCCCCAACATGTCGACAGGCAGAATATCATTAGTCCCTTGTTGCGGGAGGGTAATTGTACTCCCGTCACTCTTTATCCGGTTATCGCCTTTTTCTCCATCAAGAAGGTAAGTTCTTCCCCATCAACTAACAAGACTCCAATTCGCTGACTTTGGGTGCGCACGTTGTCCACGTTAGAGGAACGGACAGAAAGGTAAGCAACTCCCCCTCTCCTAGCTATTCTTTTTCAAGATGACTAATATGATGACACGCACATTTGCCTGCTCTTGTGGACAAACTCGATGTGGTAAACCAGTAAGTGACTCTGCGCTTCTGCAACATCATCATTGACTAACTTGATATAAACCGTGCGCTAGTGTTCGTTTCCTATCAACGATTGCAAAGAAAGTAAGTGCCCCTTTCCAGTACTAAGCTGTCGACACCAGCTGACCATTTGGCAATTGCTCTCCGGGACGATGTTTTAGTGTGTTACGACTATTTACTCTTCCTGCACCGTGATTGCACTCACCATTGTTATCATTCTCATCATGTCCAATTTCCTCCCAACTACATTCCGTCCACGATGGTGATATACGCGTCATGCCCCCAACGTCCAGATCAGAATGGTTTTCACGCGTCTTCTTTCATAGGCCTAGTATTGATACAAGTCTTCACTGAAGCCTGCATGCGTGGTTGCTGTTTTAGTTGCCACAGCTCAAAATCATTCTGCGCAAACCTGATTGTGACTGGGACTGAGATGACTGCCAAGACTGAATTAAGGGTGCAGTGCCACGGCACAGGCAGGCTTGGAGCATCATGAGTGCATGCCCAAGCTCTGCTGCTGTCTGCAGGCCAGAAGATTACGGTAGTTGCAAAGCTGGAGGCAAGAGAAAACAGAACCAAGGCCGCCGCCGGGATACGAGATTACAACTTACAATGACGAGATGTGACGGCGTTGTGCCAGGCCTCGACGTGCCCTAGAAGATGGTGGCCCAAAACGGTTCGGGCATTCCAGACCTGCTCCTACTGGAGGGGGCTACGGAGCACCCATGACATAAAGATGTGACATTCTGGCCGGATGACAGCAACGATGCAGCAAGACCCACAGACAGACTATGTTGCTTCGTCAATGTCAACTCGGGCATAAGACGCGGAGACCGAGCCAAGTTGCCGGAGAAGGAAGGAAATGGCTCAAAGGCGGCATCCAGACTGCTTGCCGGCTCGGTGCCGCGAGACGCGTGATAAGGAAAGCAACACAGCATTGCCGAGCCATGATGTATCCCGGGCCAGCCATAGGCAAGCCGGGAAAACAAACGCACCCCACCCCCTCCCCCCCAATCCTCCCGGGACGTGAGAAAGGGCCACAAGGGTTTCAAGGGGGGGGGCTACGAGAGGATGTTGAGACGCTCGGATCATGACTTGCGGGGTGAAGCCGCGGAAAAGGGTCGAGCCAAAAGCGAGGGTTTTCGGCCCAGGGTCAAGAGAGAGACGCGGGAGTATCCGGGATGTGGTTGAGTGGGTCTGCAATCCAAGATAAGGAAGCACCAGGCCCAGGGGACGTGGAGCAGCAAAGGACAAGGGAGGTCCATTTTGGGTTCGATTCGAGTACCCGAACTGGGTCCCGCGTGCGTCAGCGTTGTCATCCAACGTTCCTGCAAGGCTGATTTGTCGAGGAGGAGGCAGTAGGTAGGTCCAAGGCGGGCGGGGCTTTCAACGAGGTCGTTTGGAATACGGATACAGGGCCCGAGACGGGGTGCGGCGAGGGGTGCGCAGGGTCAAATCAATCAGAACGGTGCCGGTGGCGGATTGAGCCGCCGGGTGGGGGTTCCGGTTGTCGCGCTTCTTCTTGCGTCGGGTCATGGGTGGTGATTGTGCATTGCACGATCAGACGGTCAAACGTCATGCGGCGGCGGGATGGGACGTAGGAAGATTTGGGGTGGATATTGGGTTTGTGCAAGGGACGAGTGGCGGTTGGGAGAATGAATAAATGTCGCTTCGTTGGGGTGGTGCGGATAGGGCTGTAAGGTGTGAGGAGGTACCGTAAGGAGGTACATATTCTCTGTACGAGGCGGCTCAACAGGTTCGCATGTGTCGAGCCAAAAAGGAGACAACATCTCTAGGACGGCGAGGGTTCGAATCCCGGCCAATTCCAACAAGATGCCTCTGCTAAGACATGGCGGGCTCGAGGCGAACGGTGTATTCCCAACGGACGGGAAGGTGTAGTAGGATCCGTAGTAGTAGGCTGGCTGATAGGTAAAGGGTGGCTGGTTGCGTGTCTCGGTGAGGGCACGGTGTGGAAGTGAGTGGAGATGATAAGATAAGATATATTGTACGATGTGTTATCGATAGGTCAGGGCACGTATCGTATGATCCGTGCACTGGTCTGTGTACTGGTCCGTGCTGCTAGTGCCTGTTGCCGTCATTAATTACCCCGCATCCTCGTTGCAGCAGGCAGGTGGCAGCCAGTAGTGCGTTGTTGCAGGCCAGTCCCGGAGTAGGAGGAGGGAAGATGGCAGCACATGACAGACAGACAGACAGTTCCTATTTTTGAGGCCGGTGGTGCGCCCGCCTGCCTGCCTGCCTGCCTGCCTCGCCTCGTCTGTACTGCGTTCATCATACGTACAAGTATCTAGGTACCTACATAGGTACATATACTCATCGGTTACTAAGTAGGGTAGGTACGGTAGTCTTCTTGCCATGATGACTGCGTGACGTGCGTGACCTCTTCTGTACCCCAGCTTTGAGCAAGTTCGGACCAGCGGCTTGATCGGCACCATCGGGGCTTTCCTCTCGTACTTTGTGTCCTCGAAGGGGATGGGAAATGAATGCCACCATCATAGGTAGCTACGCCATCAACCAGTCTTCCAGTCGACACTGCATGTGTAGATATAGCTGTACGCAGGTGGCGACATGTCGTTCGACAAATGAGAAAACATACATACATACACACACTTGGGTTGGTACTTCTTCTGCCGCCTACCTAACTACTAGTATATCTACCTAGGTATCTTGTCCGCTTGAGGGGTTGTTTCCGTCTCCCGCCAGCCAAGCAAATCAACGCCGGCCGATTGACAGACACCCGTTTCACTGCTGTTTGTGCTGTCATCCAAGCAATTCATGGGCGTTTTTTGGCCCACCATTGTAGCAGGCATAATCGTCTTGTTGTTCGCTTGCTTAGCCATTCATCCTTCCATCCGTCCGTCCCCCTCCCAATCACGTTGATGCATGGTGGTGTCGGAACACATCAACCCCGCATCCGGACGGCACCAGAACGACGCGACACACAATACCTACCTACTACGCCTGGCTTCGCAACCACGGTCTTCCGTCGGAACTCCTCCAAGCCTTCATTGGTGCGCCGTTGCGAGCCAGGGATAGCGCCGCCTGGACGGGAGGGTGGGAAGCTTTTTTTCTTCTGGGGGACGACGTCCATACCTAGATGTCTACCTTTCGTCCTCCGGGGACGGGAGGGGGGTCTGATGCCTTGACTGTGTGAACTGGTAACCCGACAATGCCTAGCTAGGTACTTGTCCTGTCTGCCGTGCAAGGAGGCTACATGGGCAAGATGGATAGATACCTTGGTGTTGGCGGGCAGACAAGTCAAACTTGGTTGGTGTTATGCGCCGCAAAGGCGTGAGCGCGCGCGCGCGTGTGTGTGTGTGTGTGTGTGTCTCTCTCTCTCTCTCTTTCTCTCTGTATGTGTCATAAATATCACCCACCACTGCCTCAAACTCCGCACGGGGTGGTGGTCCATACTCATCACACTCATCATACTCTCCCGTACACACAGGGGACTCCTGTGACCGCCACTCTCTTCGGCTGTGCGTCTTCGGGTTAAGACGCGAAGCTTCCTCCTCCATCAATCGGTCTAAAGCCTCCGTCATCCGCTAACACAACACGCAAACGCAAAAGGCTTACTTACTTTTGCCGTCGACAATTAACAGCCTCCCTCCATCCAGCCCGCCTTCTTCTGCTAGCTCGCCTAGGCCCAGCTACTGCCGAAGCTCGACCGTCCCGGGAGGCACCTGACATCTATCTCGGCCATCTAGGCTAACGTCAATCCCTTTCCACGAGCAAGACAAGAAAAGAAAAGAAGAAGTAGGAACAAAAGAGAAGTACTCGGCCCCGACTACCCATCCTACCTACCGTCTTCACAAGCTTCATCGACCCTCGACTCTGATTCGTAACGCCGCAACTTGCTCTTTCCTCCAGTCTTCAACAAAGCAAAGCCATAGCAAAATCCAACACAACCCCGCCTTTTTCGTATCCTCATCCTTCAGCTCCCTTCCCCCGCCCCCAACGGCACGCGACCTCGAATCGAACATCCGCCTTTCAGAGCCCCTGCAACGCCCACCGGACACCGTTATTGAGTGTAACAGACCGTGGCACACGTACTCCTTCGGCCTTCGCAACAAGACATCGTCTCGCTCCACAGTAAGTAGTCGTCGTTGTTCGAGCTTTCGAGCCCCCCCGTTTCTCACTCAAATGTCTTTTTTTGGGGGGACGTGAGGCGTTCAACAAGGGCGCCGAGCTAATAAAACCCCCCCTCCTCATCTCTCTCTCTCTCTCGCTCGGCCTTGCCCTGTTCCCCTTCTCTCAACCCCGCCACCGCTGCGGCCTTGCTCGTTGCAGCCGGCCGGAATTCTGCTTTTGCATAGTGTGCAGCCCGAGACCTTCAGACTCGTCCTTTCTCCGTCAAGCATGCCGTCGTTCAACCACTCCTCCACTTACATGGGGATGAGCCGGTTACCTTAACCACGGCTGCGTCCCACCCGGACTCACCCCACAACCCCTTGTCCCTATCTTTTCCGATGTCATACCCCTCCCCCCCACCATTACCGCCCTCCTCAGCACCACCCAGGCCGACGAGACCCGGGACCGTCACCTCGGTCGCGGCGTCGTCTGGCTCGGCCTAACCCCAGCCATTGTCTTGTTCTGCATCGGTGCACATTTCATGCCTACACGCGCTAAGCTCTGGCACTACACTCGACCGAGTACCTACTCGTCTGCATATCCATGCCTTGCCCATCGTGCGCCCGTCCGCGCATGTGGGACCTGCCAGCAGAACCCAAATGCCGAATTGCGTCTTTGCGTCCCGTCTCATGCTTTTGTTGGACCCCCACCGGTTCTACCTGTACCTTGCTGGGGGGGTTGTCTTAACATTGGCATTTGCAAGCCATTGAGGGATGAGGGATGCCTCGTCCATACTATAAAGCTGCCCGTGACACCTCGCTATCTGGACCTTGACTGACTGTCTCTCTCTTCTCTTCTCTTCGATAGCTTCTTCCTCCCCTGTTCAATCTAGCCTCAGTAAACCAAACCGCTTACACTCGGCGGCTCTCACGCTCGGCAACGTCCATTCTCTCCACACCGAGTCGAGTACTCTCTTGATACTCACATCCCCCGACCTCAACATGAGCTCTGGTTCCTTGAAGCAGGCCGCCGAGGCCGCACGAACCCGCACATCCGAAGTCATGAAGGGGGACTCTGCCGCCGTCGCCAACGACTTCCTCCACACCCCGTTCATGAGGGCGGCTCTGCCCTTCATCAACGGCGGTATCAGTGGCATGGTTGCCACCACGGTCATCCAGCCTGTCGACATGATCAAGGTTCGTATCCAGCTCGCCGGCGAGGGTGTCTCTGGAGGACCCAAGCCCACGCCGCTATCCGTCACAAGAGAAATCATTGCCAGCGGCAAGGCCCTTGACCTCTACACCGGCTTGTCTGCCGGTCTCCTGCGCCAAGCCGTCTACACAACGGCTCGTCTGGGCTTTTTTGACACCTTCATGGCCAAGCTCGGCCAGCGCGCCAAAGAACAGGGCAGCACCATTGGTTTCAAGGAACGTGCGACTGCTGGCCTCGCTGCTGGAGGCCTGGCTGCCATGTTGGGGAATCCCGCCGATTTGGCTCTCATCCGCATGCAGAGTGATGGACTGAAGCCCCCGGCCGAGCGCAAGAACTACAAGAGCGTCATTGACGCACTCACTGGCATTGCCAAGTCGGAAGGTGTTGGCGCCCTCTGGGCCGGTGCCGCCCCCACGGTCGTCCGAGCCATGGCCCTCAACTTCGGGCAGCTCGCCTTCTTCAGCGAGGCCAAGTCGCAACTCAAGCAGAACACGCAATGGTCCTCTCAGGCTCAGACGCTCACTGCCAGCGCCATCGCCGGGTTCTTTGCCAGTTTCTTCTCCCTGCCCTTTGATTTCGTCAAGACCCGCCTGCAGAAGCAGTCCAAGGGCCCCGACGGCAAGCTCCCGTACAAGTCCATGGCCGACTGCTTCGCAAAGGTGGCCAAGCAGGAAGGCGTGCTGCGCTTCTACCGCGGTTTCGGCACATACTACGTCCGCATTGCTCCCCATGCGTAAGTGGACATTTTCCCAGTTCGCGTGGCGTCCACGTCGTGTGTTTGATTACCTTGTATACTTTTTTTTACTAACAATGCCGTGTGTCCACAGCATGGTAACGCTTATTGTCGCCGACTATCTCGGCTTCCTCACCAAATAGAGAGAGAGAAAATGATTGAAACCAAACGACACTCGCTCTTACGGCCGGCCCCGACGTGAACCAATTGATTTTTCTTTATTGGCCATTCTTGGGTTCTTTCTCGGACTGGATTGAAGCACAACAGAAGCCAGCCTCGCCTAATCCGTTAAATCCAAAGATGGCCGTCGGGCACCTCAACCTCAGTCTTTTGAATTCACATTCCCTATCATCCCCGGCGCTACAGGTGCAATTGCAGTTTATAATGGGGTTTTCTTACGGTTTTTTTTTTATTACTCTCTTGAGGTATTCGCTAGGGTTTATACCAGAGTCCTGAACGGGACGAAAGCGTGAGGGAGAATGTACATAGCACTGTCAGTCAACAATTGGCATAGGGTGCGTGTGTGCTACATGCACCTTCCTGCCCCCCTATGTGTAGGGATTGCACAAATAAAGAAATCAGTTCAATCAGGTCAATTCTGCTTACATTGGAATGTCTGTGGCCTAATTAAACTTAATGGCTTTGCATACGTGAGAGTGTACGTGAGAGAGTGTGTGAGAGAGTGAGAGAGAGAGAGAGAGAGTGTGTGTGTGTGTTGATGGGCTGTGTGCTCCTCAACAGTGTCTGAGAAAGGGAGAGAGCATGTGCTTTTGTTTTTTTTGGTGAGATGCAATTTCCGGGCGCAAGCGGGAATGAGACGGATAGATCCGGCCAGAATGCCATGTTCCGCGGAATGCACCTCACCGAGCTCACCTGTTGGGGGGTATGGCCAGCCAGGGGGGGGGGGGGGGGGGTGGTCAGCGGTTCCCAAGCGCAACTCAACGCCTGAGTCTCGGGATGTCCTGCACTTGGCTTGCTGCCAACACCGTTGAACGGCGCCGGGAGGGGGTGGGGGGCGGGTTTGGTGGTTCACAGAAAACCGAGGGCTTTGGTCCATATTAGAATTGTTGTGTTGTATCTTTTTGAGTGCTTTGCCTCAAGAGTATCTAGCCAGCCTCAGCGTGTGCTTCTTCTCTTTTCGCCTTGCCTTCCATCCCCCCACCCACTGTCCCTGCAGAATTTTGCAATTTGGGCTTCGTAGATGATTCGAATAACGCACACGCACACACACACACACACACACACACACAAGAGAGTCAGTTCTGCTGCTCCACCAGCAGAGAGAGCACCTGGCCCCCCACAGAGCATGCTTCTCCTGTTTGAGCCGTGACGTAGTGCACCGTTGTTGAAAACACACGCCGTCTTCACAGCCCAGAGGATGGGCCGATAAAGAAAGGGGTCCGAGAAGAAGAAGAAACAGCCTTGGATCATCAGCACCTGAGGCGGCGCCGGCATGTGTTGCAACTGATTAAACCCGACGGGTTGTACTTTGTCTGCTTTTTTCTTTCTTTTCTTACGTCCCTTTTGTTTTGTTGACCGCCCACACCCCATCTAGTTGAATGGAAACAATTCCTGACCCATGTGGTCAGCCAGGCCACCCTACTCCTGACTGGCGCTCAGGTCCGGGTTCTTCTCCCACAAGTTGCGGAGGAGCGCCGTGACGCTCTCGTCCTCCTCGCCGCCCACCAGGCTCGACCCGCTCAGTCCCTGCACCCCGGTTCCCTCGTGCAGGGCCCGGCTGCTCTGGTGGTCGTCGTGGTCGGCCTCGTAGCTAGACCCGGCGCCGTTGGTCCGGATGGAGTAGGCGCGGGGCGTCACCGGTCTCCGGGCGGATCCAGTGCCGCCAGAAGCGGCGGCTAGCGCCGACTCGTTGAGGCTCGAGTTCCGCATGTGCTGCTGCTGTCCCGGTACGACGCCTCCACGCATCGAGGCGGCCTTGCCGTTGCCGTTGGCGGTGCCGGTGCGGGGTATGCGCTGGTTCTTGTTTGCGCGGTTCACCTGAACGAGACGGTCGAGCGAGCGCACCACGGGGTTCTGGAACCTGCGGACACTGAGGTACTCCATCCCCGTTCTCTCCAGTTGCTTCGTGACGCGCGGGTCGCGGCTCGCTCCGCCGTCGTAACCCGGCCCCCCAATGCCAACCAGGGGACTCGCGCCCACCGCGCCCACGCCTCCTCCCGCCGCCTGTCCGGGTTCGATGACGGAGCTGGCCCGCTGCAGGTTGAGCTTCTGCTGCGTGCGTGATTTCTCGGCCGGCGGGGCGGAGCGCCTTGCCGACCGTGGCGCGAGCGCTGTGCCGTCAGTCTCTCCACCGACTTCACCTGCCTCATCGTCCGACAGCGGTAGGTCTCGCAATCTTCCCTGCCGCCCTGGGCGTCCGGAGCTGGAGGACTGCGGCCTCCGCGGGGGGGTTGCTTCTGACCTGAGGCTGGCCGGCCGCGGCGTGGGGATCTGGTAAAAGGACCCTTCGCGGGCGGCGCCAGAGCTTCCGGCGTTGACGAACCTCGAAATAAGCTCGTCGCCGGAGCTGGGCAAGGTGCTGACGTTATGCGACTCGGCAAGTGTCGAACCGCGGCCGATTGGGTCGGGGGAGCGGGAGTCGCCCCGCCGTGAGGCCGTGACGGTATCTGTCGTCATCTTTGGAGGCGCGCCGTGTGATGGGATGCGTTGGAGCAGTCTCGAAGTCAGATACTCCTTGTGCTGGACAGTGTCGTAGTCGGGAGTCACCGCAGCTGGGATTGATGGGTGCGCCGCGGGGGCATCTGCTCTCGAATTGTTGGCGCTGTTATTTGCGCTGTTATGTGCGCTGTCGTTTATGCTGTTGTTGACACTGTTGTTCGCGCTGCTATTGTCGTCGGGTTTGGCCGAGGCCTGTGTGCTGGCCAAGGATCCTCGTCTTGACAGGTAGGGAGAGGCAGAGGTGCTGGCGTCGACCCAATCGTCTTCCTGTCCGTCGTTGCCCAGATCAAAGTGTACCTGGGACTTTTGCGACTTGACCTTGCTGACAGCGGGGTTCGAGCCCGTCCTTTTGAGCTTTTCCGACGACTTGATGTTGGCGGGCTTGTTCACTTCGCTGTGGGATTTGTTGCGGCGCAAACTCGCGGCGGAGGCGGTCTTGCCGAGGTTTGCCGAAGAACTGTCGTGGGAAAGCTTCGCTTCGGACTGGACTCGACGATGACCGGCGGCGGCGGCTGCTCGATTTCGATCGGGTGAGGGGGATGCGTGTCGGCGGTGGTTCAGTTTGGAGGCAGTAGAGCCATGGTGCTTGTGTAATGCCTTGGAGGAGGGGACGCGTGCGTGTAGGCGGCCGGTGCCGACGACGTGCTTCTGCTTGGAGCGGTGCTGATGATGGTGGTCTCGGTGAGCTTGGTCGCTGTTTGTTGAATCGCTCTCGTGGTGATTGAGAGGAGGGCGCCTTGATTGGTTCGTTGCCGAAGAATCGTCGGCGTCTCTGCCGTCACGAACCATGGTTGCTTATTTGGGAGGCCCCGGGGGATACAGGACACTGACAGTGATGAGCACCGTAGCAGCCAAGGCACAATGTCATAGATGTGGACAGGTTTCGGGGGGGGGTTGATGGCAGGGTTTGTTGCTGATGCGCTGGGCGTGGGCGTGGGCGTGGGCGCGGACGATCGGAGGACCGATTGGGATGGCGGGTGGGTGGCCTGCTTGTGCTGTTTCAATGAGGTAATGCCTCAGACAAGACAGGGCGGGACGCGTCCAATTGGACGGCGGAGGAAGCGGCGGCCGCGGCGGCGGCGGGCGTGGTGGATTAAGTGAGACGAGAATCAGCTAGAAAGAGGCGGGGGGTGTCGTCGCAAAAGTCATCGATTCGGGGTTCTTTGTTCTGGAAATCCTGCCCTCTAGCTGTAGGTACGTTGGAAGCTGACTTGTGTTACAGGGAAAAAGGAAAGAAAAAGAAGGGGAAAAGTAAGGAGGGAAGAAAAAGATCAAACGAGTACAGGCAGAGAAGAGAGAGTACGGGATACCTTAAGGGCCTTACGGATGGATACTGGTAGCTAAATTGCTAATAAACCGCCTTGACAAGGTACCCGAGACCATATGTGCCACACGCGCGCGCGCACCCTCGTCTGGCTCCGGCATTCCACACCCGCTAAGACGCCCGCTGGAACCTCACCCCAGCATTCCACGATTCCTAAAAAATAAAAATAAAAACAAAAAGCCCACCACCATCTTAGTGGTTTACAATGCAGGTAGTGTTTGTGGGGTCCAAGCCGGACGAACCCATGATTGGCCCGAAAGCCGGATGACGCTGCTGCGCTGGTCGGCGCGCTACGATTCCCCATTGTATGCACGTGATCCCCGCCTGATAAGCTTCTTGGTTGCATCAATCAAACCCCCCGTAGCTTCGCTCCATCACTGCATCTGTTTTGCCTGAAGCAAGAAATCGCCAAACCACTCCACGGCCCAGTTCAGCTTTTTTTTCTTCTTCTACCATATTAGCCGTCTTATTACAAATTCAATCCGTTCCTATCGCTTCCTCAGTGCAGCCGTCGTCATGTCTAGTCAAATCACAGCCCTAGAAGAGGATCGCCAACAGTATCAAGAGCAGGTACGCGCCGACTTGTCCCACCCTCATGGCCCAAAACAGGTGCTGACCGCTTTTTGAAACAGCTGGACGTCGTCCTCGCCGGCCTTAAAGATGATCCTGAAAATGCTGAACTCAAGAGCCTGCAGGCGGAGTTGAATGACATGATCTCCCTACTAAACGAGTCTCTTGCTGAGCTGCAGCCGAAGCAGGCACCCAAGCCCGCACCACAGAAAGCTCCCAGCCCGCCAGAACCCGAGAAGTGGTCCAAAGAGAACCACCCCGCCTTCAAGAAGGCCGCTCCCGCTCCGGAAGAGAAGGAATCCGATGCGCCGCCTGTCGCCTACCAGGTGAACGACACCGTCATGGCCAAATGGGCTTCAGGCGATCGGGGCTTCTACCCGGCACGCATCACATCCATCACGGGCTCATCAACGGCACCCATCTACATTGTCAAATTCAAGAGCTACGATAACACCGAAACGCTGCGAGCCAAGGATATCCGTCCCATGTCCAACAAGCGCAAGGCTGACGGAGCACCAGCGTCCGGTCCCAGTGCCGGCCAGCAACCCGCCCACACGCCTTCCGTTCAGTCAAATGGCGTCGTCACGTCCGCAGCCGCCAGCTTGTACCCCGAACAGCAGGCCAAGATCGAGGCTGAAAAACTCGCTGCCGACGGTGCCGCAAAGCCGCCTAAACCCAAGAAGATCAAGGCCACAAAAGAACTAGAGAAGGGCAAGTCCAAGTGGCAAGAGTTCAACACAAAATCAAAGTTCGGAAAGCAAAAGAAAGAGAGCATGTTCCGCACACCCGACGGCGTCGGCGGCCGAGGTACGTGACTCTGACTACATGAGCCGGCACGACACTGACACTGTTACAGTTGGCTTCACGGGTTCTGGCCAGGCCATGCGCAAAGACCCGACTCGCAGCCGACACGTATATCAGCAAAGCGACGAGCTTGACTAATCGCTTACCAGGGAACCGGCGTGTGGGAGAATTTCAGCCAAAAAGGAGGTTCGAGGCTTCGGCGGCGTTACGGGTGGTTTGGCAGTCTCGTTCCCTTCCTGGTAATGTGTCTTATTTTCGCTTTACATAGGCTAACGGTTTGTACGCGAGTTATGTTCCCTCCAGACGATCGTCGGGGTTTCAGTCCCCCTTCTGGAATCTGCGCAGATGGCGCAGGGGGATTTCCTGATACAAATACATGAGATGCCCAACTACCCCATCTCCCAGGTCATTTTGACTAAATGTTTGGCTCCATAGGATATCCATCGTACACCACAACGGCTTCACACCAGCGAGGAGCGCCAATGCCCGTGGGTCATGGGCCAGTTGGCGGACTACGGCATGCGAAGGTCGATTTTCGGGGCAATGTCTCTCGCCATCTTGAGGAAGATCTCGGCTCTCTCACTCGTTGGTTCTGCCACAACAGTGGGTTTGCCCAGGTCCGCGTCGTCGCCGATGGACGGATGCAGGGGAACATCGCCCAGAAAGTCGATCTTGTGGTCCCTGCACATGCGCTCAACCCTCTCGTTGGACCCAAACACATGCGTGTCGCCGTGGCAGTGTGGGCAGCTGAAGAGCGACATATTCTGGACCAAGCCCAGAATGTTCACATTGACTTTGTTAAACATGTTGACGCCCTTGACAGCGTCTTTGACGGCAAGTGTGTGAGGCGTGGTGACGATGATGGATCCTGGTTGCAGTGAGCGCTTGCCAACGGAAAATGTGCCTTGTGATGTAAATCGTAGTTATGACACCAATGCTGCTGAGTGAGGGCTGACGTACCATCAAGGATGACCTGTTGAGTGATGGTGAGCTGTGTATCACCGGTGCCAGGGGGCAGGTCAAGAACAAGAATGTCCAAGCCGCCCCAGTCAACTTCGTGAAGGAGTTGTTGGATGGCCTTCATCACCATCGGCCCTCTCCATACGACAGCGTCATCCTCTGGCACAAGGTAGCCCATTGACATGGTCTTGACGCCATAGTTCGTCATCGGAACCAGCTGGTTGCCTATCTCTTCGTCAGCCAGTTCTGGTGCAGCAGCCTTTGGAGCAACAAATACCTTGGGATAACCGAGGCTCTCCAGACAGATTGAATAGTGTCGGAATAGAAGGACCAAAAATGTCGGTATCCAGAATGCCGGCGCGATAACCGAGTCGCGCAAAAGCCAGTGACAGGTTCGCTGCGAAGTATTCAACAAATCTACCCCACACGTCTGCCATGAGGCCCATGGCGCCTACCTGCAACCGTGCTCTTGCCAACGCCGCCCTTGGCGGACGAGACGGCGACGACTTTTTCCACACCACGAATTTTGCGTTGTACGGGCTTTCTAGGCCAGTTCGGCGGTGTGCCGGACTTTGGGAGCCCCTATGCTAGATGTGAGCTATACAAGTCATGTGCGTACATGGTTGAAGCGTAGTCGGTCCTACCAAGGGGTTCTCATGGCCGAGGACTCGGATGGTCGGTTGAAATGGCCTAAACAGCGTTGGTCTCATTGTGGCTGCTCCGGCGTGCAACAGGGAGTAACAATAAACCTATACGAAGCCGCAAATAAGTTAACAGGGCTTCAGGACAAAGGCCCGAAGGTTTATAAATGGCACCTCAAAGTGATGATGGTAGGAGATGTAATTGATTGGTTCTTCGCCGACACGTCTCCGAGCGGAGTATCTTCGGCCGACCTTCCACAGGCGTCACAATCGACTTCAGCTAATGTTTTGGGGACTCGGCAAGTCTGAGCACTGCATAATTGATAGGCTTGATTGTTGCCGCCAAATGGAATTCGAGACACGCATAATACGATGGGGAATCCCATTGTTCGTTCAGCTCAACAATAGACAATGGCCACGACACGTGACCTGGCGGCGAAGTATGGCCCCACAATTGGACATTTGGTCCGTGTACGTACCCTTTCATCGCGCTCTCGAGTTCGCGATGAGAGCCGTGGACGCGCTGGAACCGACATATCACTGAAAAAAGCCGCCGCTGCAAGTCGCGACTCCATTACCCCGTTATCCAAGCATGACATGTTACAGATGAAGAACTCATAGCTGTCTCGCCCGCTTCTTCTCATCTCATCGTTCTGATACCCTCTTGACTTGGTTTTTCTATTTTATTTTTTTATTTTTCTTTCTTGGTTTGCGCATTCGCTGGTCTCACACAGAAAGTCTCGTTCCAACTATATATCCACAGAAGTTGGCCGGCGCAAGGGGACAGCGGAAACGCATAGAAACTCCGGAAGCCTAGTACGAACTGAGCGTACCACACACACACAAACGCACCAAACAGAACACCATGTCCTCACCCTCGGCATTGTTCGACTTGAACCAAGGGCGTCGCGACCTGGCGTCCCTACCCGCCGACTGGCAACAAAACATTAGAGAGGCTGTGAGTCTTACAGCAACCTCCGACCCAACATGGCTGCTCATGAGAGGAGACACTGCGATATACTGACTCCCTTGCCAGTGGGAAGTTGTTGACCAACAAGGCCTCGGCTCCCTCAACGCGCGCGAGTGGCCATTTGCCCTCCGCGCCATCGGCTTTGACCTTGCCCGCACGGAGACCTACGCCCTCCTCCTCGCGCACGGCGTCCCGCCGCACGACCACGACCCGTCCCGGGGTCCTTGCAGCCCGTCGCGCCTGCGCATGCCGCAAGAGCACTTCTCGGCCATCGCCGCGTGGCTGCTGGTGCGCCGCGACCCGCAGGAGGAGGCCGAGGACGCGTGGAAGATGTTCGACCCGCGCGGCACGGGGCGCATCACACTCGATAGCCTCAGAGCTGTGTGTGCCGAGGTGAACAGCACCCTGAGCGAGGCGGACATGAGGCGGATGATTGACATGGCCGACATCTCGGGTAAGGGGTGGGTTAGCAAGGAAGAGTTCATCGAGGTCGCCAAGGGCGGGTTCGGACGCGGTTAAGCGTGGCAGCGGTGGAGGAGAAAGAGACCGGGGGGGCGGGGGAGGGCGACTTCATCCAAATTCAAGTTGGCAGACTCAAGATTTACACTAGAGCGAGAATGTCTTACTTTTTTTATTCCTTTTTTTTTTGTCGCAACCAGACTCGAAGACCATACCGTCCGTTTGTCTTTCACCGGTTTTCTTTATTCTACCTAGGTTGTTACAGCCCATCTCAAGACGGGCATGAGAAAAACTGACGACGAGGATACAGGAGTGAAATATAATCCAAGACACAAGTACGACGACGGCGGTGCAGACGGATGGGGATGCCTGCGGGATGCACATTGTTTTGTCATGTTGCCTGTCTACGCTCCTCCGTCCAAATCTAGACCGTGATACCAAGTGGCTTCCTCACCGGCAACCCATACGCCATCTCAATCATCCCCATCTGGTTGACGCTTTCTTCCCCGTTCACCCACGTTGCCCGTCTCCCTCCCCTTGGTACGGCTAACAAAATGCTCCAGCTGGTGTCGATACGTGAACCAACACGCCTTTCCTTTACCGTCTATACCGGCTTCCTCGAACGTGCACGCCTTTTGCACCGTCTTCTACGTCTCGCCCTCCCCTTCATCCTCCACACGACCCGCCATGCGTGATACACCTTGTCCTCGGGCGGGTGCCATCAGGAACATCAGGTTGTTTCCCTCGTATATCAGATAGCATGCTCGCTCTATCCTGATCTTTCTTCGAACGAGGTCAACACTCACGCGATTTGGCGGCGCCCAAAATGCCGAAACGGACAGCGCCGTCTTGCTTCGGCGCTGGTGGGCGGGTTAAACACTGGAAACCCCGTCCTTCCCTCATCCGCAACCTTCCGGAGCCAAACGGGAGGGGAGAAGAGGGAACGCACCGTTTGTCACTGCAAATGGAACCACCGGGGTTTGTCTGTTTTACTTCATTTTTGAGAACTATGTAGGTAGGCGTCTTCTGACTACTTCACCCTACAATGCAGAGCAGACCGCATCCCGTTTTGGTCCTGCCACTACAGAGGTATCACCCATTATTCATCCTTTACAAAACATCGTTGGCGTTGAAGTCGTACAGAGCCTGCTTGACACGCTCCTTCATCGTCTTCTCACCCTCACGGACCCACACTCTGGGGTCGTACTTCTTCTTGTTGGGCTTGTCGTCACCCTCGGGGTTGCCGACCTGGGTCTTCAGGTAGTCGATGTTCTTGACGACATAGTCGCGGACACCAGCCAGGTAGGCGAACTGGAGGTCAGTGTCGACGTTGACCTTCACGACACCGAAGGAGATGGCCTTCTTGAACTCGTCGACGGAGGAACCGGAACCACCGTGGAAGACGAAGAAGACGGGCTTCTTGTCGTTGGTGCCCAGCTTCTGGGCGACAAACTCCTGGTGCTTGCCGAGGAGCTCGGGGTGGAGCTTGACGTTGCTGCGAGGGTCAGCACCGGAGTTGAGCCGGGAATACAAGGTGAACGTGACTTACCCAGGCTTGTAGACGCCGTGGACGTTACCGAAACCAGCAGCAATGCTGAAGTAAGGGCTGATGGGGTTCAGGGCCTGGTAGATGGCGTAGATGTCCTCGGGCTGAGTGTAAAGGGAGTTGTTGTCTGGCGGGGTTATTAGTCAGGTTGGACGGGGCAGAAACGACGGGGCATCATTGACGTACCAACATCCTCGTTGTTGACACCGTCCTCCTCACCACCAGTGACTGCACAGTTCTGTTAGCTACCCGATCGTCAGAGGCTCGCATGTTTCAACGGCTGCCTTACTTCCGATCTCCATCTCGAGCCATAGCTTCATCTGTTGGCAGTACGTTAGCGGCGGCCCCTGGTAGGCATGTGAGCTTCAACTTACAGGAGCAGAACGCTTAAGGTACTTGGCGGTGGTCTCAATGTTGTAGGCAACGTCCTCTGTGTTTTTGTGAGCAACGGCGTTAGACGGGCAAGAGCTGCGGCAGACTACGAACCCTCGGAGAGGTCGATCATGTGAGAGGAGAAAAGAGGGGTGCCGGAGCGCTTGAACTCCTCCTCGTCGGCGGCAATCATGCCGTCGAGCCATGGCAGGAGCTTCTTGCTGGGATGGCTGTCAGCATCTGAGAGCCCCAAGGGCATGGCGAGGCAAGTATCAACTTACGCGCAGTGGTCAGAGTGGAGGACGACGGGGACGCCGTAGATGGGGGCAATGGAGCGGATGTAGTGGGCAGCAGCGATGGCACCGGCGACGGAGGCCTCCTGCTTCTCAGCGCTGTTGGGAATGCCCTTGCCGGCGAAGTAGGCGGCACCACCCTGGGAACTGGAGAGTGTCAGAGATTTTGCAACATGGCGGCGGCGGCGGCGGCGGCGGGGTGGCTTCTGAGGGTTGTGACGTACGTCTGGAGGATGATGGGGGACTTGGCCTCGCGGGCAGCCTCGAGAGCGGCAACGGCGGTGGAAGAGGAGGTCTGCCAGGCGGGGTCGTTGTTAGCCGATTGTCACCAGAGCGCCCCTCATCTCATAGCACTTCGATCACCATGGCAGGGGATTGATGGATGGATGGAAGGATGTACTTACGACGTTGGCAGCAGGAATGGCAAACTCCTTCTCCTTGGCGTAGGTGAAGAGCTTCAGCAGGTCATCGCCGTAGACGACGCCGGGCTTGATGTTGAGATCCTGGAGGAGACCCATGGTGGATGGTGGGGTATGTGACGTTTGAAGGTGGTTTATTTCTGTTGCGGGGTTGTGCAGGAGATTGAGCAGTAGTGACTTTGCGACTTGATGCAGATAGTCAGAAGCGAAAAGCGAAGAGAAGGTTGCAAGGTTGAGGGATTGGAGAGAGGAGAGAAGAAGAAGAAGAAGAAGAAGAAGAAGAAGAGACAGGAAAGTTTGGAATCAGGTGGACGCGGCCGAGTTATGTTTGATTCACACGAGCGGGATTTTAGTCGGGCTGGCTAGCCATGGCATCAGTCCAGTCAGTTCCCGCCTGGCTGGGCTGGTGTGAGGTGCAGAGGTACATAGGCCCGAATCGGCGTCCACCTGAGAAGGAGCTCCGCTCTGCCAGCTCCCGCGTTGCGTCGTTGCTTCTTGTTCCTGTTCCTGTTCCTCTTCCACTTCCACTTCATGGCCAGCCCAGGCAAGGCCGGGCAAGGTCATTCGGACCTTGCAATGATGAAGCAAAAGGTGCGACGAGGTACCTACATTGAGCTCCCCTCTACGAATGAATGTACGTTGTCTTTTTCAGAACGGGAGATACCTAGGAAGGTAGGCAGGTAGGTAGCTATCCAACAAGGGTATCTGATACACAGCTACCTACCTAGTATACTATAATAAGACACGAGCAGGACCTCCGAAATATCAAGCGTAAATAACCCGAGTCTCCCAAAATATACGCCAGCGTTTGACAATGTCCGAGGAGAGAAATACCGCTATGCAACGATGGGAGAGTGAGTGTCTTGTCGCCGTCTCAACCTCTTGGAGTTGTTGAGGGGCAGGAGGACGAGGTACCTCCGCCGCGGAGGTCCATGTACCTTTTTTATCTTTATTTCTTTATTGACCTCGGCCGGACGAGCTGGGGCGAATCACAACGACGCCTTACACATAAGGTACCTCACCTAAGGTACCTTAGGAAAGTCAAACGCGAACAACCCCTCCCCCACCCACCGGGCCAAATTGACGTCAAAAAATAAATAAAAAAATCATGGCCTGCACCGCCCGCCGGAGTAATTGGGGTCAGGGTCCCCCCCCCCCCACCACTTAATTCCCCGCCGTTCTGAGAGTGATTTTTTCCCCCCCTTCTCCGTGGCATGTTGTGTGGTGTATTTGTTTCATTGTACGTACCTACCCAGATTTTGCTGTGTCTTTCTATTATTGGGCGGACAGACGAGGGAGCCGAGGAATTATTGAAAATGGTGTGGTCCAACTCTTACATACTTGGTGTGTGATGCAATCTTTAGGTACCTCCCCGCTGTTGGCTGCTGACAGTCATGACCTTTGACTTGTCTTGACTTCCCACCTCCTGATATCTCGGCCTTATTATGGTGTCCGCTGCGCGATATTTAATGGGAGAGCCACGCGAATATCGAATGACTCGAGCGCTTGGCTTTCTATTCGAGGGCTGCGTACTGCCTGCTTCATTGCCCCTCCCTCTTCCCAAGCCGACCTTCACCGAGCAAGTCTCGGTGTAATCTTCCCATCTATGCATCCATCCCGTCTGTTTGTCTGTCTGTCCGTCCTGGAAGGCCGGCGATGCTTTTCGGGTGGCTTTCAGGCTGCTCGCAACAACAAATCTCCGTCGCACATCATCCCTGCACCCCGACCCCCCTCCATCCTGTTCCGGTTCCCTCACCTCATGCAGGCTAGACCCCGGAAAAGCACGGCCAATCGCGCCGCTTCATGACGATGACCTTCCCGGCCATGCAATCATTCTTTGTGCCATTCCCATCTGCCTCCTTCCTTACCCAGCCTTGACCATTGCCGAAGCCCGGGAAGTTGCGGGATCGCATCGGGCATCTCGACCCTTGGTCCGCCGAAAATCGAAATCTCACAACTCCAAGAGCCAGTCTTGCCTTGTGGCTGCCACTTCCTCGGTCCATCGCCTGCCTTCCCCGCCATTTCCTCCAAACGTTGCCCGAAAACTCCCACCCGGCTCGGCTCTTCTCGTGTCGTTAAGCGTCGTGGCTCTCCACCTCCAAGACTTCTCGTTCCGTCCTCCAGCGCAATCATGACCCCTTCATCTCGGGTCCAAACCACGAGCTTGCATATGCCGTGTCATCAGCTTCGGGTCGTTTCCCATGACATCCGGCCTGGCGCGTTCATTCTGGGGAATTCCCCAGCTTGACTAGCCACTTCTTCTCCCGTCTTGACAAATATCTAGTTTCATTATCGTGTACAAACAAACCGCAGGCCCCTTCCTTTCTCTTCCAGCTGCTTCCCGTGTCTTCATTAGAGCCGTCGCGTCATGGGTATGTATCCGTGCACTCACCTCCTCTTTCTTATATACCGTCGCCCGATCCAGTATCTCCCACATCCGACTCCGTCTCCCCCGCTCTGCCATGACCCCAAGCCTTAGTCCAGATCCAGATCCTTCATCGCCTCCGCAACAAACGTCTCGTCTGTTTGCCGGCCCGAAGATGCCCGCTCATCGAGCTGCGCCCCGGCGTCGTCCCCAGCTTCGCTAGTGCTTCCCTCGCTCTCCGTCTCCGGAGGCGTCTGCAGACCGGTGACGCCGCGTACCCCCATGTTCCGCTTCAGCATGCACATCTCCACCGATATACCTGGCCCGAACGCACACCCCACCACGTAGTCACGGACTCGGCCGTCTGGCGCAACGGCGTCCATGTCTTTGGACCGCAGCCGGTCCATGACGCTGAATATTGTTGCCGAGCTCGAGTTTCCGTGGTTGATGTAAGTGTCGTAGCTCGCTCGCATGTGGTACGACGAGATGCCCATTACCTTCTCGGCCCCCGATAGAATTGTGGCGCCTCCGGGATGCATGGCCCAGTCAAAGTCGTCGGCGTTTTTGTACGACGGTGGCAGTGAAGGGACGGACGCGAGCAGCTCTTTAAAGGTTGACGGAATAGCGGCCGATGCGAGCTTGGGAACCTGTGGCGAGAGAATCACCTTCCATCCTAGGTCGCCCATGTTAGTCAGGACGCCCGGGACAGGCAGCGGCCAGGAAGGTCTTTGGCTTACCAACGGGGTCAACGTCGAAACCCAGATCCTGGTCTGTATCGGGAAGGATCTTGTGCTCCCAGCCTAGTAGGTCATATACGGACTCTGTCGGCTCGCCAACACCATTACTAAGCACCACGGCGCTGGCGCAATCGGAGAAGAGAGCGACGCCGATCCTCGTTTCTTGGAGCTGGTCGATGCTGTTCAGTTCGCTGCGCACCATTGTCGTGCTCACCTCGAGGGCGACGCAGAGAATCCTCGCCGGCTTGTTGCGAACTTTGTGCCCCAACGCCAGGTTCGCCGCCGTCCTCAGCGTCGCCAGACCTCCACTGCAGCCGACTCCGTGAAGCAGCACCTTCTCGACCTGGTGCGTGATGCCCAAGCCCTTGACTACATAGTGGTCGAAACCGGGGTTGGCGCTGTCGGTGCAGGTGGTCGACACGACGTGTGTGATTTCGCTTAGGTCGATGCGAGCCTCCTCGATGGCCTTGCGCGAAGCTTCCACTGCCAACGGCACGCCGTCGCTCATGAAAACCTTGTGCAGCTCCGCGATGGAGGGCGCCTCCTTGTTGTTTACCACGGGGTGTTCATGTGTGCCGATGGACGACCGATAGTCAATGCCAGTGAAGCGGTTGATGGCAAGCACCTTTTTCATACTGTTGGCGGGTCAGCGAGAATGCTCAATACCCAATGCATCATGCGATGGCAGTGCACTCACGAAGGTGAGTCGGGGTAGAACTTGTTGCTCAGGTATTCTATGGAATCCGTCTTCAACGAGTACGGTGGGTACTGGCTGCCGACGCCGATGATTGACAGACCGAGGTCTTGAAATGTGTTGGGAGCCGCCATTATGAATGGTGAGAGAGGTGCGATGCGGGGGAGGGGTAGCTCGCGTTAGGCTGGCTTTGGCGCCTGGTCGAAATTAAGCAAGATGTGTAGGGACAAGGAAGTCAAGACAGTCAATGCCCAAAATCATGAAGAGAAGATCTTGTAGAAGCTCACGAGGAGCTGTGGGAAGGGTCTGGCAAAGAGGCAAAGCCGGAAGCGAACGGCAATGGCTTGCGCAAGAAGGGCTGGAGTGATGATATCACCTGCGACAACGGTAGGCAGGCGAATAGAGCACACCCAAATAGGGCGATAGACAGAACAGCACGGGTGGATGGATGGATTGATTGGGGAACTTTGGGCGTGTGCTAAGAAACGACGAACAATCTAGGTATGCAAGAGGCAAAAAGTCGGTCAGTTTGATCAGGTAGGCTCGGAGCAAGTAAAAATGGAAAGGACGGCCAGGCTCATGCACGAGGAAAACATAATAGTGACGGCGACATAGCATGGCATGGCATGGAACGGCATAGGTTAGGTAGCATGGGGTGGTCGGTCCTTGGTGGTAGCTAAGACACGTAAGGCCGACCTCGTCTGGTTTGTACCGTCTTGTTTTTGGCGCAATCTTCTTCTTCTCTCCAGGCTCAACAGACTCGCCGAGGCACCAGGGGCGGTTTTGGTGGGGAGTGTGATTTAGCAACCGGCCTGCCGTCCTGTGCCGTCTTCTAGTGGACGGTGGATGGGGGGTTTTTGCTGCTGCTTTCTCTCGTCTCTCGTCTTCAGACGCGTGCTTCCCGTGTGGCGAACTCGGGGACGGAGGTATTGTTGCACCGTTTCACTACGCATGTTCTGCTTCCCCCGGCTCGGAGTGGGTGGTAGTTCTGCCTCATCCTGGAATGGAATGCAAGTGTACGGATACGCAGTATTACTAGGCAACGGGGTAACATTGGGACCGGTAAGGAAAGGAAAGGGAAACAAAGCCCACCGGAGCTGAAACTCTGCCTGAATCCAATCCTCGGAGCCGGGCGCTTGTGTACCTATCTAAGCCTCCTTCAGCATGTTGAATGTTAGAGCAGTACCTTTAAGGAATTGGCAACTCGCCCCGGGAACACAAGTACTATGCTAGCTGACCTTCAGCATGCTGGAGCAGGCTTATCTGGGCAGAGTTTTCGTGGCGTACGTAGCCTTGGTTGCGCGACGCAGACCCCTGCTCCTGCTGCTGCTACTTTGTGATGGGACCCGAGTGCGGTGCAACTAACTGTATGCGTGCGTACATAGTAGGTAGCTAGATAGCTATAGCCTATAGGTGGGTATTAGCTGTCTGTATGTTGTGGCTGGCGAGTATGTCATGGAAACGGAAAAAGAGGCTGTCAGGAACCAAGAGGCGATTATTGGGTTACCGTTATCTGACATGCGTGCGATGGCTGAAAATACCATGCGCCAACGTACACGTGGATAAAGGTTGAAGGGCCTGGCTTCGAAGCTGATGCGTTTAGGGTCTGTATTTTCTCCTTTTGTCTCACGCCCATGCAGTTCAGCAGCGACTAAACTCATCGGACGGCATGTCTCGTCCGATCAACATTGGTCCGTCCAATGACGCCCTTTCTGTCTGTCTGTGCCTGGCTCCAATGGCATTTCCACTTGACATGTTTCCCGTAACGATTCATGGTTTTCATGGATACCCATCCGGAACTGCTTGCGTGGATTATTGACACACGCCAATTGCCTTGTATCTTCTGGCTCGCGTGCCTTGCTCCATGTCGATGTGGCGAGTGCAGAGCTCTCACACCACTTACGAGAGCTAGACGTAATTAACCATCGACATGAATTGCTCCGAGTCCTTAATCACCTGCCTACCTAGGTAGCTATGTAAGCACCCTAATCCCACCCAGGACTACACTACCTACCATGGTACCCAATGCATAGAGACTGGATGAGTATTGCAAACGCAGCTTTTGTGTTGACACGTCTTCGAGCCTGGTTTACCAGGCTGATCGGAATTTTCGCTGAGGAGACGTCGTCGCCCTTTTCTCATCTATGCCGCTTAGGGTTTCTTGTAGTGGTGATGCGACCTCAACTAACATACGCAGAGAAAGCTTGACAGAACAAACTTCAAATCCTTGGCGAAACGAGGCATCACCTGATAGCCTCGACCTCCACTACCCTCCTTGTCTTACCTTGGGGTACACTACCTACTTCACCCTGCTCCTGAAGGAGGCCCTTGCCTCATCGGAACATCAGCTCGGGCATTCAAGTTGCTCCGCCGCCCGACTTAACCCCCCTTTTTCCCATAATGCCGCTCTTCCAGGCCATCAAGCTTCCTTTCTTCCTACACATCGCCATCGAGACGGCCGCCGCCTGCACCTTCATCTTCAACCCCGCCACGCAGGTCCCAGCCCCGTCTCCCGCCACTCGACTGGTGCTGCAGTCCTTTGGCGGCTTGCTGCTTAGCACGAACCTGGTATGCCTCACCTTCGTCGCGCGGCCATTTGACGAGACGACGAGGCGAGTGGCGGCGGCGTTGGCGTTTTGGCACGCCTGGCCATGCTGGCGCGCCTATGTAAGGCTGGCGAGGCCCGAGGTGGATGGGACGGGCAAGGACAAGCACGAGGGCGAGTTAGTGAGGAAGACGCTTGCTGGGCCGGGTGTTCATCTAGCAGTACATGTTGGGATGTTCGTGTTATTCGCCGGAGCCGCGTTTGTTGGATAAAGAGCTTCACGCCTTCGGATCCTACCCGACGAAGACGCGCGGTCTCCGCATCTACGTAATAACAGTCGACTCCTGTGTTCTGCTCGACAAGCCATGGTCTATATATATATATGTACATATATCATGGGGACATCGTCATGATGTACAACTCTATAGGCAACAAGCTTTCTCACCCCGCCTAGACCGTTGCTTCAGTTGCGGAACAATCGCAGACCGGCCTCCTCGGCGTCAACATCCTCATCGTCCTCCATCTCTGCGTCGGATGCTTGCTCACTCAGCTCCATCTTCTGCCCGAACAACGTGCCGAACAACCGGTCGATCGCGTCCTGCTCCCACGCCCTCCGGTCTTCGGGCGCCATGAAATTCTGCAGTTTCTCGTGCACGTTGAACCGCATCTTGCGGCCCTTGCTCGCCCTCCTGTCGACGTGCTTCTTCGTCTTGGCCTCCTTCATGGCCGCCCACCGTACCGTGGGCTGCGCCGCCGTGCCGCCGCCGGTGTCGGACGTGCGCTGCTCGACGAGCTCCTTAAGGAGCAACTGGTAAAAGTCCGCGTCGTCATAGACCTCCGGGTCCTCGTTGACCTTGCGCGCCACCTGCGCAGGCGCACAGGACCGCGGCGTGCGCGTGCGCTTGACCAAGCGGTCGACGTTGAGGAGCTGGTCCTCGAGGCTGGCGACGATCGACGTCTGCGTCGAGACGAGGTTGCGGGACTTGACCTCGACGTTGGCGCTGCGCGTCTTGGCGGACCACGTCTCAAGCACCTTCTTGCGGTACTTTGACGCGCGCTGCTCGGCCTCCTGGATGCCCTCCCAGATGACCTCGCTCGACGTCGACGTGTCGTAGTCGCCGCGCTTGCGCTTGGCGCCCGCAGCCTGCTGCGCGAGCTCGGCGGGGAGCAGGCTGGCGCGGAAGCTGTCGAGGGTGTTGAGCAGCTTGAGCGCGGCCTCCTCGGCGGCCTCGTACGGCTCCGAGCCCTGCCCGTCTTCTTCTTCATCACCATCTTTGGAGGTGGGCTCGACCGCGGAAAAGGAATTTGTCGCGACGAGGGCCTTCTGGAGGCGGATGCGGATGTTGAGGAGGCCGTCAAAGGTCTTGCGTTGCTCGCGGACAGCCATGCCTTTCTGCGCGTCCTGCTGGACGGCGGCGGAGATTGTGGCCGCGAGCGCCTTTTGGCCTTCGCTCATGAGCTTGCGCTGCTCGGCTCGTGCGTCAGCCGTGGAAGATTTGCGGCGCGGCTGGTCGTCGTCGTCGTCGTCGTCGTCGTCAGAGACGTCTGAATCTTCCTCGGAGTCTTCGTCTTCGTCCTCGCCGGAGCCGATTTCCGCGTCGTCCTCGTCATCTTCATCATCGTCCGAGCCCTCAAGATCGCCCAGAAGATCCTCATCGCCGCTGTTGGAGCCTTCGAGATCTTCGTGGTCGAGCTCGGCGCTCTCGCTGTCGTTATCGCTGCCCTCCTCCTCGTCAGAGATGAAGTCGGCGGCCTTGAGCCTCTTGCTGCGACTCTCCTTTTTGTCTTTGGGCAGTGAGTTGCTGCGAGAAACGAAGCCGTGGAGCTCCTCGTCGTCGCTATCGCCAAAGGCGTTGTCGCTCGAGATTTCAACGTCTTCATCTCCGGCAGCGGCTTCGTCGGCGGCCAGGTCGGCAGTCTCGGGGTCGTCGAACTCTTCGCCGTTCGAGTCGAGGTCTTCCCGCGCATCCTCGAATACGTCGCTGCCGTCCTCGCCGCTCGAATCGTTCAACGCATCCCGACTGACGCGGGCGCCACGATACTGGGGTCCGAGGGAAACGCCCTCCTTTTCGCGGAGCTTGCTCTTGCTGCCGCGATGGTTAGCCTTCTGCAACGACAGACCTGAAAATGGTGCGTATCGTACCCTACGGTCACATAGTGCTCGGTGCCCGCATTTTCGTCAGCGGCCTCTTCACTGCCGCTTTCGTTTTCGCTCTCCTCAATAGGTTCGGCCTCGGGATCGAGATCTGTAGAATAGTGTAAGTATTTGCAGGACCGGAGTCGCTTGAAAACCTTGTGCGTTACCCTTTGGTGCCTTCTCTTCCCAGTCGGAAGCTCTTCTGCGGGTGGCCATGTTGCTTGTCTACTGCGGTTTGTACGGCAACTGATCGAGGAACTCCCTAGGCGAAATTTCTGGGCTTCAGAAACTTTTTGGTGGTGTCGCGCGGCAGAACCAGGGACCCCACCATCCATCCATCCATCCCATCGATTTGTATTATGTAAGCTCGGCTCGGTCTCTCCAGAAATGGGCTTCTCCTTGTACGGATAGTTAGTTATCCATGGTATTCGAACAAAGAACCAGAGAGCAGTTAACTAACCTTAATGGACCTTGACCAGATTTCAATATGTTTCAAAGTTTGAATTCCGACTGCTCATATTCCGAGTTTATTATAGTGTCGCAGTGCGTCGATGATTACATAGACCACCTGCTCTGCATATATGTGTACTTAGGTATCTACGTATGATTCCTTACTACTCTGTACCTCGGTCAGCTTTGCGTTGCTAAAAAGGCCCAACAGCCAGCCAATCAACCCGCGATCGCATGCTAAGCCCCTGTACCGTCACGTGATGGGGTGCTGTGCGGCGCAGGATGCGCTATCTACCTGTCAGCGGAAGATGCCCCATTCCATTTCCAGAGAAGTGCCGCTAAGGAAAGGAGGTACCTACCTTGGGGGGGCCAAGTCTTGGAAAGAGACTCGTTCATTACTCGCCTGCTTTTCACATTCACGAACAAGGCCCTGGGACAAGAAGCACTGGACAAAAAAGCAAAAGATCCTGCCGGGGGAGTCTCGCTATGCGCAATGGAGCAGATTGAGACGCAAGTCAGCGACTTGCGCTACTTGACTCAACAAGCAGTCATCCCTCTGCCGCCCGACCGCGCTGTTCCTTCTCCACACAATCACTCTGCTCATTCCCCCTTTCCGCGACACCCGGAGACAATTCCGCGCAACACCCAGGTCCGCCCTCGAGAGGCCAAACTGCCGCCGGCACGCCTGGTTCGAGCTCTGTATCGGGTTCCAAGAGGAAGTCGGAGGACGAGAGCAGTGCTGCAAAGCAGCAAAGGAGCAAGAGGAATCGGGTGCGTTTGTCCCTGCAATCAGCCTGCCACTAGCCATGGCCATTCCACCTCCTACCCCCCAAAGTGCATCTCACTCCTGTTCCCGACCCGTGCTGCCATGTTCCTCTCGATACAAACCCTGTGGGAATCCAGAAAGCTAATTACTGTTCCTGTTCCAGTACATATCCATTGCCTGGTAAGGACATCTCTGTCTCCGCCATGTCTACCGTGCAGGCGTAGCCAAAGAGATCCATCCTCTTGTGAGCGCATGCCGGATTGCCCAATGTCGTTGCGGCCCTACGCCTCTACCTGTTTGGATCGGACAGCCTATCCCAACGACCTCTTCCTTGCCCCTGCTCAAACAGGTTTCCTTTGGCTACGTGCCATAACAGCCCAAGATCACCAATATCACTAACCGTTCTTCTTTACAACAGCAACGAATGCAAAAGACGCAAGATCAAGTGCAATGGCGAGACTCCCTGTCAACGATGCGGCAACCTCAACCTGGCGTGCCTATACGCCCCAAACTGCTGCTCCAACAACTTCAAGGATTCGGACGAGTACAAAACCATGACGGCGCAGATGGCGCGCCTGCAAGAGCAGGTTGATGCTCTCTATCAGAACATGAACGCCCTCCGTTCCGAAACTCTACATCTGGCTCCCATCCAGGACAAAGCATTGCCTCTCCCCTCGAGCATAGTTCAGGCCTCCCCGACGAGCTCGCTGTCTCCTCTCCATCGCCCTGATTTGATCCAGTCCAAGCAGGCATCCTTCCGCGGGCCAACCAGCATGGCCTTTAGTCTTGACGTCGCAAACACCACCATTCATAACATGGGCTACAAGGGTATAGGGGATGGCGACGACCGGGGCACACAGTTGGGGATACCCGAGGAGAGTCCTTTTCGCACGGCTCCCCGGGAGAGTCAGGTCGACCCGTTGTGGGATTTTGGAAAGGACGAGATGATTCGCCTGTGTCGGTTACATGAGGAAGAAGTCGGCATCATGTATCCTGTGATCAAGATACAGTCCGTTATTGACCATGTCCGCCACTTGGCAGCTTATATGGACTCGGCTAGGAAGCAGGGTCTTACACCCAGTTTCAACGACGAGAAGACACTCCAGCTCAAGATTGTCATGAGCTGCGCCCTGGTTGTAGAAGAGCACGGCCACAGCGAAAGGGCATCCAAGCTGATTGACAGCATGGAGGCAATACTCAACCGGAAGCTCATGGTCGAGGCTGTTGACGTTGTGAGTCTTCCAGCGCTGGCCCTTCTTGCTGGCTACAGGTTTCTGGCCAACGAGGAGATCCTCGCATGGAGAGTCATGGGTCAGGTTACTAGGTTATGTCTGGAGATGGGCATCCACCGAACAACTGGCATTGCCAAGATTCGAGACGAAGAGGAAAGAAGGATCGCTTTGAATAGCTTCTGGTCGGCCTATGTTTTGGATAGAAGGTGGGCCTTCAACACAGGTCTGCCGTTCGTGGTTCCAGATGAGGAGATTGATCCAGCTCTACCCATGCCCGTAAGTAGTCTTTTGTGTTGCAGTAGATGGGAATGGCATCTCACTCACACATGAACAGGAAGAGTATCCGTATCTCGTCGCCATGATCACCTACTCAAGGTTGGGGGCCAAGGTTTGGCGCCAAGTTGCTCACTTCGGCCCTGTTCTGGCCCGCGAGCTCCGACACGAAGACATGGAGCAGCTAGATCAGGAAATTCTGCAGTGGTATGAAAATGTCCCAGAAGAAGTCAAGCTTCGTGGCTGGGACAAGGAGAAGCAAATGACGTCCACGCCGTCGTATAACCTTCAGCGACTGCGTATCTGGACATATCTTCGTTTCAATCAGGTCCGTTGTTACTGATCGGCGAGCAATGGAGAGGATAGTGCGACGCTGACATACTTCAGATTCGTATCTGGCTATATACACCGATCCTTCACAGCGCTACAAGCATAATGAGCCATTTGGCTCAGGCTCAACGTGTCGTCGACCTCGCAAAAGATACGATTCGCTATCTTGGCCACCTTAACAACACCACGAACCTTTACCGCAAGATCCAGGTCTTTTATCACCAGTTTCTCACATCCGCAATATCTGTCCTCTTCCTGGCCTCTGTCCACGCTCCAGTAAGGTTCAGTTCCACTTGCCGCGAGGAGTTCTACATGGGGCTGGAGCTTGTCAAAGACCTTTCGGCCAAGAGCTGGGTATCGCAACGGTTGTGGCGTACAATCAGTTCGCTTAAAGAGGTCGCGCCGAGCATTGGTTTGCGCAATCAGTCGGATGAGGATGCCCATAGCTCTGCGGCCCTGGCGATGGCCGGCTTGGCCAGCGGGCAGGTGTCAACCAGCCCAGCCACAATTGCCCCCTTTGGTCGTTCTTCCCTCTCGACGACGCCTACGATGCATCAACAACCAACACCCAATTTGGAGACGGCACAATCACCAAATAACGGTGTTCGCATTCAAACTGAAATGAGTCGCATTTTCGAGGGTTACATGGGACTTAATGGAAATCCAGCTGGGGGAGAAGACGGCTTTGGGGAACAGCAATCGAGTGCCAATCTGCCCCCCAGTGCTTCAAGCCCCTACGTTGACAACGTCTTTTTCCACTTCAGGGAAATGTTTTAGGGTTTCTATGGGTCAAGCCGCATTCCGTTTGTGTGGGCGGCTGTCTGTATCATGGGGGCATTTATCGACCGAGGTTGAAGGGGTGACGAATAATTGGGATGTGGTGGGTATTCTCAATCATGCGTGAGGGAGAAGAAAAGTAGTCCTCGTTGAAAGGTGTGCCGCACCGGAGATAAAGCCTCGTGACCAGCGATAGCTGGCGATGCCCGGCATCGCCGAAACCCAGGTCCTTACGCCGCCGGCACTTATGTAGTATGTACAGACTGTTGTATTTACAAGAAAAAAAGTTTGATAAATCTCAACATATACCTCGTCCATGTGATTCCTCACAAGCCAAACCACTTCAGGTCCTCGCTTACGTTAACTGGTACAGTATGCCCAACAGCTTGCGCAGAGACGCCCATAACTTGAGTGCCATCACCATAGATGATGCGCGTGTAGCCGCCAGTGGGTGAGTTCGTGATGTTCGTAGTAAAGCTGACACCGTGGATAGTGGACCACTGTTTGAGCTGCTCCTCCAGGTTGGGCGGCCTGACGAGCCCGTCTGCCGTGCCATGGTATGTTTGGATGCGCGGGTAGCTCCCATTGTAGCCCGGATACATCTCATGCACCTGGGAAGCCCATTGTGTACCTGTCTTGATGACTTGAGCGTTGGCGCACTTGCCATCGGAGGTGGTAGGGCTTGAGCCTGGCGATCCTGCGACGCATCCCGCTGCAACACCCGAATAACACGTCGCCGCGGCAAAGATGTCTGGGTACGTAGCAGCAAGCACGTTAGTCATCATGCAGCCTGACGAGCTTCCTGTAACAAAGACGCGCTTCGGGTCGGCATTATAGCTCGCGATCGCGTAACGGACCATGTTAGCCAGACCCGTGGAGTCGCCGCCACCGTCGTGCTTAAGGGAGGCTGCAGAGGCGACGTCCCAGCAGTTATTGTCTCTGGTGGAAGACGGGTATATGACAAGGAAGTTGCGCTTCTGATCGGAGGCCGCAATGTAGTTGGCTTGCTGGGCGTAGGCGTGGCCGGAGCCACCGCAAAGGTGGAGGGCGAGGATGATGGCGGGATTGGGGGCCATGTTGGGAGGAACGGAGATGTCCATGGTCAGGCCGGTCGGATTGGCGCCGAAGTCCCCGACATGCTGGAGGGCCGCCTCAGCATGGGAGAGGAGGGGAAGGAGAGTAAGAAAGATGCTGCGGAGATGCATCTTGGGCAAACGAGTGACGATTTCCAGAATCTGTGTTGAAGTTGAAGCTGAGTTAAACTTCTTCAACGAATGAGGCTCCGGATCAGGAAGCAGCTCTTATATAGGGATACGCACAAGGGTCCCATCAAGGGGGTCTCTGGTGTAAATGAAAGGAGCCAAAAGCAGGAGCCTTGTCCGCTGCGTCGCCCCCAGCCTAATTGCATGCATGGTATCCGTGCAACTGTTACTCTAGGGCCTCTAAAGCATTCACGATTTCTTCAAGTAATACGCATCTCCGAGAGCCTCGCATGTGATATGTCAAATGTCGAAATTGCAGATCAAGAAGCGGCTATAGCGTACACCTTCGCTGGTCTCCATCGTGACCCAACCTCTAAGGTGCGTCCTAGATTGACGTTATCAAGATGTCAAAACACCAAGTCTTACCAGTTTAGCATGGGCAGAGTGTGTCTATCCATACTATATGTGTATGTGGCGCTTGTAACAAGCTAACATTCCCAAGAGAACCGCACTAGAGTGCCTGACCGGAAATTTAAGCCTGCCAGGTTAGGAAATTTTGCCGGTTATTCTGCCCACCGGGGGGGGATCGTCCCATAACTTCGGCAAAAGAGTCGGTAGCTGCGGAGACTTTGAGGGGCGCTTGGTCATGCCTAATGTTCTATATATATTGAGAACCCCTAGTTGCGGGAGAGGGCCAATATAGGCCGGACCAGAAATGTTAGGTGTTGACAGCTACTTAGGTATTCTACACAGTAGGTCTGTACTACCTACCGTCAGAGTAGTAGTAATATGGGTATATTTACGGGCGGATGCACTTCCTTGGATTTGACCCACGTCCGAGCCGGGGTGCCTTGTTGCGCCGTTGGATCAGCGTTGTGGTCCAAGCCTTTCTTGTAACAGGCTGACACGGAAAACTCATGAAATAAAGGGGGGGGGGAGAGAATGATCAGAGGCGCCACACGGGCCCGCTTCGGGATATGCCGAGAAACTACCGTTGTATTGGTTTTATATAGAGTGCGGGGGACATCGGCGTCGAGCGGGGCCGGGGGACGGGGCCTCGGAGCGGAAGGACTTCTGGATACGAGTAGACCAGATTCGGTATCGCGAAGCCGAACTTTTGGATTTAATCCCATGTGTATAATATGCCGAGGTAATTGCTGCCTTGGACGCCGTCAGGTCTGTTTACGCGGGCTCGATCGCTCCAATGCGTTGTACGGCATGACTCCAGTCTCCAAGCAAGCTTCCGTGTTGGGCCAGGTGGGCTTTAGGAACAACATCCTGGCGTACAACTAGGTGACGGACGTGTATCGCCGGCTCAAGGCATCGTTATCTGCCTTTGACTGCCCGGGTTTACGTGGTGGTGAAAATGTGCTGTGCAAACCGTCATTTCAGGAAAAACTTAGCCCCAAGACGCTAATTCTAGTCAAAAAACGTTTCGTGCACCTCTACAAGCTTGACGTTGACAGTTAGGTCTGGGGCTATCACGTTTGCTACTGGTGTAGCTGTGTTCTACCTCGGGAGTACTTTAGGGATAGGGTAGCTAGGCATTAGCAGGCGCGTAGCAGATGCTTGATGCCGCCCTGCTGCTGTCAGTGCTGCGCTGTGCGCAACAGGCGTTACTGCCATTTGTAGCCTGCGAAGAAGCAAGGTGCTGTTTGTTATCTTTGCTAGCGGTGCAGCAGGTTGTGGCATTAGTGTGAGGCCCAACGATGCCAAAAGGTGGCGATTTGTATTAAGATTAATGGCGGCGATACCGGGCTGAGGTACTGGACTCACAACCCAGAACCTGCTTCGAAGTGTCAGACTAGCGGATAGCGTCTTTTCCCTAGAGGCGTGAGAAGCTTGACCAATACCACATGGCCCAACTCGGATGCCAAGACGGAGCGGTACGATGTTTCTGTCGATCTGTCGAAACAAAAACGGTACAGGACGCCGAAGGAACGTGGATGCCAATGAACATAATTATGAAACAACAGTCAAGCCTGTCATCTCCGATCCATGTAGCGAGACGTGCTCGAGAAACTAGCCCCCTCAGTTTTCAAATACCCAATGCCGTGTCCCCCGCAAGCGGGCCGATCAGAAATGGCAACGCGCTGATCGTCTCAACCAAAAAGGGTTGTTCACACCGGCGATGACCCTTCTTGGTCGTCCGCGTAGCTCAAAATGAGCCCAGATCAAGACGCTCTTAGCAAAGCCCCCAACGCGTTAATCGTGCCGGATAATGATCTTGTCAGGAACAATTAGGGTCCTGCTGATATCATGAAGACACCGCTATCAAATTGTAAATTCCGTACCTGCACCTCCTGAACAATGTGGAGGCACCATCGCCGGTGTGTTTCATTGGAGGATTACTCAAAAGTACACGGCGAGCTTCGGTAATTACCAGACGACTCTTTGATGAAATTATGGAACAGCAAGTAGCAGTGGATACTGTCGTAAGCTCAAAGCGTTGCCTACTGAACCTGACGGCGCTCAAATAACTCATATATTTGAGAGCAGGAAAGGATATTCAAATAAGTTCTCTTTTAGAGCGCAATCCTCCCCCCTATAGCACCGACTTTGGTTTCTTGGACGAACCCGCCCGTCTGCATGTCTGATGGGGCATATAATATTGGTACCATAATCTCACGATATTCGCAGGGGGTTTGAGTTCTGTTTCCAAAACGTGGGAGACATTGCGTCATCAAATCGACAGAGGTCCACCGACAATAGACGCCATACATTTAAAGATAAAGAAGACAAGGTTCTTAATTTGGAAAATACCAAGAGTGCTTTGAGTGGTATAATGTGTTCAATATATTTGCAGGTACACGGTTTCTGTGTGAAACCAAAAGTCGTTTGTGTTCTGCTATTTAATTACCGAGTCTCGTGGACTTCCTGGAGAATTAAATCAGAGACCGAGTTCTGGGCATAGCCGTGTTCCTACTCTGTATCTTCATAGGGCTTGGCTCCCATATGTGTCCAAACCCGCTCAATCATCAAGGTAACAGCCTTGTTCTTCGACCGGAACAGTAACTCGGTGTCTCCAGTTCCAAAGGCCGAGATGGATTTGTGCTGCAATTGGGTCAGCCAGCATTTCAAAATAACATGTAGTATAGGGTACGATAACTCACCAAGCCAAGTGTCAACTTGATAAAACCATACGCCCAGTGTTGGTGATAGAGTTTCGTAGGCTGCTTACCCTGAAGAGCCAGAAGCAGATTGTCTGCAGCGTAAGTGGCCTGCTTCATGGCAACTCGGGCATTGGGGTTGGTGACACCCGTCTCAGCAACATCACCACAGACGTAAATATTAGGAAGCGAGTCGACGCCAATCTGCATTGTAGGTTTGACCTTGATACGGCCCGAGTTGGCGATCGCCTCAGGGACGAACTCGCTGATCAGCTGAGAGGAAGGTTGCTGGCCAATGGCGTTGACCTGCTCATGTGTTAGCAGCTGAGAAAGCCGAGCACTTTTACCACGAGCTCGAGACTCACCAAAAAGTCGCACTCAATCTTGCGGCCAGAACTAAGGGTAACAAGACCGTCCACAGGCGACTCAGTAGTTGTCCGTTCTCCCAGAAAGACCTCGATGCCAAGTTGCTTCAAGCCCTCGAGGGCTCTGATTTGCAGATCTTGGCCGAACCGATTCATGACTGCGTCTCTGGAATGAACCAACGTCACGTTTTTCTCGGGATACCGATCTTTGGCATCTGTGGCAAGCTCAACACCCGCGGCGCCCCCGCCGACAACAACCAGATCTCTCGCGGCCTTTATGCGCTGCTGGAAGCTCTGCAGTAATTGGATTCCTTCCGTCTTGTCCGTTGAGCCTACTCGTGATGGCAATGTCATGCCAGCGCCGGATCCCGTTGCAATGATCATGTAAGAGTACGGAATCTCTTCGCCGGTGCTTTGGATGGTTACCGTTCTCTCCGTGATAGTCGAGACACGGTCATGAATCCATCGTACGATGGACTCGGAGCCTGCCGGCAGGTAAGTCCCATAGGGGATAAACGTTTTGTGCTCATGTCCCTCCACGACACAAAAGCGAGGCAGCGTCCATGTGAATTGCCAGTGCCGGTTCGGTTCGATGATAATGAGACGGTATGGCCCCTCTACTGGCAGTGAAGCGGCTATCACTCGGACGGCATGGTAACCGGCGAATGAAGCCCCAACGATGACAATATTGACCGGCTCGGCGTCTTTCGCTGCTGGGGGGATGGGAATTTTCTTGGTGAAGTAGTATCGCCACAGGATGTCCGCAAACCGCCCAAATGCGTATCTCACGAGCCCAACAAAGAGGACCACTTTCCGCGACTTCTTCAGCATGTTGGCCGACTCCGGGAGCTCATTGGCTTTTTTTTTTGGGGGGGGGGGGGGGGGGGGGGTGAGGTGCGAAAGTGACGGCGCAAAGGCCTATTCAAATGAGAATAAATAAACCCCCGGTTGGTTCATGGGCACTTTTTACGAATCTCCTGGTGTAATGCAAAAGGGAAAGGGCAGGTTGGCTATATGAATTGGTAGAGAACCTGCTTATCAGATGCGCATCTGATTAGAACCCGAGGCGGACTAAACGGAGATGAAATGTCCGTCGGGGCGCCGGGGGTCTGTTGCTGGCTTCGGCCGACACGACCTCGGCACCAGCAAATTCAGACATGATTTGCTTGAGCCGGCGGATTTAAGGAGAGAAGGCTGTTCGGTCTTGTAGACCCTAGATACCTCAGCATCGAGGCATGGCCCTGCGTGATTCCAAGAGAACATACATTACCCTCAATGACAAAGGCTACATTGAATGTGCTGACATTCAAAGGAACCTTATTAGGGTTTCATTGGCACAAGAGTCATGACAGCGTATTGATAGCATTAACTCAATTAGGGGGGAGTCATCCGATACATAATCGTTGTTGCCTGCACCGAAGATGCCGTCGCCACATATGCCTCCGATTCTTAAAGCCTGCACCTCCCGAGACCTGGATCTCGACAATTGACCACGGGAGTAACCAACCCTTCTTTGACCTCCCTGAAGGGAGACTACCCCACGCTGCGCCATTCCTTGAATGCCATGCCCCCAGCACAAGCGGGCATCTTGACCATGAGAGGCACCTCAATGTCCTCGGCTGTGCCAATCAGCTCCGCCTTGTGGATGATCTTCTCTTCCAGGGTCTCGTAACCCATTTTCTCGTACAGCTGGTAGGTCGAGGGTGACAATTCGAAGTAGATGGGGATCCCCAGGCTGTTGCTGAGCTCAATCCCCCACTTACGCCAGAGGGCACCAGCCTTTCTGTCCTGATGTTTCGGATCCACGGCAATAACGTGGGCGTCTTTAGAAAAAGAAAACAAAACCAGGCTAGTCAGTCTTGGCTCCAAACATGATCGTCGGGATGTCTTGGCGGCGACTTACAGATGTACCGTCGCCGGCCAAACAGCCTTTCTCTGACATCGTGAAGCGGCTTGAGAACCGCCTCGGCACGCTCTCTGGCCGCTCCCTCGAGCCAGCCTACACCGTGATTTTTACGCTCTTCTTCACTCCGTTCTTTGAGATAGATATTACCCAAAGCCATGCCAACGACCTCCCCTGTGTCGGTGTCGACACACTTGTATGTGTATTGGCAGTCGTTGTGGTGCCACCACGATAGAGTGCCCGCGGTTTGAGCTTTACGAAACTCTTCAGAGTCTACTCCGCCTGGGAGCAGTATTTTGACCATGATGTCTCCCATAACGTCACCTTTGAACGCTTTAAAGTAGGTCCGGTATTAACGCGGGCAGGATTGCGTAACCCATTATGACGAAAGACCGAAGAGGGAGAAGAAAGCCGGATTGGTTGGAGACCCTAGAAAGGGGGGGCAAGGATAGACTGGCAAGATTTGAACGTGCGGCGAGAACAAAGCAACGACGTCTTTGCAGGTCACAAACGGTCTCATTTGTCAACGAGGAAAGTACCACGACTTATATACAGGCCTCTTATCTCATAGGCCTCCGTTGCTGCATAGGGACTGGGAGACCCGCCAGAACTGCACCATCTGCGTTGCAAGACTACTCAACCCCCTCACGTTTTCCTCGGAGTCTCCTTCTGGTCTAGGCAACGCCGGACAGAGCATATCTCCCTGGGGGAATCTTGAGATGGGTCTTTTCCTTGTTATGCATGTCGGTAAGGGTAAGTATAAAGTCCCAACCGAGCAAATAATAGACATGGGTCGGCATTTCAGCTGAAGGACGTGCCCCTCGGTGGCCAGAACACATCCAGAGTTCACCAGTATTACAGAGTCCTGCTGCTGAAATAATATTGGCAGCTGAAGCTTTAGAGTTTGACCGATTCCGCAGTGCTTGCCGATGGCAATAGTGGCCAGCTGATTCCACGACGCCAAATGACACGGGTTCCGATGGTCCGGTATCCTTGGTGCCGATTCTAGGCCCCGTTTAGACAAGATTAAAGTTATCAGATCCGCAATTCCAGCATCTCAACAAGTACAGGTGTCCGCGACGACCATGACCTTGGTAAGAACAGAAGAAAGCTAGCAAAAGGTTTCTCGACCCTTGGCCAAAGCGCACCACTCCACTACCTCGCAGTTCGTCACAGGCCGCTCTTGGTGGCGGCCAACGGCTGGGTCCTGTCTCACTCTCCGTACCCAGCATCACGTCGGGCGTTGGGTGCTTCGATGTCCTCTAGAGCTTTTTAAAACGCTTCAGAAGAGCCGAGGAGGGAATCAAACCGCTTATCGATTTCCATCGATTGGTGGCGTTGTCACTACAGTACCGAAACAACTCAGCATCGGCGCTAAGATTGATGACTTTTGGTTGTAATGCCAAAGCTGGCTTACCAGACCTGCTTCGCTTCCTCCAGCCATTATCTGATCCATCAGGTCCAATACGGCTCTCGGCATCATGACGTCTAACGACTCATCCATCCCGGAGCATATGTTGAGTTGGGACTAGTGGGTCGACGACTGGCAGGGGTTCTCGGCCCTGAGATAGCATTTGCTTTAGCGACGGAGGCAATGGGGAAGAAGAAGGGAAAAAAGTTCATTCCATCCTGAGAATTGATTTGGCGCCTTCTACTTTGGAACTAGAGACCGAGTCCTTTTCCATTTGACCCTTCGTTGTGGCAGGGCCCTCGGGGAATACCCTGGTGGGCGTGGTCTGATTTTTACGCCTGATCTCTTAATCAGTACCCAGTTACTGAATCAGTCACAAGAGTCTCTCATAGCTGGGCAATGGGACTACAGAGTCAAACTATGAGAAAGGGCTCTCATGGCTGCTTCCGAGGTTCCATATCTCGAACTTCGGTGCGCTTCACTACTTGGTCAACCCTGCGAGCCACCAGCCCTATGCGAGCGTCATGGGCATTGGCTAGTTGGCGTTGTATCCCAATATGCTCCCAGACGCATGCCAAGTGGATATGCATGGGAACACAGGCAAACATCTATAAGTCTATTGGGTGAGAAAGGCCGCTTACTCGGCAAGTTGAATCTGGATCGCCAAGTCCTCTTGATATAAACTGTGGAGTTGTGGAATCGTAACGAGTCCTAAGGTTTCGATTGCAATTATGATGAGCCCCTTGTTGAAATTCTTGTCGGTGCAGTGTCCATAAGCAGCCAAGGGTGAGCTCGAAAGCTGTTAGACTGACGTGATAACCAACTACACCGCCAGACCTGGTTCGGTTGTTGAGTATAATGGAAGGGTAAGCGGAATAATGTAGCTGTTTGCGAATTGTAGTGGAGTGAAGTCACGAGCAACGGGATTTGGGCCGCGAGAGCCTGCTGGCTGATATGAAGTTTGCACTAAGGTTATTAAATATAAGAGCTCGCGAGGCCAACGTGTCAGGACTCCTCCTGCTGGGGTTTTTATAAGTCTCGGATGGGCCCCGGGACGCTGGCTGAGACAAGCCGCCGCATGTCAAAATGATGCCTTCGAAGTCCTTTATTAAGTATTGTATGTGTTGGATATCATAAGCGCAAGTCGTAAACTTGGGCAAACAAGAAACCACAACGCTTTATTCCGCCGTAAATCCCGTTTTGGTCTCTCCTAGGTCCCATATACCATCGCATATCCAGTGCCCATCCTCTTTCGTCCACAAAACATCTGGAATCCTGCTGAACCTTGCGTCGTAGCGGTCCGAGACGCCCATCCAGAACCAGAAGTCATGCCATTGCACCGACATGGGTTTCTGAGACTCTGGCTCCGACTGCGAGGTCTGCGGTGCCGGCTTGATTCCCTTCTCGTCGAAGCAGTCGGCGACCTTCAACCACAGGTTCTCGTCCTTCAGCTGGTGAATCGCGATGGCCTCATCGCCGACTAGGGCATGCTGAATGGCGTCCGGGTGCGTCTTCCTCCTCGCCCATGCCGTACCATTGTGCCGGGCGTCCTCGTCGTCGTAATCAAACTTCTCCGTGCCCCTGAAGTTGACAAAGCTGGCCCTCTTACGCCCGTTCAACATGAGAGTAGCCACGGCCATATCTTCCCCGGTAACCACACCTTGCTCGCTCTGGAGGCGTACCAGGAGCTTGACCATGTCCCAAGTGACAGTGTACATAGCTCCATGAGGGAAGACGAGGTCCCAAGTGGGAGAGTAGTAGAGCTCGCCGATAACGGTTTTCCGAACCGTGCTTTTCAGGGTCCCCATAGCGGCATCCGTCAATAGTCTCGGCACAAGGAAGCGATCCCAGAACCCGCGAGCGTTGAGCCATAGGTCAGTGTCCATTTTGGAGACGAACTCGTATTTGACGTCGTGGTCGACCAGCCACTTGAAAAACTCGAGAGTCTTGATGGTGTTGGCGGTAACATCGTTCTCAGCGATGTGATCGAGCACAATTATGTCCCCAAAGGTGCGGTTCTCCTTGGCCACCATTTCAGTCCACTGAGGTCCCGGGTTGGACACCACAAAGCGTCCGTCGAAAGGCACGTCCTCAAAGATTCTCATCCATGTTGACCGAATGAGCGTCCGGCGGTTGGCATCTGATGCTGTGGAAATGACCGCCGCGAGCCAGGGTTTTGGGAGCTCATCGGCGGTGCCGTTTGTTGTTGAAGGCTGCTGAGGTGAGTAGGGGAAGGGGTCAAGAGCGTAGGAGGGCTCCGGCAGGCCATCCACGAGGTTGCCATGGACGATAGGCTGCGTGATGGGGGCCGCGAACGGCTCATGGTGTTTTCGCTGGGTGTGCTGAGTAAGGTGAAAGGCAAGGCCGAGGAAGATGATGAAGCAGGCTGCAAAAACACGAAAGAACTTTCTCTGAATGCATAGGCTAAACGACGCCCACATCGTCACAAGCATCGACGAACACGAAGCTACGGAAGGCATGTCGTCTCTCCGATTCAATTCTGTGAAGACGGCAAGTTAACGGACGAGCAACGAACGGTTGTCGAAAGAAGGGAGGGAGAGAGTTCTCAGAAGATGGGACGAGATGGGATAGAAGAGACGTAACTCCAAACCCACCCCCTCTCGCCTGATACAAAACATCACACAATCAAGTTTTCAGCAGCAGCAGCAGCAGCAGTAGCAGTACTATTCCTAGCCTAAAGTATAAAATACATCCCTGAGTAACAACCCCCCCGGCTAAGAGGGCAATGAGACTGGGTTGAGTCGTAGATAGATCCTCATCGGCGTAGTTGGTTTGACGCACAGCCGCAGGCAAACCCGAATCAACTTGCAACAACACGTGCAGCAGGCCTCTGTTTGGGCTGTGGCTTTGTGAGTGTCCGAGTTATGATATGTTCGGCATCTTAGCCATGTGTTCCTCTCTGATTTGGCTTTGGTGCTTGGGCCAATGGCAGTTGTCTTGAAGACGCTGCTATTCGTGCTTTTCTCTTGAGAGTGACGTAGATGGAGGGTCCCAAGCTACAAAATTCTTTCCTAAGGTTCTGCACGTGGTCAAGGTCCAAGTCTACTGGCTAGTCAACCATACGGGTCAGCCTTGGAGGCGGACAGCCCCCTTTTTGACTTTGAAGGGATTCGGTGTGCGACGCACTGCCCCGGAGCAGCTACACTACACTACCAAACTACCTACTCATGATTTGCCAATCGCTGATTAACCGAAGAGGTTTGTGTCGGTGAGGATTCACAAGTGCGGAGGGGCGAGAAAGGAACTTTTGCAGCTGCAAAAGGATGAATCATGTCGAAATTGCCAACGGATCGTTTCCTGCACAGTGCACACAACACTGCTCCATAAGACACTTTACTTCAGGAGCCATGGACGCCTCCGGCGAATTTGACTCTCGGGAACTCGTCGGGGACCGTCTATCTGTCTTGTCATTGGCCCCGTTCGAAACAATTCCGAATATTGCGATCGGACGGAGAAACTCGCCAGAGGCGTGGAGAGGATGGAATCGTCATCACCTCCCCTCATAGTAATAACGGCCAAGCAGGCAGCTTTTCTCCACGAGCTGCCTTGCGAATCCTTTGGCGTATCACGCTGCACGAGACTCGAACTGCAACGTTCGAGTTGGTACTGAACCGCAGCCTGGACTGGCATTCTTATGTACACCACAACTGGACATGACAGTCTCTGCCTTGGGAGGGCATGTATCCGCATAGCCTTGTAGCGTCGATGGTCTCCCCGACGTCGACTACATGAGCTATTGCAATATAGATATGCCACAAACAGCTGGCGACGGCCTGACTATAACCGACGTTCAGATACTAATAACCCTAGTTTGAATTGGAGATATTGAGCTTGTTCAAGAGAAATCAGCTGCGCACCATTGGCAGCGGAATGACACGGATAAACGCGTAAGGTTCCTGTCCACCTGAGGGTGACGCCACACTTCATGTATGAACTTATGCGCATGCGCTAATTCGAGTGACCGTTAAGTAGCTTTCGCAGATAGAGGTGAGATATATACGGTCAAACGGTCCATCTAGATAAAAGGGATATGGGGCAAAATGGGCAGTATATACCTGTGGAAAGTCATATAGTCTCACACGTGGTATGCCCACGTGACAAAACAGAGTAATATAGCCCATGATAGGACGATGTGTAGCGAGGGACCCCAAACGAGAGTGGCGGCTTCGCAGACATATATAATGATGAAGGCATCCAAGTTTCTGTAAAGCTCATGGCGAGTCTTGTGTAAGCGCCCACCAGATACCAGTTATGCAGGAAGGGCAGAGCTGACTTCTTTCCTTTTGGGTATATAAGGTTTGATTCAGCAGTTGAGATGGGACTTGGCCTGGATTTTACCCTAAGCAGGGATTGCTGTTGCTTTGATGTTGGATCAGTCAAGGCGGAAATTGGGTGAGTGTTTCTAGGACAAACAGTAAATGAATTGATGCTTTCATAGCAACCATCACCTTGAAATGATTTTTTAGTTCGAACAAATACGTCCCCGTTTCATCATTTATCTACAACAACTAAAACCGCTTCCCGCAGTAGAATTAGCCCTCAGGCGAAGGCGTAGTTTTCTGGATTCAGGTCCTCCCTGAACAGAACGCGTCAAACTGAATCCAAAGCAACATTGCTTCAAGACTTGCATCAGTCTAGTTACTTTTATTACAGTAATAAAAAGATGGATATTCTATTTTTCTTTCGACGTACCGACTTCATGGCTTCGACCACTCGGCATATTGATTGTTGCAAAAGTCTAGTGTTCTAGACGTCCAGCAAGCGCAACGTGATGTACGCATTGGTTAACGTTGTTGAAAGTGAGCGCCCTACAAGCTGTCAAGGCAAATTTTAGACACACATGATGAGTTTAAAATGCATTCTTGATGCTGATTTTTCCTGAACAGTTGACATACCATGGTTGGTTAGCAGGCCATCAATTCGACTCTCGAGCATCGCGTCGGGTTTGGCGAACGTAGTTTCGGGTATTCTACGGCCATGAGAACTCATATCCCGCATCGAACATGATGTAAAGATAAAGGATATTCATTACAATATGACCGGGCTCTTACTATCTCGGTCCTAGACGTGTCGGCGGCTGAGATAGAGCTGCTATGGTCAGACCTATCTATCTCATTTAGGACGGCACAGGCGCTGTTGCATATTAGTGGCGGAGAAGACAGGGGGGGGGGAGTTCCGTGGCGGGGGAGGAGAAAGCACGCCAGAGCAAAGCGGCATGACATCACCAACGAGACACGCAGCATGGGACGATCCATCTCCTCTCCTCTCCTTGCGAAGCGAGCGCTATGCTTCATTTCTGTTTCTTCTCTTCCAACACCTATTCATGGTCCTCATCCTCGGCTACAACCAGCTTCCAAGAAAAGCACTCTTAGTTAGTTGGTAACAAGCAAAACGGCTCCAGAAATGGCGGGCTCCCTTGCAAGCAAGTTCCTGGCTACCGTCGCCCTATGTGCCGCTGCCATTGCTGCGCCCACCGGCGGCGATCAGATCGTCTTCGAGACCGATGCCGATCTGACTCGTGTTCATGAAGAGTAATTGATCACCAACTAATGCACATGGACGCTTGTCTCTTCAAACAACAACTAACGCGCGGCGTAGACTATTCAACGCCCAGGTCATCCCTACCGTCTTGGAGGAGTTCCAGCCCATCCTAGGTCTCTCGGCCGAGTGGTCCTCTGCCGATGTAGCTGATCTCGGCAATACTCTAAAGCCGGCGAATCTCCAGTCTGCACCATCTGTTTCCCTTGTCAAGGGCTCGTCAATGTCCAGAAGCTTCATCACCACGACCTACGTCCTAACGCTGACTGACCCGGACGCACCGACGCGTGACAACCCCATCTGGTCCGAGTTCTGTCACTGGATTGCGACGAGCAGCTCCCCCACCATCTCTGTAGGCATCGACCCGGAGCACTTGAACGACGTTGTTGAGTACAAGCCGCCCGGGCCGCCGCCCAAGACAGGCAAGCACCGTTACGTCTTCACTGCGTGGGTTCCCGCCAACGGGACCAAGGAGAAGCTGCATTTGTCAAAGCCCGAGGAGCGCAAGCACTGGGGAGGCGAGGAAGGGCGCGGCGTGCAGAAGTGGGCGAAGGAGAACGGTCTCGTCGCAGTTGGTGAGTTGAGTTGACTTCGCCGTCGTCTCTATGCTCTTGGTGCAATGACTGACTGATCGCCGTGCAGGTGCAAACTTCATCTACGCCCAGAACGAGAAGTAGTGACTCAAGTGGCCAAAACACACAATTTCTTTTGTCGGTTGTATCAACACAGGAAAAGCAGTAGGGTCAACGCAAAACATGGAGATCAACCGATGATGATTGATTATTGTTACTCAATGGTCACCTAGCCCAGTGTCCCTCAAGCTTGGGAGGCAATGCGATAATAATATGAAAACCAAGAGAAGTATGCATGTAATTAGCGAACCGCAATGCTGTTAAAGGTTCCCTCCTTCCTCTTCCCACCTCATCTTTTGCCTGCGTTTCGTCCTCATTATTGTCCAAACTTTCCCTCTCAAGTCATCTCGAGACCCGATGAAACCTCAGCAAGTTCAAGATTGCGATTTAATCCGTCGTTACTTGCGAGTAGGGGATGAGTTGGAGGCATTTTCAGCCGTCCGGCTGCTACTCGACGTCGGGCTCGGCGTGGCGCTCCGAGCCTTCTCCCTGCCACCAGGACATTGTTGGCCAGCACACGGCTCTCCCTGGTTGGGAGAGGGCTGCTGCGCCGCATCGTGTTGGCCGTTGGTAATGCCGTCGGGAAGAGGCGTCTCGGCATGACGTTGTGCGAGCCTCGCAGCGCGCTCAGCCCGGTTTCGGCGCTTGATCGCATCCCTTTTCCTCGCCGACTCTCCATTCCACGAGCACTTTTCTTTGATACGGGCACAGTTACCGCATACCTTGGAATTTCCCTCCCAGCGGACACAGCGGGCATCGCCCTTTCTGACACACCCCTGGCATCTCTCATCGCCGTCAACAGACTTCCCTTCCCTGTTGATCCGGTCCCCATGCTCGTGCTCGTGCTTGGTCTTGTTTGACACCAACTTTCCTGCAGCTCCACCTGACGTGCAGAGGGTGCAGACACACAGCACCTTTTCCCCTTGCTTCTTCTGCGGGCCTGGGGACTGTGGTTGTTGGGCGGCCGCCGCCGCCGCAGGAGCCAGAATCCGATGTCTTCCGTTTATGGGACGGAAGCCTTGGACCCTGGGAGCAGGCCGCTCAGAGGGCAGTCGATGTCTTGAGGGTGATGCTGCGGCTCTTGAGCTCTGGCGCTGCTGACTGGTGCCGTTTGCCAGAGCGATGGAGGCGACGGGGGCAACGGGAGTGACGGGAGCCATCGGGGCCATCGGGGCGACCGGGGCAACGGGGGCAACGGGGGCAATGGGGGCAATGGGGGCAACGGGACTGACGGGAGCCACGGGGGTGGCGGGGGCAACGGGGGTCATGGGGCGGGCATACGCTACTTCTTGCCGACGGTTGTAGCTTTCATATGCTTCTGCTTCGACTGAAGGGGAGAATTCAAGCTCCCCTGCTAAGATGGCTGCGATATCCATTGGACAATCGTCTCGTCTTTAAGACTGGTATAAGCTGGTCTGGGGTGTCGGTCCTTGGCCGATGTGTGTTGACTGCTCAGAAAGCTGAAGGGACTTGGCTTTAGTCGTGCTTGGATGGAGACTAAATGATGGGATGGAGAAGCTCAATCCGAACAGATTGGACGGGATTTTGTACCGAACTATAGAAGCGACGGAGATACCTATAGCTCTGAATGTGATGGGATGCTAGCCAACAGAAGCAACCGAGATAGTTACAGGTAGCTCTGGGATTCTACACGGCTCTCACCGGGCTGTTCCTTTCCTCGCCCGAACTTTGATTTTGGCGAGCCATACAAGTCACCTTATCGGAGAAATATGAGTAATATGTGAAGATCGTCGCCACATCGTGGCTCTGTAGATGACGAGAAACGGAGGGCTGTCGTCCGGTTCACCGAGGGGCACGGTTATCATGAACGTCACGAACAGGATCAAACATTCACTGACTAGCGAAAGCGCTTCCGCCCTACATGGGTGGTAGATACAAACGACGATAACTTGGAACGCAGGCCTGGACGCCATCTGTAGCTTCCCAGGCTTGGTATTGAATTCGGATGTCTGGGAGACAAGCATCCGCGTCAAAATTGCATGTTAACCCGGGCAGGGTAAGAAAGAACAATGATGTGAAAGTTTTCTAGAATAAACCCGCAAGGTAAGGTGCCTAGCCATGGATTGAAGCGCCTTTCCTATTCAATTTACGCATCACCTTCGCGGTGGTGTGGCCCGTATAACGACCGAAGCATAACAGTCGCTTCCTCCTCATTTGGAAGTTTCAGCACAGTTATTCTCCAACACACTCGCATTTGAGACTGATGTTCATTTCTAATGTCGCCTTTACACTCTGAATCACTGCGAGCTTGGACGTTGGAAGAAAAGCCTTCGGAGACGCCCAATCGTACTGAAGTGATAGCCTTCCCGTGTACCATCAAAAGCTGTTGACTGATTGTTTCCACATCGGCACCCATTACTCTCTAAACTATGTCCTGCCCAAGTCAAAGTCATGACCTCTGTTCCATGGAACTCATGAACAACAGAAAAGACAGACACAATAACAATTGAAGTTTAGTACGAAACTACACAGCCGTTGAAAATGCGGTTATCGCCGGTGGACCGCCGATGCCCAAACGGGCATGTGTATCCGCGCCATCAGACGGACTATCGGACCCCGCACCATATCGCCCGCGTAGACATGCCATTGTCCCGCTCGTGAGCAGCGCGGGGTTCTTCCTCATGGATGGACCGAGTGTGCAACTGTGTCTTGTGTGAATGCCGTGGGACGGAACACAACGGGAGAAAAGCATTTTGATTTAAGCCGACGGATGAGACAGCCTACAGGCGCGTCTGACGATATCGCACAGCATATTCGAGCATCACGGTTGAGCTCCTCTTGTGTCCCTGACATCATCCAGTTGAGTACAATCTCAGGATTGAACATCACTCTGTCGAGCGAGCTCTCCTATCTCACAAAATATTCCACCTTGAGTCTACAAACACCATGGACGAAAGAGCTGGTATTCCCGTCACGCTCCCTGTGGCCAACCCTACGAAAAGCTATTGGCAATCCCCTCCCTCCGTTCTCTCAGACCATGCCTCGAGTTCATCGCCACCTTCAACAACCGATACCCTGATAATAGGAAGTGGTATCACGGGCGCTGCCATAGCCCATTTCCTACTCTCCCCGCCTCCTACCAGCAGCCCTTCTCGACAAGCGCCCTCCCCTCCCGACATCACGATGCTGGAGGCCCGCGCCGTGACATCGGGCGCGACAGGCCGTAACGGAGGTCACACAAAAGCCGCATCGTACCGATCGTTCCTCCATCATGCCAGCACTCTCGGCACCGAGACCGCATGCCTTATTGCGCGGCTTGAACTTGCCAACGTCCGTGCCGTTCATACGTTCGCAGCCACTCACCTAAAGGACAAAGCAACGGAAAGCAGGCCCTGCCAGACTGTTGACGTGATCTACGATGCTGCTCAGTGGGAGGCAGCAAAACGGGCCGTCGAGGCGATGAGGCTGGCCATGCCCGATGACGACGCTTCGCAGTACGAACTCTACGAAGCAGAGGAGATGCAAAGACGGTTCCACGTTTCGGGTGAGGGGCTATATGGCGGTGTTGCCTATGAGGCAGGCAGCATCTCTGCGTATCGCTTCACCACCGGCGTGCTAGAGCTGTGCGTCGACAAGGGCCTGAAGCTCTTCACGGAGACGCCTGCAACCAGCGTCAAGAAGGTTGACGGAACCGCAGCAAACGGCCATCGATGGATCGTGGAGACGCCCAGAGGCCGGATTCAAGCGCGGAGGGTGGTGCTTGCGACCAACGGCTACACGGCATTCCTCGACGCACGGTTCCAGGAGTCCATTGTGCCGATGCGCGGACAGATCACGGCCCACCGGCCGGGATCCAAGATGCCGAAAGAAGGCCTGGCGACAACTTACAGCTTCATCTACGAAGGCGGCTACGAGTACATGGTCCCCAAGCCGCAGGGGACGCAGTTCGCTGGCGATATCGTCATCGGCGGCGGCCTCGTCCGCGCGCCGAATGAGGGGCTGGGGGAATACGGGACGACGGACGATTCGCAGCTGAACCCCATCATCAGCACATACCTATACGGGACGACGCCGCGCTACTTTGGCGACAACTGGGGCGAGGACGACCCGGCTGGACGGGTGCGCGCGGAGTGGACCGGCATCATGGGCTTCAGTCCGGACGGGTTCCCTTTTGTCGGCCAGGTGCCGGGCGAAGAAGGGCTCTGGGTATCTGCCAGTTTTCAAGGCCATGGCATGGTGCTCTGCTGGATGTGCGCGAGGGCGCTGGCCGCCATGCTCGAGGGGACCGAGGAGGATAAGCAGCAGCTGAGCAGCTGGTTTCCCGGGGCCTTCGGAGTCACCTCCGCACGGCTGAGAAGGAGATTCACGGGGACGGTAAACCACTCGACATCAGGACCCGCTGATCGAGATGCTGCTGGTCCCGGGGCTCCAAAACGAGCTTAACTTGCTGACTGCACCTTACGTGCGGCCGCCTGCTGCGCGCGCCAACGGCGGGCTGGGTTGGGCTGGGTTGGCTTATCCATCGGGGAGGGAGGGCAAGGATAGACTTTGCTCGCGTCCTGCCCTGGTCGCTTAGCTTAACCATCCGGTCGGATTGATGGCCATTCTGGCGGTGTGAGAATGAGACATTGCGAGGCAGGAAAAGGGGGGATGAAATGGCGCAACCCTGGCGGCCACTGCAATCATTCACCAAGTCGGTATTGCTACTGGCTGCTTCTCTGCTGCCCCTCGACCAGTGCGACCTCGGGGGGGGGGGGGCCAGGGAGAAAAGCACGCGATGTATCCGTACATGTTGGATGACACTGCGAGACGCTCGTGGCGGACAAGTAGGGAGGGGAAGCGATACGGGCGGGGTTCGCGATTGGTCTTGAGTCACACCCGGCTGGGCCGCTTGCCTGTCCCGTAGCTCTCTGTGTACTCTGTACGTTTGTCCAAAAGAACGCAAGCCGTATTCCCGGGTCAAGCAGATACATGATGCGGCGCTGTGACGCTGTCCATCCTGCATACCGCACACCCTGCGTGGAACAACAAAAGCCTCGAAACAGCCCCGCCTGACAAAACACCAATGAGATGGATGATGATGATGATGATGATGGATCAACGGCGTTTGACGGCCTGCCCCATCGTCGTTTTCTGGGAGCCGTGTAAGTGAGCGGCACAGGCGGGAACGGATCTTGCCAATGCGCTGGCACGGTAAGCATCGGCTCGGATAGCTTGCAGGTGCAGCGGCAGAGCGACCACCCGGCTGGAATCGAATCACAGCACACAAAGATACAAGAAGCATCCGGTTGCGAGGCGGAGCAAAGAAGAGAGTGGGAGGGACCGAAACGTGGGTGTGTTTCCGGACTCGTTCTCGACGCACGAAACGTACAGAGAGGAGGACATGGGGGCAATCAACCGTCACGTCAAAGTATTCATACGGTACTTGCAGTGATATCGTGTAGCCTGGCGGGTAGCGTACCCCCTTACCTGCGTGGTTTCGGCAGACAGCCACCGTTGTAAGATTTTCACAGCAATGAGCAATGGGGTTGTGCGCACTCCACAGATACAGAAGAGGGCAACTTGCTTCCGCACGATCCACTCGCTCACTCACTCACTCACTGGTCCAGGAGAGGATCGTCCGACTGGGACGGAGGGCCTACATCCAGTCGTCAGGATCAGAGATCGATGTGACGATGTCACTCTGGAAGCAACCATCGGCTCATTCGCGTACGGGGGGGGGGGGGGGGGGGGGCGCTCCCAGGATACCTACGAGACCTCCCCCGTCCCGCTCCCAACCCCGACTCAACAGAACATTGTGGCAGGCCCTGCCTGCCCTGTCCTAGAAGGGGGGCGACATACACAGGTAGTACCTATGCCATCAGGGGGGCGGGGGCGGTGGTCGCTCGACAGACCGTCGTACGACGACGAAGAGGACGAGGGTGGGGGGTTGGGCAAACCAAACAACACCTCATCCATTGCCGGCCGGCTGGCTTGGGACCCCAACCCTACGCTGCGGTTTGCGATCCACTGCTCTGGAGACCCGGGACAGGCTGCGAAACCCAAAGGATTCAGGGAGAAACCCGACAGAGGGGACGTCGACCCGCACGCACTGCACGCACGCACTGCACGCACGGTATTGGGCCCCACCAGCAGCCCTTGGGTTGGGAGCGCATGTATGCCGGATGCGGTGAGCGTCGCAAGTGCTGCGGTGTTATAGTCAGGCCGCTTCGTGCCCCAGCGGCAGGAGGAGGAGGAGGAGGAGGAGGAGGAGGAGGAGGAGGTGGAAGAGGTGGTGGTGGTGGAGGTGGAAGAGGAGATAGATAAAGAAGACGAAGATTAACGCAGCGGGCTTTGCAAGGCGGCTGGTGATCGTCGTGTATGCACCTATACCGTTCGAGTCATGTCTATATGGGCATGCGTACTTGGGCTGGGGAGGTGGGCAGGTCGTTGTTGTCGACATGCGTTTGGCACCCTCAATGACGCCCGACTGTGTACATACATACATACATACATACATACATACATACATACATACATACATACATACATACATACATACATAGTAGTATATACATTCTTGTGAGAAGTTGAAGAATTGCGCGCGTATGGTTGGTTGTGCATGGAAATGCGTCCGAGTGCGCTGCAGCCGGCAGCCGGCAGCCGGCAAGCAACCAGCAGGACCGGCACAAAACCATGGAAAAACAGGGCAATCACTCGTGTTCCCGAATCTTGAGGCTGTCGTCTAGCCGTCTCGCACGAGGTCATTCGGCCTCAGCCCGTTGGTGCGTTTGCTTCTGTCTGGGGTCCTGGCAAGCATGGACTGGGCTGGGCCATAGGCGGTGTCGAGCACGCACGGAATCGACCGCAGGAAACGCCTCTCGAGAAGAACATTCGGTCATCGAAGCTTTCGAGGCTGGGGGAAAAGGGAGGGGGAGTAATACTAGCTTGGGCTTTTTGTTTCGCCCCAGGGGAGACGGCGTTTGTCCTAGTCGTCCCACGCCTACACTACAGCCAACTACCGCGTTTGACGACGCTAAAGGATCGATGGAAGGGGGGCGGCGGGGTTCGCTTTCGGCTCTGTCTCGTCCCATTCGGGATGGGTAGGTGGAAATGGATGGATTGAGGCACGTCCGCTACGATGTGAGCCAGATACGGTAGGGCTTAAGGGATCTGCAGAGGCGTTATTCCCGGTGCCAGCTAAACCGACTACGCCCCCCTTCGCTCCGGGCGGTTCAGGTGAAAGAAATGTCGGGTGGACAACGCGGTCTGGAGATTGGGTGATGGCGCGGGACGGGGAGCAGGGACAGGTTGCAGGATCACGGCACGTTTGGCACGCACGCGACGGCCGGCGGCGGTCAGCCGGGAACACATGTACCGTCGACCTCGAACCGGCCATGGGTCGAGCGAGGCCGGAGGGGACGAGAGGGGATGATGAGATGAGACGACGTCTTCCCTCGCCAGGCTGCGAACATAGTGGTCTACGCGACGTCGACGGGTGACAGCGGTCAGCAACGGGGTTGACGGGGTTTGGGGGATGGTCATGGGGTCCCGAGAGGTCGCATCCGAATCGTTAGGTGGTGCTGGCTGGTTAGGCTGGGATAATGCAATCAATGGAAAGGAACCTAGAGACGCGAAGGGTCGCCGCCGTCCGTGTGATACGTCAGGCCTGGTGGCAACCTCTGACTCTCCGTGCTTCGTCCCGACTGAGGTTGTTGACGAGCCAGGTCTCCTTATGGCATGCACACCCCACATCATCCGGTGGCGCGGCTAGCTCACGGCGGGAAGTGAAGCGAAGGACGTGAAAGGCTAGCCTGTTGCAACTGCCGGCTACCGGCTGACGGACGAGAAGCGTGAATGGTTGCCATCTTCCATGCATATCAGGAGAAGAACATCGAGTAGGGAGGGACGGATGGATGGGTGCCCTCCTCCGCCACGGGGCTACCCGCTTTACAAATGCACACGACGGAAACTTAAGACGGCCATGTCTTGTTGCCGTTTGATAAACGGTTGAAAGGGGGGGGGAAAGGGGAGTAACACTTTGAGGACAGGGTAAACTTGCCGATGTGTACGGATATTACCGCTCTCACTCACATATTCTCTCTCTCTCTCTCTCTCTCTCTCTCTCTCTCTCTCTCTCTCTCTCTCTCTCTCTCTCTCTCTCTCTCTCTTGCTCGTAATGAAAATATTTTCCGGCCCGTCATTAGATCGAGAGACCGACCTAGATGGAAGTGCGCCCGCCCCCTTCTCCCCAAGAAACGCTTCCCTCCCAAATCCCGGCCGCTCAGCGTGCCATTCCTTTGGGAGCATCCACTTCCACTGCATGGTTGGCCCCCCCTCCTCCCCCCCTGGCTGGTGGTGCCCATCTTCTGAGTCCCGTCCAGTAGTGAGTGTATAGGCGATGTTACATGGCTGCTGCAGCGTTTCTATCCATGTCATGACCTTTGCTTTCCGTCTGGACCTTTGAGCGAAGAAGGGCGAAGAGGCGAAGGGGGAAAGACAACCGAGTGGATTCCCTGTCGGCCACCTTGCATCACGTCTGCACAGGGCCCATGTACAGGTAGAAAGTATCCGTGGCGTAGTGTACATTTACCCTTTCCCCTGAACTTCGGCCGCCTGTCTGCCACCCCGCTTTGCCTACTTGGATCCCACCAGCTTCAAACCCCTCGTGCCGCTAAGAAGGACAATCTGGATCTCGGCCCCCACCGGAGGGACAGGTTCAAATCCCGAAATCTGACGGTCCACTCTCCCGGAGACGCTTGTCATGCCAAGCTCGCCAGAAGCTCTCATACCGCACCCGCGTGTCCTTACTGTGACTGACCTACAGGCTACACACTTTGTAGCATACAGCATCTGCTGACAGACTGGATAGGGTGGGGCCGGGGAGGAGGCCATGTACGGAACGCACCTACGTGGCGTGGTCACAAAAGTCTCGTTGGGGTGTGCCGAGTCTTGCTCGATTCATCATCCGTGGGACAGAGAAGGTTGATATTAGCAGCGACCGACGTAGCTTTGGCGAAGTCGATGGCAGCTGATGGCCACCTCCTCCCCCCTTATTCTCTGACAGCGCACAGTCCCAAAGCTCTTTGTGATATCTGACAAAGATTCGGCTGATGTGGGCTGTTTCTGGATTCGGACACGAGCCCAGCCAGTGAACGAGGGAGAACCCGGGTCCGGGAGCATGGACATGGATCTCTCGTCAATGTAGAATCCTGTCAGCGACGACTTCTCTACTCTACTCCCATTTGACCAGGCGGCGGGATGGATGCACGTCCTTGACGGCCATTCGATGTCGAAAGAGAAGGGTCGAGAGCCAAGACGCCGGTCCGTGTCCTTCTCCTCGAGGTTGTACAATGTACTGTAGTTTACACTACAAAACCTGTGGCACTCGTCGCAACGAAGGAATGCCCGGGCAGAAAAGAGCGGCCGCTGGGGGCAGATGTCGGCACCAGAGTCTCAGTCGGTGATGTTCTCCTGCGAGGGAGAGGACGGAGAAGAGGAAGGGGTCTCCATGTTCCGAGGCCGGTCCAGATCTCTGGCGGTGGGATGTTTGGCAGAGTATCCGTACCATCGGTGGACGATGGGTGATGAGCATACCTCTCTTCCGGGACATGTCGCAATCTCACGCAAGTTTTTAATTATTATTACTTTTTTAATTTCTTTTTTCTTTTTTTTTTCTTTTTCGTATGGCCCCGCAGCCCGTCTCGCATGAACGACCCGACCTGCTGGACTGGCTGGATATCAGGAACCCAAGGGCTGCAGGCCCGCAGGCAGTGATGATTTGATGGTCCCTGAGAGGACGAAGGAGGTTAGGTCAGGTTACGCTCGGCGACAAATGGTCTCAGTTTTGACACAACCTTGGCCATGTCCTTCCAGTTCTAGTCCCCATCATCCATTCCACGTTTCCCAGGTGTCCTGGGTTTGGCTGTCGCTCGCTGTTGGTATGGAGCTGTTGATATGGAGGAGTTGACAATATAAACTACCTACACTACTACGTAGTAGGTGGTATACTCTTTATCCGCATGGAGTGAACAGGATGCTGACAGCGAATGGCTGCCCCTGCGAAAATCTCCCACCCATCTTGGGATCCCTGTAAGCCCCGGGCTTTGAAATGAGCTTGTACACGGCAACAAGTGGAGAGAGGGCGATAACAGACCCCTGGACAAAGTAGTGTAGCCAGATCAGAGGAGGTCGAGAGGGGAGGGCTAAGAGAAACGGGGAGAGGAGAGGGGAGGGGAGAATGTACCTCAGCACCCACAGGTACATGGCCCCAACTAACCAAGCAAAAGAGAAAATTGAAAGAGGAGGGAGGGGGGGTTCGAGGACTCGAGGAGTTCATTCCGACGGTGTTTCGCCCGCCTCGCGACAGGGTCCCGTCTCCATCAACCGACTAACTGCAAGCAAGAGTCAAGCTTCCCCTCCTGATCATCTGGATTATCGCTGGCAGCCCGCCCAAGCGGGTTCGTCAAACGCTATTCGAGCTCTTCTCCCTCGTCGTCGTCGTCGCCGTTGTCGTCGCCTCCTCCTCCACTGTGCTACCTCGTCTTCCGGACGGACCATGTTGTCAAGCTAGGCTCGCCTCTCAACGCGCATACATGACACCAAAGCATGCAGAGTCCGCGCCTACGTGTTGGTAAACAAATTAGCTGATGTAGACAGACAGACAGACAGACAGACAGACAGACAGACAAACCGCGCGTTACAATGATGGGGGAAAGGAGTCGCCTGTCTCATCCATGGCTTTGACACCTCCTGACTCGCCCGGCCATCGCAACGCTGCCGACATGTGGTCGTAGCCCTAAGGCAAGCCACGTCTGCCAGCACATAACTCCCTATCACACTCTCTGCTTCCCTTTTTTTCCCCTTTCCTTTTCTTTTCTTTCTTTTCTTTTCAATTTGCTTCTCGCGCTCTTCACACCCACATGCCTAGCTAGAATCCTCGTTCTGCTTCTTTGGTCTCCGGGACCCGGAAGCCAAGCTACATACAAAGTACACCACATACCCGGCTTTTCGTAGTGTGTTGGGGTATTCGGTAATAGCAGCTATCTGAAAGTCACTTTGCGTTGCTTGAAATCCCCACTTCCACTCGAGCTGCGACACTAACGCATCCCATCCCATCTCATGCCTCTGGCCCCTCCGTCGAACACCTCCTTTCCAGGCGGGTTTCTTCCATTGGGGGCGCCAGCCCTTTCCCCGACATGATTGATGCATGCAAACGTGGCTTGGGCATGAAGTGGAAGATGAATTTTCTACAATCAAGACACAGCCCAATGCCTGGACGACTTGCCGTCTCCATTAGGTCAGGACTCGCGTCTCTCTGCCTGTACCAGGTACACTGTTGACCCTCTCGTCTCTCGCCGTTGTACTCTGCCTGAACTTATATATCCGTCGTCCGTCGTCCTTCCTCTGCCCCCCCTCGAGGTGGACAGACAGACAGACAGACAGACAGACAGACCGGCAAGGCAAGGTAATGTACACTACCTAGTATGTTGACAATGCATGTGCCACCACTCTCGGCGCAAGACAGACGTGCTTCCCCCCCCCCTCACCGACCCCCTGGCTGGGCCCAATCACGGACCTTTCATGACGCCTTCGTCCCTCATTCCCGGGTCCCCATGTCGTACGGTCTGACCCGACAGCTTGTTTCTGAAGGATTCCCCCTCTCCTCTCCGACGCCGACCGATGCCCTTACGCTGAACATTGATGTGCGCAGCCACCCCACTGACGGTGGCCAGCTCTGCGAATGCCGTAACCACCCTGTGAGTGAGTGAGCGAGAGAACGAGCGAGCATTTATTAGGGAGTGAGTGCAGCTTGGTCGGGGCAACTAAGTCGTCCTGAAGCTTGTGATTACTTAGTCACATACGCACGTACGCGCGCACACATTCAAAGTGTACCACACACATCGTGGCATTTCCGTCAATCGTATCATGGCCGTTGTTCCCCGCAAACAAACACACTCTGGTATTGGATTGGATTGGATCGATAGCAGGGCATGCATTTGGTGACGAGGTATCGATGCATGTCCATTAAGCCTGAGCGCATTGGGGACATTGAGCAAAAGCGCCGTGCTGCATGGTCGTGTGTGTGTGTGTGTGTGTGTGTGTGTCCCTGTACCCATGCGAAGCAAGGTATACATTCCCACTGACTGTCATGTACACACACACACACACACACACACACACACGCACACACTTATTACATTTCCTTCCCTGCTGCCTTGCCTTGCCTTGCCTTGCCTTGGTGTGCGAGTTCTCTCGACCCAGAGAGGGCCACAGCGAACCCTGTGCAGCAGACACAGGGCAGACCTGGACATGGACCTGGATCTTACCCAGTCGTCCATACCTTAGTCGTCTGTCTGTCTATCCATCCATGTCTTTACGTACGTACCTCCTTACCTGACCATTCCTTGCCCCCGTCTACCTAAACTAAATAATGACAGACATCAGTCACATACATAACCGTCCGTACCTTTGTTCACATTCGTCCTGTGTTGTTGTCTCCCCCCCCCCCCTTCAAAGGCCGCCGGGCATCGTCGTCGCACCGAGTTATCACCTTCCCGACATCTGCAAAGCTTGCGCCCGCGCCCGCGCCACTGACCGAGTCGTCTCTTCTCGGTCTTGAAGACAGACGTTCATCAACCCCGTCCAACACCCTTGGTCGTGATCCCAAGCCAGCCAGCCAGCTTGCCGATCGGTCCCAGGGGAGCAAAAACCAGGACATCTAGCGAACGAACCGATCGCCCCGCCACCAAGGAGGAGTGAGGAGCGCAGCCCCCAAAGACAAGACACCAAGAAGAACACCGACAACGGATAACCAGCACTGCCGTATCGTATCGGCCGCCAGAACACTGCCATTCTAGATGGATGCTAGTTGATGGTCGGAGCTTGCTCGACCAACCGCAGCTTACAGAGACTACCTCGCAGCTTTGCCTTCCTTCTTGCTTTCCGCCCGACTCCGAAAGGGTCATTCATCCATCATACTTGTTTCTCAGTCTGCTGTCACAGCCGCCATACCAGTACTACACTACGCTACACCACACCACACCACACTACACTCCGCCTCGTGGCCTGGGCTGCTTCGCTTCGCTTCGCTTTACCGGTACGTACCGCTTTCGTGGCTGGATCGTACGTATCTGCACCACTCCCACGGGTCCCCTTGCGTCTTTTGCTTGTCGTCGATACCCTCTGCTATGCTTTTGCCCCCTTCGTGGCCAAGAAACGGCCATGGAGCCGCCCAAAAAGACACAAACCACCATATCCTTTCTTCCACAATACCCGCGCAGCCCGTGGCAAGACAATGCCCGAGTCCCAAGGAGCAGTCGAATCAAACTCTGATCAGCTTCCCTCCTCTTCTTCGCCGCTCGCGTCCGCGACTTCGCCCATCCCGAACAAAGCGCCGGCACTCACACACACACACACACACACACAGTTAGACCAAATAACCCTCTCCCTCTCCCATTGTCTCGGGTCTCTCCTTGCATTTTGTTGTCCTGTTCTCTTCTTGTTCTCCAACATAAGCGTGCTGCTTGTGTTGTGGGAGGTCCCCCCCTTCGTCCTACGTTCTCGCTCCCTTTCTTCACTTCACCCCCCCCCCCCCCCCCCCCAGATCGACGTTTTCGGCCAACCGTCTCCCTATCTAGAGCCTCTCTCTTAATCCACAAGCAGCTCGTTCGCTTCTAGCACCGCTTCGGGACTTTTCTGATCTGACGGTTGGACACAGGAGATCCGCTTGCCAATTAGGGGCGTCGTCACCGGCAATATTAGGTGTCTTAGAAGGTTGTTCCTCGCTCATTTTGGAATCTTCAATTCCTGGGGTTCCTTTGCCGCCGAGGTGCCAGACTGTAATTCCACTTCGCCCTGTCGATTTGCTATCGAAGCCGGCGTTGCACCAAGTTGGACGTCTCTGCCAAGCTTCTTTCTCGACGCCGACTGTCGACACCTTGAGTGCACTGGGAGGATCCGGGGCACTGGATCGGATCTCACATGCATCCTCTCGGTCACGGTTCGCTCCAATACTTCTAGTCCACAATGAATTCGCCGCCGAGTTCACTCAACGCAAACCACCTCAGAGACGCAGTGGCAGACCCTGCCACGGATTGCACACATTCGACCAAAGAACGGCCCGGACATCGGGGCGCAATCGGCAGCCCCCCTTCGCCGGCAGGCTCAGGTCCGGCCGTCATGTCACCACCCAGCTCCACCAATACCGCCATCACCGTCGGTTCTCACCACGACGACGATGACACGGAGAGCCTGACTGACAGCGTGAGAGAGCACACGTACGAGAACCGCCTGCGATACCATGCATATCGCTCGGGACGCTACGCCTTCCCCAACGATGCAACCGAACAGGATCGAGACGAGATGAAGCACATTATCAGCGTCGAGCTGTGTGGAAGGTACTTCTTTTCGCCCGTCCAAGAAGCACTGACGAGAGGTGCCGAGATCCTTGACCTAGGTAAGAGTCCATTGTTGAGTGAAGCTGTAGTGCGGTCATGTTGCGGGCACCGTGCCTTGCTGTTTTGTGTCATGATCGCGTCGTGTAGCAAATGCTATGAGCTAGATCATAGTCCACACTCATGCCACTTCACGGGGCATGCAGTGCTTGCATCGGCATCGGCCTACATATCGCGCATCCATCTCCGTCCTTGCTTATAAGTAAGTCATGGGTAGCTAACAATGCCGTTGCAGGAACCGGTCCCGGCCATTGGCCCATTGAATGTGAGTGATGTTCCAACCAGGCTTCTCCATATGGCGGTCGACTCACATGATTATTTTTCTTCTCTGCAGTGGCCGACTTGAATCCCAATTCTAACTTCCTCGGCATCGATCTATCGCCTATCCAGCCTCACGAAGTTCCTCCCAACTGTCACTTCATGGTCGACGACATTGAACACGAAAATGGATGGGATCTGGACAAGGACTATTTCGACTTTGTTCACCTTCGACACACTTTACATTCTATTCGCAATCGCCCAGAGCTTATGCAAAGGGCATATGAGTACGCCCGTCCCTCGCATCTCCTTGGTTGCCTCCTCATACCGTGGCCTCTTGGGGGTCGGATTCGAGCAAGAGGCTGACAGATTCGTAGACACTTGAAACCCGGTGGATGGTTCGAGATCCAGGAGCTCGAGTTTTTCCCTCTTTGCGACGACCAGTCTTGTCCGGAAGGAGATGGGTATGGATTCCGGGTCTTTACGCAGTACTTGGATGCAGGGCTCAGGGCCCTTGGTTCAGAAATGCACGGTATCCGCGCAGCAGTCAGTGAAATGCAAGCCGCAGGGTTCGAAAATGTGCAAGAGGACCGGCGGAAGTGTCCCATTGGCGACTGGCCGGCGAGGCCTGAGCTACGAGAGTGCGGCATCTACATGCGAGAAACGATCCTGGAGGGACTCAAGGGCCTAGCGACACGACCCTTCAGGGCCCTCGGCTGGACGGAAATACAGATTGAGATGTTTCTCTTGGGCGTGAGGGGACACGTAAAAGAGAGAGACTTTCATACCTATCTCTTTCACAGGACCGTATATGGACGGAAACCACTCGATGCATCGGAGCGGTAACTTGACTTACGAAGAGCCTGGCTAAGACGTGCCGAAAAAATCGAGGAGACGAACGAAACGAAACGAAACGAAACGAGACGACGAAGACGGACGGATCACCGCAACATCGACCAAGGCAATGGTCAATTAGAGTTGGCTACCTTCTTTTTTCCCCCCCCAGTTGATTCTTTTCCCGGGATAGGACGCTGTCTTTCCCACATTGTACGTGCTTTGCATACGGGTGCATCTGGGGCATTGCATCAAAGGGGTCTAGCAGGCGGGCTGGGAGGCATCATCATCACAACGGAGGCACTGCATCGATTTCCAAGGGGAGCCTTTCGGCGGTTTGCAGTACAAAATGGTCAGCGGGAGGGAGGTAGCTCCGGCTTTTGCCAAGCCAGCTAGTTTTGTTCTAATTGCAGCGGGCGACTTGGGAGTTGTTTCTTTCTTTTCTTACTGGGCCTTTCTTTTATATTCCCTTCTTCCAGCAGCACTCATGAGATCACGAGTACGATGGGCGGCTTTTCTCTTTTTCTTTTATTTTATATTCTTTATGCATTGCTCGGTACATATGTGCTTGGTGTATCTTTCTAGCTCACACTCCGAGCTAGTCTTGGTCGTTTTTGTACATTCTTCAGGACGCGGGCGGCAGCTGCTGCGGCTTCTAGGCCGGCCAATGTGACAGGAGTGCATCGACACTCAAGAAAACAGCGAGGGTGCTCATAGCGAGCGCTTCTGGATATCCTGGAATATATTGGTGCTGTTGAACATCAAGTCGTTGTCCTCGCAGATGCCGGCTGTCCACTGCCACAATGCATTCGTCGTGCCTGGACCAACTTGCCGTGGCCCATGTTCACCGTTGGAACCAGACCAAGAGCAGCCCCGTCGCGAAATGGCGTGGCAAGTCCCCCGATGAGACTATAGACATAAATTAGATAAGACTGGGAGTAGCGCGAATGTTACGCTAACCTGAGAGCAATGAGGGGCTAGCTGCTGTGTTAGTTATTGAGCTGCCCTCTGTGGCGTCTGTGTAGTAGCTCCTATTTGTATCCTTATGATCATAATCCTCTAAACCCTCTACGCCTTCACCAAGGGGGTCTTTAAAGTCACTATCATCATCATTCTTGTTTGCACTTCTGTTGCTGTCATCGTCACTGAGATCTCCGTATAAGCCATGTGAGGTCCTAGCTCTATTATGACCAATTGCTAGGGAGCTATGGGCTTGAGGAGATAGTATCCCCCTTGCCCTCTTCCTTGTTATACGCAACATACGGTAGCTGTCTGCGTCCAGTGCATCGTTGGAAGCCAAGGTAGTGCTGGTCTTGGTCAAAACATCAGCCGCAGCGTCATCTAGACATAAGGTGTCCCAGATTTCGTCAAACCAGAATACCTCAAGCGCACGTAATTAAGCAATAGTGAGGGGTCTCCGGCAGTACAACAGCTGTGTCCCCAGAGGAAGACACTACAGCTGCACACAGAAGGACAGAAGCCTTTTCACTAGGCGGCAGTACTTGTATATAGTGGCCTGCCGGCCAACCAGCTTAAATGGGGCCTTGTACGGCCGATAGGGCTCCGAGCTGCAGAGCCAGCAGCGCATAGAGACATCCATGGACCATATTGTATCCTTGCAGCAGTCAAATACGCTGTCCACAGCTGATATAATACGTTGTAACTGGGCTTTGTCCTCTGGGATGCTTACATAGGGCATGTCGTCCTCGGCGTTTCGGACGTCCGCGCCGACGGCCGGCAGCTCTGACATCCTCACAAGGAAGTCGCGGTAGGCACTGTTGAACATAAGATCCCAGCCTGTGCGACGCATCTAGCCTGTTTAGAACGCTATATTAACAGGGCCTGTGGCAGTAGCAGTAGCGCGGAGGCCGCTGGCAAGGTGGGCTTGTTCTGCATCATGCGCCGCCACAAGCAGGGCCTCTTGGGCAGTGGGTGCGTCATCGGCCCCGGGTGTACCTGTCTTGCGGGGCGGCGGCAACCCTGGCGTGGTGGACTGGGCTATCCAGTAGCCCCGCGCACCATTCTGTGACCAGCTCTGTAGTAGGACACTGCTGTGAATCTGGTCCCGTTGCCAGCCTTCCGCCTTGCGCGAGTCCCTGATGCCGTGTACCTTGCTGAGGTGACGGCAGACTAGGTCATCGCTTGCTGTGCGATAGCTGCAGTGACGACACGCGTGGCCGCAGGTGACTAACAGTGTTCCATGCGGCGGGAGGCTGTTGGGACGAGGAGCAATGTTGTTTGGGTCCCCTAGCCGTAGGGACTTTACTAATGCGCTTAGCCTATGGCGTTCCGGCTTAGGCACATCGTGTTTCTTGGCCAGGTGGCGGCTTACGTGCTCCCTAAACGCCTTCAATGCGTAACCGCAAGGCCGGCAGATGAGAACTGGTTTAGGCTTGTTGAGATACAGTTGCAGGGCTTCTAGGCGCTGGCGTTGCTTGTCCGTCAAGCCGTGCAGCGTCGTAGGCTGGGACGGAGGGGGGGTCAAGAGAGCCAGGTAGTTGTACTCCGTATGGGGGTAGTGTATGTTTGATATTCTTGGGTAGGGAGAGTGGAACCGGCTTGCTGTAACATGCAGGAAGTCTGAGTCCACCCCGCATTTCACTGCCCAAACCACCCTGCCCAATGCATATCTCCTCCTTACATCTACTAGAACTTCAGAAAATGGCCACTAAATTACAAGCTTTTATTACTTGCGTATCAGGAGATTAAAGGAGTAACGATGAGCTATCCGAGAACCAGCGGGTTGCTATTGCAGCTTATGTGCTGGCTGGCAAGAGTTACCGTGAGGCAGCATGTACCTTTAACTGCACTAAGGGAGCAGTACAGCGGACTATAGATCGATTTGCTAACAACTAGACCTTTAGATCTAACCCCTGAAAAGGATGGCTAGAGAAACTAAATAGGGTAGAGAAAAGAGCTATTATTAGATCCGTTTAAATTAACCCCTGGAAGATATACTAACAGCTTGCTTATAAGTGGAAGTATAAAGTATACCTTTGCACTGTTAAGAAAGCTCTACAGTAAGCTAACTATTATAAATAGTGTTACGGGCTATGCCCGGTCAATTGGCATGGGCTGGTGCCCATTGCTTGCCTTCATAAGTGCTGCCAGACAACAAGTGAGGGACTTGTTGTTACGTACCTTTTGACCATCTGGCCGGATGGCTCAATTGGTAGTGCACGCCATTATGTCCGCCTGCCTGACGGGCAGGCCCCACATAATGGGACACTGAAGGCTGAGATTCGCTGGCAGCCGAACTACGCCCACACTAGTGGGCCCGTTCCTTCACAATAGTTATAGTGTTTTATAGCTTAACTAGCCTCTATACTTACTTAACTATAACCTAGTTAAGTATATCTAGAAGCTAATAAAAGATAAGCTAAGAGTTATATACTTAAAAGTATTTAATTTAGGGAATAATTAATTAGATATAGAAAGGTTTAAGGAGAAATTACAAGAAGCATAGGAGGTAGTACTATAAGATATAATAAAGTGTCTTATAAAGTTACTGCTATATTACTTATAAGCAGTATAAAGAGCATAGAGCTAGTATACACAATACTAAAGGGTAAATAATTCTCTTTTAATTAACTATAGTCTTGTAATATAATTTAATAAATTTATAGATCTATTTGTGGTAAGAGTAATGGGGTTAATGTTTGGGTGGGGGGTGTGACTGTAGTATCAGCCAATGAGAGACCCTAGGGAGCGCGTCGAGATTTCCAAGTCAGGCAGGGGGGCATAGGGTGGGTCGATGGATGGGTTCAGCCAATGGTTGTACACGGACGGCCGTATCTTGACGCGTTCCGACGGAGAATACTTGAGTAAGGCGGCGTCGCATGTAACTTGTTGGGTTGATATAGATGTATTAAGCTCTGTTGTATTCCTTGCATGTGCAGCTCTTGCTCTTGCATGTCTATAATCATTAGGATAAGTTTGATGACCACAGTATACAACCTACATTTTTAAAGGTTTCCTCAGTAGCATGAGTGTAGCACCAGTCATCTATAATTTTTGAGTGCACTGTACGGCATGTGTTATGAGTGTCTTGCACTAAGTGATCCCTTGCTCCGTTGTCGCAGCTAAGAAAGATGTTAGCATTTCTATATATAGTAAGAGCCCTACCTAGTAAGACGGAGGTGACTTACTGGCACCATTTCATACCGGCTTGGGTACCAACTGCAAATAGCACTAAGACGGTAAGGAACTTCATTATGAAGGGCGTAGTTTGGAATACAAAGACTTGTAGTAGGAGGTAACTGGTTGCATTAATACAGCTAGGAAGGAAAAATGTAATAAAGAAAGGAAGACGTAGCTTAAATACCTATGATTATAGAAACCCCTAAATAACTCAATATTAAATAATATTTACTGCTATATATAATCAGATACAAGGATAATCTCTTATACTTTTAAAGCAAAATTACTTAATAACTATTAGGTTCAGACTATCTAAACTATCACTAAGCTAAGTAAGTACATATTTATAACAGACTAGCCCCGTATAAGGCCTTACTAAAGATCGCGGCCATGAGCCACCCCTGATCAGGCCTACCACGGAAACCACGATGCCGAAAATTCGATGGCCAGTGCGGCATGACCCTGATCAGGCTAGCAGCAGGGTGGAGGTTTGTTGTTTTCCCCTTTTTCTACTATCGCCGCGGTTAATAACCCCTGCAAAAACGCATTTTATACAACAAAACTATTACTACTCTACAGAGTCTAAGAATTCCGAAGATTAAGGCCTTAAGCTGCCGCCGCTATAAAGCGAGTAAATAGATGAGTTGGGTCCTCTTTCTCCTGCTGAGTTGACCAATATCTTGAGATTCGAGATTCAGAGTGTAACCATATACAAACAAGAATCCCTAGTGTTGGTTGAATAGGTCCTTGAATAGACGAAGCTGAGCGTTGGGGGAAGACTGTAGGTATACAGAATCGTACATGGTGACAAGCACCGACAGAGCCGAAGCAGGGAGACACGAAAGAGGGAACCTGAAGATGATGTGTAACTCTCTAATAGTGAGAACCAACACATGTGATAGATAGTGCAGCGAGGAATTTGGAAACAGCTGGCCTTGGTTTAACAACAGGGCGAAGTGGAGCGTCGCGACTCATCGGCGATGCGTCGGCTGTTGGCCAAATTGGCAAAGGCGGCTCAAACCGAGTAGGAATAAATAAATCAATCTGGTAACCGCCAGGCGCCTGTGGGGCGACTCTGGTCCTATTGTGTCTGTTGGGTCGTAATCTGGATTTAGAGAGTGTTTCTAAGTCATAGGCATCCCGTCTGAGTCAGGGACAGTCCTAAAAATGTTAAGAATAGACACATGCTCAAGTGCTTTTTGTGACTTAAGAAAAATATAAAGGTGTTGTCTATTTAATTTAGGATAAATAAGTCACTCTAAATCTTTTGAATGCTTCTTTTATTACTTACTATAGTAAAGATAAATAAAAGCTAATTTTACAACGTTTTTATGTTTACCTGAAGGAATAAATAGACGCGGAGATTTCCGGTATTTTAATATATATACAGACTAATAAGGTCGCAGCTAGGAAAACCTGAAAGAGCACTAGGTAGACGTGGTATAGTGTTACGACCTAACCGACTACATGCAGCTAGAGCCCCACCAGGCCCTAGAAGTACAGGCGGCACGACGTCTTATAGGCTAACAAAAGGATAATGTTACGACCTAACAAGTTACAGGCAACACTACATAGCCCCACCAAGGCGGAAGCGCGGGCGGCGCAGCCTTTATACTAACGGGACAAGCAGGATCGTCATACAGGTAACTCTCTAAGCAAGTAAAACAGATCAGTTAGCAACAAAACAATAAGACTAACTATTATACTCTCTTTATATCTATCTCCTTATATCTTTATATCTACCCCTGTTATCCTATATTCTTGCTTCTATAGAATATATCTTTACATAAGATATACTCTCTTATATTCTCTTGGGTAATTATTCTCACTCTAAGACCTTTGTCTACCTGTTATACTAACAGAAACCTATCTATTAAGGTCTAGAGAAGTTGCTCTATTAATTCAAGCGTGTTAATAGGGCATCTACCAAGCTTATTACTATACTATATATTACTTGTCACAGGACAATATGCGGCCAACCTTCGGATCCACTTTCCTAGCCTTGCCGGTGGATCCATTGGTCGGGCCGATATCCTGCCAACAGCTAGTGCCCCACTGGGCCCCACCTGTCGCCAGTCTATAAGACCAGCTGTTGCTAGCTGTAGCTCTAGCTCTAGATAGTCATTAAATCTATTACCTATTTAACTATATTAAGTAGTAGTATAACTACTAGTTGGGACGGGGCCTGCTTGAAACGCTACCATCACCGGCCTCGCTGATCCATCGTTCAAGTGGGGGGTAGTCGCATGCCGTGCCTGTACTGAGGCATTTTGTGCTGTCATAACGGTCAGAGAAGCTTCGCTAGCTGTTGCTTGCCACATGTAATAATGATCTTTCATACGGCCACCCCTGCAAGCTGTTCATAGGCTCTGAAGCTCTCAGCAGGTCATCATGCAGCGCGCGTATAAAATGAGCCTGCTTCTCATACAGTGCGCATCTACCTGGCCCAGAGGGGAAACCATCGTGACAGGCTCAAGTTGGAGATCTGGTATAGTAAAGGGCGAAACAAGGCACGGGAGCACTACGAGAACTCACCAGATTGGGCGTTTCTCGTCGCATCGATGGTGTCTCGCTTTGCAGGCGCCGCACCCTGTTCGACTGCGTATGTGATGCTGCCTTCGTCGTGACGACGTCTGGGGCGCTTGCATGATGTTGCACCCACACGACGCGTGATACTTTTGATAAGGGTTTGACAGTGTATCCGGATATCAAGCTACTTCCTTAGCAGTTCCAGAGCGTGAATGGAGTCGGGTACGGGGTCCAAAGCCACCAACCTACATAGCTAGTTAACATTTCCTTCGTCCATCGTGTGGCAGCGCTAGCCGACCAAAATCTGAGGAGCAAGAAGTCTTAATACATAAATACCCATAAGGCAGCCTTCCAAGTTGCTCCAGTCTCGTGCTGCCGCAGGTGTTGATAAATTGCTTATCTCGAGCGGGCCAGGCCAATATGACTACCTAGTAAGACACGTAAGGTGTACCAATGTTTGCATCCATCCTATCATAAAGCATCAGCACTAAGCTCTTCGGGTGTGTTTGACGCGGGTTGCGTGATGCATCATGCCCCAGGACGGCGTTAGACGGCCATTTCCCAAAAGACAGCAGATGCCTCATAGTTCAACCTGTTTCACATCTTCTTGCTGATAAGGGTTGTGTTGACCTTGAGGGAGAGTTTACTGCGAGTGGTTTGTTTACTATGGTGCGGGGCTTGATAACCACTCAGGATCATGATGATGTTAACTGTTCTTTGCATGAAAAAGAGCCGCTAACCATGTTCATTATCCTTCACGAAAGGGTTTGTTATACGCAACACCTTCTGGTTTGGACTCTTGAACTGGCATGTATGCATATTGCAAGAAATTTGAGTGCCCCGACCAAAATATCTATATAAGACGAGGATGTTGTATTTGAGAATTCAGAATATCCAACCTTTACTCTCATCATACCTGGAACTAGTACTACAGACCAAAGGCTTCCCGAGCACAAAGTCCCTATCTTAGAAGACATTTGCAACGCCTCTCGAGATGGCTTCATTTAACCACAGCACTACCGCAGAAGAAGTTGTCTCACCCTTCGCCTCTGATGCTAAGGGCCGCACCTTTCTCATCACTGGCCCAAGCGTCGCCCGCAGAACTGATACTCGTTGCCCGCCCCGAGGCCAAGGTGGCGCCGGTTATTGAGGAGATCAATACTATTGATCCGTCTATCCGGGCCACCTTTGTTGCCGTGGATGTCGCCAAACAGGACAGCGTTCGAGCTGCGGCTGCAAGTATTCTGGAAGACCCAAAGATTCCCAAGATTGACGTTGTGATCAACTGCGCCGGCATTATGTATCTCCCGGAATTCACAACCGACGCCAAGGGGAACGAGCTACAATTCAGTTCCAGCCATATCGGTCACTTTCTTCTCGCGAATTTACTGATGCCCAAGATTCTCGCCGCTGGTGAGAATGCCCGCATCATCAACATCGCGAGCCACAGACATCAGATCTCCGACGTGTGGTAGAACAATCCAACCTTTAACAAGGGCAAAGACTACCATAAGTAGAGCGGGTATAGGCAATCCAAGACCGCAAACATCTTATTCCCCGTCGAATTAGCTCGCCAACTAAAGAATCGCGGGATTGTGTCTCTATCTGGTGAGTGTACCATCAAACTACTAGCAAGTGAACGCCGCCTAACGCGAGATCAGTCCACCCTGGAAGCATCGCAAATACTGGCCTCTTCAACTACGTCCCCATGACAGAGTTCGACTCGGGTGACAAGATATCTAGAAAGAACACCGGGTTGCCTTTTGCAATTGACACGTCATTCAAGACGGTTTCTCAGGGATGCTCGTCTGCTGTGGCGGCTGCGCTGAGCCCTGAGCTTGCAGCCAACAGCGGCTCATACATCCAGAACTGCCAGGTCGGAACGCCGCGAGAGTACGCGCTCTATGGCTAGAAAGCGAAGAAGCTGTGGTCAATGACCGAAGATTTGGTGGGACAGAAGTTTGATTTGTAAATGGTGGAGTAGGAATCCTGTAGCTAGAGCCCTGGCTGAGTATTTTCCTGCTGCCAATATGGGTTTCGATGCGGGTGTTCACGATGTAGTTAGAGCACCGCGCTTGCTTTTCTATCTTTCCTGATATCACGCTCTTTCATCTCCCTGCTTGTCTTTATCTCTTTGTGTGTTTCTCTCAATGACCCCACTGGCAAACATGTGTTCTCTCTGAGGAGACTGTGGCTGCTGTTAAAACCCACTGCTCTCGTGTCTCCGCACATAAGTGACGTATTATTAACTCTATGGTGTGTCTCTGAAGTATCAGATGCTGCGCATACAACCATCTGCTATGACCCAACAGATATTACTGATCAGGGGCAAGAGGCAGAACCAGAATTCAACTTCCCACTTCTAGAAGCAGGATGAGTACATGTATAAGACAGAGGGAGTGCACATCTCTAAGCGCTAGTTACTATAGTTAGGAGAGTTTGAAACGAAGGGGCGACGTTATAGCAAGGACTTACTTTGTGCTGTGAATTAAGACTGAGATAGGAGCTTTGCTGTCACGATAGCTTCCTACAGCACCTGTCAGGTGGATTATCATGTGCTATATCACGTAGCGTCTCACTCGTTACTCAAATCACTTGCCTATATATAAGACTTTTCTTTAACATCTCTTCTTTCATAAGAATAATCTTTTCTTAATATGCCCAGCTATGTGCTCTAACTTGTAACATTTAACTTCTAATAATAGAAGGGTTATACTTAAAAAAGAAAAGAGTCCAAGAGTTTCATAGCTAAGACTCCATAAGTGCCGGATTAGTTAGTAGTTAAGTCAGTGACAATCAGCTAATAATACCTGGTGTTATATACTCTTTTTAGAAGAAGGTAGTCCACATAGGATATTACTAGTAAGTATAACCTAGAGAGACAGACGTAATAATTAAGTTCAATAGACATAAGGTTACTTATATTACTACTCTATAAACTTAGATAACCCCCTAATATATAATAAAGGTAAGCTCTATGCTATCTAATATACTTTATATATCTCTAAATCTAGTAAGCTTTGTTATTTTAGTCGAGGATAGGACAATATCAAGAAGAAAAATCGGAAAAGGGGACGAAATATTTAGGCAGTGCTTAAGTCACGAGCCTACTTTTATGTTTAGATAGAAAATTAAAGCGACTAACCTTTCCAAGTTATATTCGACAAATTTATATTCCTGAAAGCTACCTGTGTTGAACACGGACAGATAGGAACAACACATTCTGCACAAACTGTTTCGCGCTGTAGTTCACATTTGAGCCTGCCACTCAAAATAACCAAACTAAAGCTTGGAGCTAAGCAATTCAGTACTTGGTTGTATATAGAAAGGGCTAATCTGAGTTACGCCAGTGCCTCCGACGCTGTGTTGCTGCGAATCTCTCAATCACGGCTCAAAACAAACGAAACAGCAGGGTGTCTGGCTGACCAAGCAACGATAGTAAATACCCATCGGATTCATTGTTGATGTCCTCCATAATACCAATCTCTGGGGTTTTCTTGATCGACAACTTGACACAAGTAAGTAGAGGAAGACATAAAGGTTGTTTTCTTGGGTGTAGCGGGCCAAAACTGTCCTTTTCGCTGTGTGTCACGTAGATGAATGTTAGACAAACACATTGTCTCATTGCTACGTTCTTAGTATACGACAGTCTGGCAGAACCTGAGGCTATTACGAGAGGTGAACCGCGGATGGAGATGTTATGTGAGATCGCAGGCTGTGAGTCATGGGAAAGACTCGCTCACGACGTGGGGCAATAGTTGACCTCAGTCGAAGTAGCACCGCTATGATACTCTATGTATCTATAAGTTTCGAAAAATCTGTATTTTTATGACTTTTGAAGTGTCCTCCATGCATTGTAACCTGCGTGCTGGTCAAGGCTGCCTAGTCTCAAGCTGGTCGTGGCCATGATGTTGCTTCCTCGGATCAAGTCCTTCTTGGTCATTACCAAGAAGGGATCTTCACAAGGTCTGTTTCGTGCCTAACAATTAATGGTGAGCGCGCGCAGTACTGACCGACCCCTACAGTCAAACACGGGCAGGCTGGGACGATAAATTAAATCCACGTTATCTCGAGCTCTATCAACAGTCATTCGCGGCCTAAGAGGACTCATTCCATCACCTTGCAGTCTTACGCCCCAGCTGTCTACTCGACATAGCCAACTTCCATAGAGCATGTCAAGGATGGTATAGGGTAGTTCACACGTGAAACGGCTGCTCGAATATGGACGGTTTGATACTTGCTTGCCACAGCGTTGCTGATAAAAGTGGTTGGAGTGTGTCCATTTGCATACTCGAAGTCAGCGGAATAGTTCATGACATGCTCAAGGGTGCGATGACGGCGTTGGATTGCGTTGAAGAACGGCACGGCAGATTCGACAAATGGCATGTTCATCAAGCGGAGAAGGCTGGTCTTTCGACTGGTTTCAACGTCTCCTGGGGGTCGAGGGCACAGCTCGTCATCAAAAACAAATTGATGCAATGCGCGCGTCATTCCCATCGCGCATTCTGGAGTTGCCGAACCAAAGTCCCAGTCCAGGGCTCAGCAGACGACGTGCTCGAAGCTCGTGATAATCGCTGACAGACACCAGGACCTCCCACCATGCGGGATGTCTGGTTCTGATTTTCGTATCAGCGACGTGTGGCACAATTATGACCGTATTCGTCCAGGGCCATCGTGTATGCAAACATGCCACGAACGACATAGGCCTAGCGGGCGGAATCGCGTCATTCATTAGAGAAGTGAGTCAGCCCCCAGCCATCCGGCCACTGCACGTGGTCGAAAGATAAGAAATTGGTCTCCTCCCCCCTTTCGGGTTAACCGCCTCGGACGGGATTACCCTGCATGGTAGCGGCACAGTCCGCAGATGAGATGGCCGAAAAGGGCTCATTGCGACGCGGAAAGGTTGACAATGGCAGGTTGCCACTGCTCCAGGTACGCTCAAAAGGGCAGCACTGGGAGATTGCCAAGAGATGCAAACACGCCGTGAGGTAGTACTCAAGAGGACCGTACCTCCAGTGTTTGCTAGGTACTTTGGACCTTTGGAAACGAAACCATTCATCGGGTACTACCGGCGCGGCGCTCTCATTGGAGGTCTGACTCGGGCCACGAATCGTTTCGAAGCGCGGAAACAGGTCGGCAGAAACAACTCGTAACGGGCGGCGAGCCGCAGTCGCTTGTGCCGTTTGCTCCCGCCGAGGACTTGGCGCGCCTAGTAGCGCAGAATAACCTTTTTTTTCTCTCTTTCTTTTTCTTTCTTTCTTTTCCTTTTCTTTTCTTTTTCCGCCACGGCATGGGTACATAACTATCAGGAGAAGATAATCAGGGTAAAGGAGAAGAAAAAAGAGCATAGATGTGTAAAGGACCTAGAGGGATCCCCCCCATCTCGGGGTCACAAAGCAAATGTTCGTAGACTATACGCATCACTCGACCAAGCGCGCACGGCATAGGTGCATGACAGACAGTCGAGCATTTGCGTCAGCCGTCAGCCAGTCCACACCGACACGCATTTCGGGCTGTCGAACCCGTGTTTCCACCTGCCACCCGCCGCCAGTGGCGCTGGTGAGCCAGATCCGCGTCATTCTCTCCCGGAACACCCGCCCTCGTGGACTGCCGGCGGTGTCTGCTGGTGGGGTGGATATGCTCTTTCGGACTTGGAGCGAAGCCGTTGTGGATGACACACGGACTATAGCGTGCAGTAGCTCGAGGTATCTCGGCGGTTCTTTGTTCAGGCACCAATGGGGCACACCATACTCCGTACACAGCACGTAAACCAAAGACGCAATGAAAAAACAAGGCGTGATGTGGCGATGGGATGGACTTGACTAAATAAGCTGTTTGCTGAGCGACACACACACACACACACACACACACACACACACACACACCTTGCTGTGGTAGCGAATGGTGCTAGGGCCCCACGCGGGCTCTCCGTTCGGGTACGGAACGGATGTGAGGAACAATATTGATTAGAGTGAGGTCGGAGCGTTACAGTACTACCGAGACGATGGACCAATATTAGGACGATATTTCCAGCTGAATATCAGTCCAGACTGAATGCGGAATAGTTGTGTAACCTTTTTGATTGTAATATGATTGTAGCAGCAATAGTTGGGCGAACAACGCACGATAAACCAGGCCCCGGAATCCGACCGCTGGGCACGACAACCTAGCCTCAATGTGTACATGTCACCGAGCTCATGCCATTGCGGCAGATCCCTCCGGCACTCTGGTACCGTGGGGCCTTTAGGCCCTTGGCGGGGAAGCTTGCCAGATCGCTGGCGACCAATATCTCTGATGAGCTCAGGAGAACAAAGAACAAAGAAAAGGCTGGCCCCATTGCCGACGAAGAAGGCTAGAAGCCGTTGAGAAATCCTTGAAAGGGGGAGAGCGGAAATACCGGAACATTATGGGCACTTGTCAGCCTCGAAGGTTTCCTGCTCATCTCCTCCTTTTGCGCCCTCAACTCCATCAAATCTGCTTTGCGACTTCGCCTCCGCGACCCGCGAGTTGATCTGTTCCAGATTGATCGTGATCCGTCTCGAGGTTTCGAACCAGACATGGGTAGAGAGCCCGATGCTCCAGAGTCTACAGACAAGCTGATATTGTCCCCCCCCTGTCAACCCGAGAGTACCGTGCACGATAACAGCGATAAACCTCATCCTAAAGGCTGCAGGTTCAAATCCAGTTCAAATCCAGTTTTCTTAGATTTTTTTAATTCCAAAACGGCTCCGCCGGGGAGGGTTGGAATGGTCTAACCCACCCTGCTTCCTACGCTGCGCTCCGGGTCGGGATGGGCCAAGACCATCCCTTTTGCCTCTAGAGATAGTTGTGTTATCACTAAATCCACTGTCTGCTGAGCTTTATTGCTGTTATTGTGCACGGTACTCTCGGGTTGACAGGGGGGGACAATATCAGCTTGTCTGATCACTCGATGCTCCAGTATTTCCTGAATCTAAAGTATTACATACGATAGTACGGATAGAGGCTGGGAGGTGGTCCCCCAGCCCACCCGGGCGGAACAGGGGAGGGGGTGAGGAATTCTCAAGTTCACTCAGCTCAATGCCTCGGCGGTCAGCCAGGCCGATAGGAACCATGAGCCGGTTCGGACATGGGGGGGAGGAGGAGGAGCACGTTAATGAAAAATAAAAAAAATAAAAAGAGAAAAGTAACGCTAAGATGACCGGGGAAGGGCTGGAAAAGGAAAAAACACGAGATGGCCACTGGGGACCCGTGATGCACGCTGCACCACATACTTGCGAAAACTCATCCATAGGGTAGTACAAAACAAGCTGCTGGGCACAAAAACTTGGCACAACAAGCAACAGAGCGGAAGGGATATACGATGTACACGGCAAACAGGCCAATAGCAGCGATTAGCAAACAGAAGGGTTCGTTGCGGTTCTGCCACCGATACCAGAGGTGTTTATTTATAGCAACGATCACCACAAGGGGCGCAGGCCGAGGCCTGAGGTGCTACGTGTGCATACATAGACGGTGCAACCCAGCGCCACCTAGCGGCAGTAGAGAGCCACCAGACCGCCAGATTCGAGAAGCAAGGCGCCAGAGTTGAGAAGCAAGGCTGTGTGAGGTTGGCGCTGCTTTTTCTCTCTGGGAGAAGAACTTGAAACAGAGCCCATTTAGACTACAATGCAATGGAGGGTACGGTGCGTTGACCAATGGTGATGGTCTGTTCAGGGGCCACTTATCCAACTTTGCTCTGCTTGTGGTGGTTTGTCGGTATGACGATATTCTTCTACTACTATGTGTATATCCATCGATCAAGATAAGGGGAGGGGGAAGGGGGGGGGGGGATTGCAGCAATCGGGTGAGTGAGGGGGGATGGGCGAGGGCAGTGGTGTGCTCAGTCTGAAGAGCCGAGGTGCCGTGCGTGGCTATCCAAGCAGCAGCCTTGCATGCCTACCTCGTACTATACCTACTACTACTGTAGGAACACCTTGGATATGGGTTGAGTGTGATATAACGGGTGGGCGTCTGTAAAAGCACTTGCAGGCGGCGTGGATGTATTCGATGCGCGCCACTTGCTTTTGCGGGGAGGTGACGTAAATCATATACACAACAATTTACCACGTATAGTGCATATTGCACAAGAAAACGCTGCTCCACCGCGGACCGTATTTCCTTTCCAGCCGCGTCATGCTAACCCTAGATAGGGGGTGACTGACCAAGCTTATGGCCAACGGGGCGGGATTTTATCCTGGATACGATAACCCTGCTAACTGATTCTCCACTATGTGGCGGGCAGGCGCCTCATCGATTGGATGAACGGGGACAAGAAGCAGAGAGTCTCTGCTGATTAACCATTTTGCTCGCTCTCATTCTTCCATTCTCTCTCTCTCTCTCTCTCTCTCACTCTCTCTCTCACTCACTCTCACACACTCTCTCTCACTCGTCCCACCCAACTGGGACCAGGGTCCAGCAAGCCTTGCTGTTAGAGTTTCAGCTTCTAAGGACGGACCAGCTTACTGATGTACTATGTTCCCGCGATTCCGTCGCCCACTTGCTGCCTACACTAGTACCTAGCACCTAATCCAGCTCGACGGTTCGGATGGAACACGAACATCAGATGAGCAACCGACAAAACGCTCTGGGCAACTAATAGCCGCCCGCCGTTGAGTTCACCTGTGCACCATTACCCGCGGGCTTCTGCGCACCGAAGGCGCCTGTCATCACCAGAGGTCAAACGCCCCGCCATTGTCCAGGTTGCTCCTTGGAAGTATTGGCAATCCTCTTCTGGGTGGGGGGCCGGTGGTTGAAAGAGGGTATTTATCCATATTAGTACACTACCGTACCTAGGCGGGCAAAGCAAGCACACAATCATGCATGGTTCAGGTAGGGCTACCTACGGTGATACCTCAGTATCTCTCTACACATTGCAGGGGTGAGAAAAGGAAGGTGACTGATTCTCAGCTTGACTGATAACCAACCGATAACCCGTTTGCCATGTCTGCCGTTGCAGCGAGAGCAAGCCACAGGTTGCATGCGCCGTTTCGCCACCAATGAAGCTGTCGCAGACCCTGCCCAGGCTAAGCCCATTACGTGACGTCAAGAAACTGTGCGCTCTGTCGACATTTCGACAAGACAGGGTAACCAACGGAGAGAGATTCCACAATCACGCTCAGTTCGCTTCATCCCAGCCGCCGGGCGTGGGGTGTTGTGGCACCGCCGCCTCCTGACTCGCTTGGCGGCTCCATCTCCTTATCAAACACGCACACACACACACACACACACACACACACATACACACATGGGAAGAGTCTTCCCGAAAATTCTTTTACCAAGGCGTGGGCATGAATGCATGAAAGACAGAATGGAACAGGGAAAGAAGAAGAGGTGTCAAGGTTGGAGAAGAAGGAAGAAGAAGAGGGTCTTCTGCGGCGAATGTAGAACTGAGAAACGCCCAGAACCACAATACGCTCACCACTGGGCGTTTTTATACGAACAAGTATGCAATGCAATGCAATGCAATGCTTCCATAGCCCTCGGTCTCTCCTATCATCCCCTCCTATCCTCTGTCCAACCCACCCAAACGGCATGCACAAGCCGCTCTAGACCTTCTTGTTCTCGCCATGTGTTTGTTGGCGTTCAAGCTACTGAAGCTTTTCTCAGCCGGCTCAGGGTTTGCCTGGCCACACAAGTCGACTGATCCCGGGAGAGTTCTGGGATCAACTGAATTCTCGGGGAAAAAACACACCCATGTCAGTCCAAAGATGTAGTGGGTAAGACGCAGCAAGTAACCCATCACACTCTCAACAGGCCCGACTTTTCCTCCCCGCCCCCCCTCCTGCGCAGTTCCACCCCCCGCTGACCCGTGTTGCTGAAGTTCCTTTTACGCTATCTATCCCGGGCACCGCGGAAGAGTTCGTCAGTCGGTACTGATGCTAATAGCATACGGATACGCGTGAGAGGGGTGCCGCCGCCGCCGCCGCCAACTGTGAACGACTTTGAACGAGGACCTACCCCAAACTCTCCAACACCCAGGTTCTCGACCGGGAAGATCAGTCTTGTTGGCCAGAGTCCACCTCGTGCTGAACCTGGCCTATAGTCTGGGAGGGTATTCATAGTGTCCAATCGGCCAGCCTCCGCAACCCTGCCTGGGAAGCCGAGGGTCACCACTGAGATGCCACCTCTACTACGGTAGTACGTATGATGTACTCCGTACACATGAGTAAACGTCGAGCTCGTATCCTAGAATGGCAGTCTCCGCAGACGAAGGGCATGACGGCTAACCTACTATGTAACTGATGTCCCTACTTTTCGTGAGGCGATGCCGCCCATACGGGGCGGGTCTGACTATGTCTCCATGCATCCTCCTGCCACCCCTTACCACTCGACCTACTACTACACACACGCACACGCGCGCGCACACCATCAGCTGGAGACATGGGAGGCCGTAGTAAGCAGGCCATCAAAATGCTGTGGTATTCAAAGGTTTCCACCCCCATAGTAAAAGTAGCCCATAGATCCCGTAGACCCCCCCCAATCTCTGACGTACGTTGCTTTCTGGTTTTCCTGCCTAGCTCTCGTTTTTGCTTCGGGTTGTGTATTTTGTGGGAAAGGGAAGCATCTCTACTATCGCTCATCCATCTTTCCCATCCCTCGTCTCTCGTTCAAACCCGATCCCCAAACACTGGCATCACTCGCTTCCGCCAGTTTATGAATGCTGTTATAACTCATTGACTTTGTCCTTAGCCCCCCTCCCCCTCCATTGAGTTTATCGTTCTGTCCGGGAGCTATCATCATCAGTATTGAAACCAGCCAGCGTCTATCCCCTCTCGCTTCGAGGACGCACTTGGGCGTCCTCTTTCAGAACAACCGTCCAACATGTGGTTCGGGGAACTGAAAGCGCTCTTACTACTGGGCTTCCTGTCCCGTAATGTTAATGGCCTCAGGTACGACGAGAAATACGTCGACTACAACCTCAACCAGAATAAGGATGCGACAGATCCCATATTCTACGATGGAACGTGGGAGGGTCACAACTACACGCCGTCGCCGGAGAACTGGCGGTTCCCGTTCTACACCATCATGCTTGACAGATTCGTGAACGGCAACCCGGATAACGACAACGCGAACGGAACCATACTCGAGCAGGACATCACGGGCACGCAGCTGCGATGGGGCGGTGATATCGCCGGCCTGGTCGACACTCTGGATTACCTGCAGGGCATGGGCATCAAGGGAATCTACTTTGGAGGATCGATGCTCATCAACGCGCCATGGAACTACGACTCGTACTCGCCGTTGGATCAGACGCTGCTGGATATGCACTTTGGCAACATCACAGAATGGAGAGCGGCCATCCAGGAAATCCACGACCGTGGAATGGTAAGTCGGATAAGCACAACGTGCCTCCTAGGAGGAGCCATGCGCGACTGACCTGCCAAATAGTACATCGTCTTCGATAACACGATGGCCACCTTGGGTGACCTGATCGGCTTCAAGGACTACCTCAACAGCTCGGCGCCGTTCGAACCCCACGAGATGGAGATTGTCTACAAGACGGACCGACAGTATCTCGACTGGACCTTCCCGACCGAGTACAACGAGACTTGCGAACACTTTCCTCGTCTCTACCTCGAAGAGGGCAAGGAAGTTCCCCAAGAGATCTACGACATGTTCGGAGGCTGCTACAACGGTGACTTTGACCAGGTATGGCTTTATTCCCAGCCACCCCCCCCTCCCCATCGATTCGACACCTTCGAGAGCCGGCATGATAACTAACCGAGACACGATGGCAGTTCGGTGACACTGAGGCTTTCGGCGTATACCCAGATTACCGGCGTCAGTTGACAAAGTTCGCCTCCGTCCAGGACAGACTGAGAGAATGGGTCCCCGCCGTTAACCAGAAGCTCGCCCACTTCTCGTGCATAATGATCAAGATGCTGGATATCGATGGTTTCCGATTTGACAAGGCGCTGCAGGTCACGGTCGATGCCCAGGGCGAGTTCTCCAAGAGGATGCGTGAGTGCGCTCGCGCCGTTGGCAAGGACAACTTCTTCCTCCCCGGCGAGATCACGGGCGGTAACACCATGGGTTCCATCTATATCGGCCGCGGCCGCGTTCCCGAGCAGTGGTTCAAGGACATCAACACTGCTTACAACACAACCCAGGACAAGGCAAAGGACATGGACATCTTCATCCGCGACGAGGGCCACCAGGCCCTGGATTCCGCCGCCTTCCACTACTCCTTCTACCGTTTCCTCGTCATCTTCCTAGGTATGGACGGTACCGGTGTGGCCGGCTACGATGTGCCCAGTAACTTTGTCGAGGCTTGGAACGAGGTCCTGCGGTCCAACGATATGATCAACGCCAACACCGGCAAGGTCGACCCCCGCCACATGTTCGGTGCCATGAACCAGGACACTTTCCGCTGGCCTGCCATTGAAGTCGGCCACGAGCGCAGTTTGATGGGCCTGTTCATCACGACGCTTCACTTGCCCGGCATCCCCATGCTCACGTGGGGAGAGGAGCAGGCGTTCTACGTCCTCGACAACACGGCGCAGAACTACATGTTCGGCCGTCAACCCCTCGCCTCCGCGCCCGCCTGGCAACAGCACGGATGTTACTCTATGCCCGCAACCCTCTATTACCAGATGCCCCTCAGCAAGGCGCGCGAGGGATGCCGCGACGACACCGTCTCTTATGATCACCGCGACCCCAGCCACCCCATCAGGAACATCCTCAAGCACATGTACCATCTGAGAAAGGAGTACCCCGTTCTCCAGGACGGCATGTGGCTCGAGCAGCTGTCGAACAACACCGAGGACCTCCACTACCCTGGTAACTCCGGAATGGCCACCACCACCGGTCTCTTCAGCGTACTACGTTACCAGCTCGGCGTCCAGGACCTCGGCGAGAACCTCGTTCCCATCTGGTTCCTGTACCACAACCGCAACGTTACCCACACCTACCAGGTCGATTGCAGCAAGAAGGAGGAGGCCATCATCTCCCCCTTCGAGTCCGGTACCACGGTGAAGAACCTGTTCTTCCCTCACCAGGAGACCACGCTCGACTCATCGCCCGTGGCGCTCCCTTACGCCAACAACAAGGGCTTCAACGGCTGCTTCAAGAACATCACTCTGACCCCGTTCGAGTTCCGTGCCTACGTCCCCAAGGCCGACTTCAAGAACCCCCCCGTTGCCGTCACCAAGTTTGCTCCCGGCCATGACGCCCGCCTCCAGTCCGACGAACCCGTCAACACCGTCCCCATTGAGCTTCACTTCTCCGTTAAGATGGACTGCGATTTATTCAAGGACGCCGTCAGCTTCCAGTCCCACACCGACGACAACAGCGTCCCCTCGATTGACGAGAGCTCCATCCAGTGCGCAGACATCTCCGAAGCCGTCTCTCAGTGGACGGCCGCCTTGCCTTCTGTGTTTTCGTGGAAGGCCAACCTGGTCAATGTCAAGCATGGTGTGCACCAGGTCATTGTTAAGAACGCAACCGTGTCTGGCGGGCAGACGACGACAAACGTCACCGACAGGTTCCTCTTCCGCATCGGCTCTCTGGACAACGGCATCGTCTTCCCCCATGCGGCCAACTACTCCACGACCCTCCTGACCAAGGACGCCGACGGCACTCTCAGACTCAAGCACACCTCGGCCGGAGCCAGCAAGTTCCGCTACTCGACCAACTTCGAGTCATCTTGGAGCGACTGGGCCCCCTACGAGACCGAGACCAAGGTCGTCAAGCAGCCCTGGAACGGCACCAAGGAACAGGAGTGGGAGGGCGAGCACGTCGTTGTCCAGTACTACAGCAAGCTTCTCGGCTCCAGCGCGTACATGGTACATGCCGACCTCGGCTACGACACCCCGCGCCGCATCCCTCACATGTACGCCGTCGGCAAGTTCAACCAGTTCGGTTACGACAGCGGCTTGACCATGTCCCTGAAGCACGAGAGCGCGTCGCAGTGGGCGTGGCACTACATGGACGAATGGCCCAACTACTTCAAGTTCAGCATCTGGGGCATGAACCCGGACAAGCAGCCCGACCAGTCCTTCATCTACGGTGACGTCGACGGCGACCACGTCGTCGAGCGTCTGCCCCCCTCGTCGCTGTTCCAGAACGCCGTCAACATCACGGAGCCCCCTCCCAAGCCGTACCTGGCCTTCCGCGTCGTCCTGAACGATGCCACCCTGCAGTACCAGCTCATCCCCAAGGGTAACATGTGGGTTCAGTTCATGCTCTGGCTCTTGCTCCTCATCGTGCCCGTCCTCAGCGGCCTCGCCGCCGTGCAAGCCTTCAAGCGCTCCTTCTACAAGGTCAAGTTCAACGAGCACGGTGTCCACGAGACCTCCAAGCTCGGCATGATGGTCCAAAAGACCCGCAACGCCTTCATGGGCGCCGCCGGCGCCGTGCCCCTCAAGATGCGCAGCTCGACCGACCTCGTCTCCGCCGCCGCCGCTGCGACCGCCGGCAACAAGCGCCGCAAGGTCCTGATCGCCACCATGGAGTACAACATCGACGACTGGAACATCAAGATCAAGATTGGTGGTTTGGGTGTCATGGCCCAGCTGATGGGCAAGGCCCTCAAGCACCAGGACCTCATCTGGGTTGTGCCCTGCGTCGGTGATGTCGAGTACCCCCTGGACAGCCCGGCGCCCAGCATGTACGTCACCATCATGGACTCAGAGTACGAGATCAAGGTTCAGTACCACATTGTGGACAACATTACCTATGTCTTGCTTGATGCTCCTGTCTTCAGGAAGCAGACCAAGTCTGAGCCTTACCCCCCGCGTATGGACGACCTCGAGAGTGCCATCTACTACTCTGCTTGGTAAGTTTCGTCATGACCCCCTCCTATCGAGTCTAGAAGATCGCTTCACTAACTGGTTCGATAGGAACCAATGCATCGCTGAGACCTGCAACCGTTTCCCCGTTGATCTGTACCACATCAACGATTACCACGGCGCTATTGCTCCTCTTTACCTGCTTCCCAGGACGATCCCAGTTGCCCTGTCTCTTCACAACGCCGAGTTCCAGGGTCTCTGGCCTATGCGCACGCCCGAGGAGAGCAAGGAAGTCTGCAAAGCTTACAACCTAAGCATCGAGGTCGTCAAGAAGTACGTCCAGTACGGCTCAGGTAAGAAACTCCCCGTCACCCACGCCTCCCGCCCCCTTGGCACGCGTCCTGACAAGAAGCAGTGTTCAACCTTCTCCATGCCGGCGCCAGTTACCTCCGCGTCCACCAGAACGGATTTGGTGCCGTCGGTGTCTCTCGCAAGTACGGTGACCGTTCGTTCGCTCGTTACCCTATTTTCTGGGGTCTGTCCAAGGTTGGCCAGCTGCCTAACCCCGACCCTACGGATACCGCCGAGTGGGACAAGACCGACTTCATGAACCAACCCAAGATCGAGGTCGACCCCGCCTACGAAGCCGGCCGCGGTGACCTGAGAAGACAGGCTCAGGAATGGGCCGGACTTAACGTCGATCCTGAAGCCGAGCTGTTTGTCTTCGTCGGACGTTGGTCTCTGCAGAAGGGCGTATGTGGCCCCCTTTCTCCGCCTTTTTATGAGTTTTTTTTTTTACTAGGAAGAAACGACTAAACTAACGCGCGAATAGGTTGATCTCATCGCCGACATCTTCCCATGGGTTCTGGATACCTACCCCAAGGCTCAATTGATTACCATTGGACCCATGATTGATCTTTACGGACGCTTCGCCGCTCTCAAGCTCGCCAAGCTCATGGAGCTCTACCCCGGTCGCGTGTTCTCCAAGCCCGAGTTCACCGCCCTCCCGCCTTACATCTTCAGCGGTGCCGAGTTTGCCTTGATCCCCTCCAGAGACGAGCCTTTCGGTTTGGTCGCCGTCGAATTCGGCAGAAAGGGAGCTCTGGGTGTCGGTGCCCGCGTCGGTGGTCTCGGTCAGATGCCCGGATGGTGGTACACGGTTGAATCGACCAAAGCGGTATGTCTCCTCTCCCTTACTTTTATACCATGTTGAAAAAAGAGAAAAGAAAAAAGAAAAAAGAAAAAGAAAAAGAAACACAACGTGACTGACCTGACCCCCCCCCTCTCGCAGGCCCATCTCACCAAGCAGTTCAAGCACGCCATCAAGGATGCCCTCGAGACGGACACCAAGACCAGAGCCATGATGCGCGCCTGGTCCGCCAAGCAGCGATTCCCCGTGGCCGAGTGGCTCGAGAAGCTCGAAAAGCTCCAGGGCGGCGTCATCAAGGCGCACGCAAAGTACGGCAAGAAGGGCGTCAAGAAGGGCAACGTCCTCGTCAAGCACAGCCGCGCCAGCTCCATCGCCGCCCCCCTCCGCAACGACGTCGAGCTCGTCGACCGCTCCCCGGCGTGGATGCGCCAGGTTTCCGACTACGACGACGACGCGACGACGCTCCACGGCGGCCGCAACACCTCCGGCATGCAGACTCCCCGGTACCCCAGCACTCCCGGCTCGCCCGCCATGTCCCCGACGCCCATGTATGCCGACTCGCCCTACAGCTCCCGCGCGGCCTCGCCGGGACCGTACAACCGCGATCCCCAGCATGGCCGCAACGTCTCGGGCAACTCGGCCCACGACTTCGGGCTCGGCCGCAACTTCTCGCTCCCGGGACCTGCCGGGCAACAGCACTACCAGCCGGCGCACAGCCGCGACGCCTCCGGCTTCTCCATGGCCGACACCCTGCCGCTCCCGCCCCCGGGAGGGGGCCTGGGCATGCAGCAGGACAACTCCTCGCGCGCCTCCATGCTCAGCGTCGAGGACGTCGTCGGCGACAGGCACGACTACAAGCTGCAGCAGGTCGACCCCTTCTTCACCGACTCCAACGGCGAGTTCTACCACCACTTTGAGGAGAAGCTCAAGAGCCTCAACGCCGGCAACTCCATGTCGGACCTCTGCATCGAGGACTACCTCATCAAGAGCGAGAAGGAGTGGTTCGACATGTACCTCGACGCCCGGCTCGGCCGCGCCGCCTCCCCGTCGTCGCCGCGGTCGCCGCGGGCCAGTTCGAGGTCGCGCCCGTCCTCGCCCATCAACGCCTCCAAGATGAGCCTGGGCGTGTTCAAGAACAGGTCCTCTTCCAAGCTGAGCCTGCCCCTCGAGCGCGAGCGCGGCCGCAGCAGGGTGCCCTCCGGCCTGATGAACAGCCACGCGGCCTCGGACAACAACAACAACAACAACGGCTACAACGACCACTCGCCCCCGGACTCCCCCGGCTCCTACAACGCGCAGTTCGACCTCCCCGAGGACTACGTGCCCCCCACCGGCGTCAAGAAGTACCTCCAGTACCGCCTCGGCGACTGGCCCGTGTACTCGATGCTCCTGGCGCTCAACCAGATCATCGCCACCAACTCGTACCAGGTGACCCTGCTCACCGGCGAGGTCGGCCAGACGGCGTCCAAGCTCTACATCATCGCGACCGTCTACCTCTGCTCCTCCGTCGTGTGGTACACCCTGTCGCGCACCATGCCCCTCCTCTACCCGCTGTCCGTCCCGTACTTTCTGTACGGCTTCGCCTTCATGCTCCTCGGCTTCTCCGGGTTCCCCACCAAGAGCAACGACCAGGTCTGGCTCCAGAACGCCGCCACAGGGCTCTACGCCTTCGCGTCCTCGTCCGGCTCGCTCGCCTTCGCCTTCAACTTCGGCACCGACGGCGGCTCGACCGTCCCCAAGTGGATCCAGCGCCTCGCCATCATCCAGGGCCTCACCCAGCTCTACACCCTCGCCCTCTGGGCCTGGGGCAGCCTCGTCTCCGAGGCCGAGGCCAACAGCGTGGCCAAGCCCACCCTCGCCGGCTCGCCCTACCTCCTCGCCGTCTGCGCGCCCGCCGCCCTCCTCCTCTGGGCCGTCGGCGCCGTCCTCTACCTCGGCCTCCCCGACTTCTACCGCGAGATGCCCGGCCCCATCCCCCAGCTGTGGCTGACGCTCCTGAAGCGCAGGACCATCGCCTGGTACCTCATGGCCGTCTGCATCCAGAACTACTTCCTCAGCTCCCTCTTCGGCCGCAACTGGTTTTTCCTCTTCTCGTCCCAGCACGTGCCCGTCTGGAGCATGGTCATCCTCGCCCTCTTCTTCTTTATCTTTGTCTGGGCCATCGTCCTCTGGGGCCTGGCCAAGGCCAGCGAGAGCCACCCGTGGCTGTTCCCCATGTTCGCCGTCGGCCTCGGCGCCCCGCGCTGGGCCCAGATCTGGTGGGGTACCTCGCGCATCGGCGTCTACATGCCGTGGGCTGGCGGCGTCGTCGCCGGCGCCGTTCTCAGCCGCATCCTCTGGCTGTGGCTCGGCGTCCTCGACGGCCTTCAGGGTGCGGGTATCGGCATGATCCTCATGCTGACCCTGACTCGTGTCCACGTCGCCGCGGCCTGCGTCGGGGCCCAGGTCCTCGGCTCCATCTTCACCATGCTTGGCCGCGCCACAGCCCCCAACAACGTCGGTCCCTCGACAGTCTTCCCCGACATCAGCCAGGGCGTCGATGTTGCCTTGGCCCACGGCTGGTTCTGGGTTGTTTTGCTACTCAACCTGTTCATTTGCTTTGGCTACTTCAAGTTCTTCAGAAAGGAGCAGGTCAGCAAGCCTTAAGACAGAAAGAATAAAAAAAGGCTATGAAATGTGTTTTTCGGTTATATGGGAGGATAGAGCATTTCCTGTATTTTTCTTGAGTAGATACGAACCTCACAGTAACGACCCCAACCTTCTATGGTAATAGAGTTAATGACACTGATTCAATAACCCTGTGTGATTCCATGTTTAAGCTGGGGTGCCCCGGCATGTGACGATCACTTCCCGCTTGGATGGAGAACGCTCGTTAATGTCCACCGAACCGAACCCCTTGGAACAAATCGTAATCAGCACTTGATTGGATCCCATGTATACGACGCAATCTTAAAAGATGTGGGCGACGCCCCTAACGAGAGAACTGGCAAGCGGTTCTTCAATCCTCCAAAGGCTTCGTTGAGGGTCTTCGGAAGCCCGGATCTGCAGAGCCACCATGGCACAGCATCTTTCCAATTTGCACCGTTATGCGCATGGCTTTAGAGCGTTCCCCGTCGCAATCAAAGCCGATCCGTCCAATAGCTGCAACGTGAATGCCTTCTGAACGCAACTATATCTATAATGCCAGCCTTCTTCTCCTCTGGCTGTAGTCTAGCTATACTCTCTCTGTAGGAGTTCGATACCTCGTCCCGCTCCCTTGCTTTCTTCCCGTCAGGGGTTCGATTCCGCGTATACCATGATGAAGCTGTCAGTAATATTCGTCACGTTGGCGCTTGCCATCTCTTCGGCGCAAGCGTGTGCCAGGTACAAGACCTGCTGGTGAGATTTGATCCTCTCTCCCATATACCCACCTCTCCGGCAGGACCGATTTGACTGACCTTTGTCAAGGTGCGAGAGGAGCAACGTTGAGTACCAGGGCAAGATCCAGGACAACATCGCCTGGGACGAGGACACGGTGAAGGCCTGTGCCGGCACCGGGGAGGCTGGCTACTACGGCCAGAACTTCCAGGAGTGCTACCGGTACAAGAGCAGTCGATGGTGGTTTATCAAAGCCAAGGCCATCAACAACTGCGATTGGACAGATGTAAGAAGGCTCCCGCCGACCGGCAATGCCCCCCTCCCCCCCGCTGAGGACAGCAAGGACGCGATGGCTGACGTTTTGTTTTCTGTAGAAATGCATTGCTGCCGGCGCTACCATCGGGTACTGTCGTGACAAGATTTGACAGGCTGCCAACGGTGGGAAAAGCCCCGATCAGTGTGTCGGCATGGTTGCTTGGACGGGATATTTCCTCTGAATGCCGGTCTCACTCTCGCTCACGCACACACACACACACACACACACACACACGCACCATGCTCCGGCCGATTCCGTGCTCCGCGGTCGATTCCGTGCTCCGGCCGATTCCGTGCTCCGGCCGTGGCCACTTTTGAGCCGAGAGTGCACCTAGCCCCAGGCAAAAGGATGCAAAGGAAGCGGTCAGACACATGGGGAGACACGTTTGATACCGAGCGGGCCAAGGTTCGCTATCCGTGGAAAGCCGGCCTGAGAAAAGGCTCGACTCGACGCTACGTCGCATCGGATTTTTGCGCTTCCATTATCCGGTCGGTCCCTCATGCGCAGCGCCCCCTCCCTTGTTCATATCGCCGGGAGGCTAGAGAGCCAACCTGTCATCTGTGGTCGAGGGAATGTGGAAGCTGAAGGGTTTTGTTTATTAAACAAAAAAAGACTATGATCGGCTAGCAAAAAGGAAAGGAGACCAGGCGAAGACGGAAATTGGTGAATACTGGCAATCTCACTCGTGCATGTAGAGAGGCGTTCGTTGAGCTGAAAAAATGAAAACGGGTTGCCTTTTGACCAACTATTTTTCTACTATACCTGTCGCGCCAAGCGGGGAGAAGGTCATACTCCCCTCCCTAATCATATACGTTGACAAGATATCGAACCTCTGAGAAACGCCCCGTGCCAGACCGCAGCTCCAGGCCCGGGCCCCTCACTTTAGCAGATGCCCGTCGGACGGAACCCCCTCCGGCCTCTTCCAGTGCACCGGCACGCCGCCCCAGCTCTCCTCGCTGTACTTCTGCTGCACCTTCTGACAGGTCCGCAGGCCCCACTCGGTGACGCCCAGCATGGCGCAGCTCTCGAACATGAAGGCGCAGCTGCCGGCGCCGACCTTGGCCGGCTTCAGCTCGGCGTTCCTCGCCCCCTCGCCGCTCTCGGCGTCCGGGCCGTGGCCGCTCATGGTGTTGTGCAGGCTCGCCCCGCCCGGCACGAACCCGCCGGACCCGCCGCGCTTTGCGTCGTACCCGCCGGCGATCAGCCCCATGAACTCGGACATGGTGTTGCGGTGGTAGTAGGGCGGGCGGAAGGTGTCCTCGGCCACGAGCCATCGCGGCGGGAAGATGACAAAGTCGGCGATGGCGGTGCCCGGCACGCCCGAGGGCGCCGAGAGGACGGTGAAGATGGACGGGTCCGGGTGGTCGTAGGAGATGGTGCCGATGGTGTTGAAGCGGCCGAGGTCGTACTTGTAGGGGTAGTAGTTGCCGTGCCACGCGACGACGTCGAAGGGGGTGTGCTGCTGCGTGGTCTCAAAGTAGTCGTTGTTGAACTTGACCGTCACGGTGTAGCTGCCCGACCCCTCGTGGGCCGTCGCGCCAAAGTCCTCGCTGAAGCAGGCCACGGGCACCTGGAAGTCGCGCGGGTTGGCGAGGCCGTTGGTGCCGATGGGGCCTAGCTCGGGCAGGACGAAGTGGCCCTGGTACAGCTCGAGGGCGTAGCCCCGGGCCGAGCCGGCCGGGAGGTGAACCTGGTACTTGATGCCGCGGGGGATGACGGCGACCTCGAGCGGGCGGACGAGGAGCCAGCCGAGCTCGGTGCGGATGTCGAGGGGGCCCTCCTGCGGGACGATGAGCAGGTCGCCGTCGGCCGAGTAGAAGGCGGCCGTGTCGTCCATGCTCTTGCCGGCGGCGTAGACGTAGATGCCGATGCCTTGCTTCAGCGTCGGGTCTCCCGCGCCGGCGACGAGACGCATGCCGGCAACAAAGTCCCAGCTCTTGGCCTCATCGTGGTCGAATGGGTCCCAACGCAGCTGATTGGGGATGTACTGCAGCTTGGATGGCTGGGCTCTTGTCTCGGGCGACGGGGCCGAGGTCGCGGTGTAGGGCGGGTGGGCGCACGAGGGGAGGATGCGGTAGAGCCAGGCCTGCTTGTTGTCGTGGCGCGGCGCGGTGAAGGAGGTACCCGAGAGCTTCTCGGCGTACAGGCCGTGGGGCGGCTTTTGTGGAGAGTTTTGGCCGATGGGGAGGGACCCGGGGACGGCTTCGGATCTGTGAACGGGGAAGCGTTAGAGTGCTGGCGTCGTGGGGAGGGGGGAGGGGGAGGGGGGTTCAGTCGGCAAGATTGATATATAGGGTGTGAATGGAATCAAGAACGCCACTGAAGGGGGGGGCAGGATATCGGCCCTGGGGTTGCACGTACTCGAGGTGGGAGTCGAAGCCAATCTGGTAGCGGTACTTCTCGGGGAAGTCGAAGCTTGTGACAGGCATGGTAACTAACGGCGGGATGGGAGGGTTCTCAAGCTTCGGGCGAGTCTGGCTTGATGGCCGGTAGTGGTTGGAGATGGGATCGGTCTGGTCGGGACGAAAAGGAAGGACACACGGCGTTCTAATACCCCCCCCCCTCCTTCCTCTCCAGCTCCCCGCCCCTCGGGCCATTCTGTATGACGTTGGGGCAAGATGTGTATCAAATGGGGTCTGTTTTGACAGTGATTCCATTTCCGCGGTCGACTGCGTGCTAAAGTCGTCGAGAAGCGACGACTGCCGACGGTAGCCGGGTGGGTGGCAGCGGCATCGGTTCCTAGGCTTTTCAATTCCGATTTCCGGATTGGAGACGTGAGGGGAAAACCCGCTCGGAGCACATGCTCACTCAAGTAGGCAGGGCAGGGCAGGCCAGGGCCTTGGGAATAGAGATGGCGGGGGCTATTCCGTAGGTTGCGTTTCGGATTTGATTCGTACGTTCAATGCCCTCGTAGAGCTTGTTGTGGGACAAGGCTCCATTGATGCTTGGCAGAGGTCGGCTTGTCTCTAGAAGAAAGGATTGTTTGTATTCAGTCAGCCTCGGTGGAGCTCGACAGTTTGATGGCGGCGGCGGCGGCGGCGAAGCAACATCTCGAGCTCTGCGAGGGGCATTGCGGCTTCGGGAGTAAGTCGATGGGCATGTCGTGTTGGTCCAAGTTACACATCCGTTAGTGACAGTTTAGATGATTCCCGCTCGGTATGCTCAGGACCCTAGTTCCCCCGGGTTGTGTGGGTCACGATTGCTGCAGGAAAGTCGGAATGGACGCACCGGACTCGCTCCCGTAAACCCACTCCTTCCGGACGACATGCCACTCCAATGACAGGAAATTGAACTTCACGTGCAACGGTGGGACGTGGCTTTATTCCTCTGGCCAAGTAGAGAAATACATCGCAAGCTTATGTACGGCAAAGTGACAAGGTCAACGAGTCAATTGAGCCAATGGCCAAGCTGTTACCACTAAAACCCATTCGCTCAACGGTCCGACGACATCGACCATCCTAATAGCTGTACACCTTGGGAGCGTCAAGCTCCAGAGTAGACATCAGTGACCTGAGGTACACCCGCATTTGGCCAAATTCATCGCAATATCCCGTTGCGCCAAGTCGCCGTTTCGAGCCAGAGCAAGACGGCTTCTTGGTCACCAAGTATTGCACCAGGTGCCAGGCGACTTGCGAGGGGCTTTACTCTTCGCCTTCGGCCTTCTTGTTCTTCTTCTTCTTGCCGCCGCCGCCGCCGAAGGCACTGCCTCCTGTCGCGGGTTGCTTCTGGAGGTGGACGACCAACCGGGTCCAGCACTCTTCCTTGTCCCATTCGAAGCCTGCCAGGTACGGCTTGTCGAGCTCGTCATCCGCCTATTGGAGATTAGCACAGGTCGGCTTGCGTAGTGACGTGAGGAAGATGGTTTCTTACCCTCTTCTTATATGCCTTGTGGATGGCGTCCAGTGCGTCTTTTATTGTTACGCCCTTGAGGTTGCGCGCCGTGACTTCCATGCCGAGGGGGAAGTGCAGGTCAATCTTCTTGACTGGCGGCTGCGAGAGCGGCAGCTTGAGGATTTCCTTGTCCTCCACTGTCGAGGACGAAGTGTTGATCTTCCTGCAAGGGGTCAGCCATTGGCACGGTAGTAGAAGACACTCCCAACACCCGCGTCCAAAGACGGATGGCATGCTAAATTTAGGTGATGAGACTTACCATCCTGTCCGTTGCGTTTCCGGGGCGAGCTCCAGCTCAATCTTTTGTTCTTCTATTACAGGGCATCCAATGTCAGTGGCGTCCCGAGGCACCCAAGTAGTCGTTCGGTTAGGACTTGGCGGGTGCAGGGCCGGGACGGGGACGTACCGAGATCTTTGATGTTGTAGACGCCGGGGGCGGCGGCCGAGGATTGACGGCGGGTCTTTTGCTCCTTTGGGGGGGACTGGGAGAGACCTCCGACAGCAGAGTCGACCTTGGTAAGCGGTTCCGTCATGGTGGCGATTGGTTGTGATTTCGTATAGTGTATGTAATGGAGCGTTTGTGGATTGTCTGGTGGAAGCAACAAAGTCAGCTTACCGAAGCTTCCGGTGCATGTGAAGGGCGAGCTTCCTCGAATCCAGGAACGGGAGCTCTCTTGGTTGTCAATGGATGGGGGAAGGGGAGGGGTAGCTATGATTACCTAGTGATGAGTAGGCGGTGTTTGACTGTGAGATGGATAGAAGGAGGAGAAGTGGGATGGAGAGGGGATTAAGAAGGGAAGAGGATTGGGGGGGAGAGGGGAGGAAGGTAGGTAGATGGATGTCGATGCGGTCGGGCGTCTGACCTCGTGGTGCCGGTCCAAGACAGGCAAAAGGAGGGGTCGAGAGGGGTGAAAGGGGCAGATCGAGGAGGGATAGGCAGTACAGCTAGGATGTATCCGATGTTCCGACGGGCAGTGTGAAGCGCGGGAAATACCTGGCGATGTATTGAAGTACTTGAATGTATTTATTGGATGCGTAGCGGTGCCATGCAGGCCGAGCTATGGCAGGGAAGGGAAAGGCAGGGCAGGGCAGGGCAGAGCAGAGCAGAGCAGAGCCAAAGGAGCGAGCTCCCTCTCCCTTGTCCATGGAGAGCGAGGGCGGGCTGGGTTAGACTGGTGATGCATTACGGTTTCGTCAGACCGGGCGGGGTAACCGCCCATCAATGGCGCCGGCAGAGGATCGCGTGACACGGGAAAGCTCATGAGATGGGATGCGTTGCGCTGCGTTGCGAGGGTGCAAGCAAGCAAGCAAGCAAGCAAGCAAGTACCGGTAGCGACGGGTGGTCCGGGCTGGCAGGGAAGGGACGACCATCCATCCATCCATCCATCCACCTCCGCCACCTCTTGGTGCTCAGAAGAGAAGAGAAGCGAAGCAAGCGAGACTGACTGACTGACTGACTGATTGACCGACCTGCTCTGGTGTCAGGCATGCGACACCATGTGAGAGATACCTAGTGAGTGAAGGTGAGAATGGGATGAGAGTCAAGGATGGGAGCAGCTCATGGTGGTCTGTCACTGGTCTGTCACTGGTCTGCCATTCGAGTTGGCTGATTGTCCGAAACGGGCATGGACCAAGGTACATACGGGGGGGTATCTCTCTCTACCTTGCCTATGTACGTACCCAAGGTGGGCAGGTAGGTAGGTAGGTAGACAGGTAGGGTAGGTACCTACCTAATCGTACCTACCTAGGTGGGCAAGGTAGGTACCTACCTACCTAACCTTCCTTCCATAAAAGTCTGGGGTAAAAATCCGGGGAAGGGGCCAACCAGAAAAGGCAAAGAGAGAGAGAGAGGGAGAAAGAGAGGAGCCGGAGACGGACTCTGCTGCACCTGCAGTCGATGTACGTAGTAGTAGGTAAGCTAGTCTTTGTAGTCTGGCGCTTTAAACACGGTCGGGTCCACTCCTCCCGTCTTGTCTCGTCTCGTCTCGTCATGCTATGGGGAGAGAGAGAGAAGGATGAGGGGAGAGGTGCCAAGGCAATCGCCCTTCTTCAAGATACATCGACGAGCACGCGCTGTGGATGGAAAGCAATAAGCCCCCATTTCCCATCCCTCGGCAGAGTCCCACGAGATCCTCCAAGCATCAGAACCAGGAACAGCAACAGGAACAGCAACAGGATCAGAAAGACCAGACCCGGGCGCAACTGAACAGCGTGATGCCGTTCCCACAGCGGGGTCGCGCCGGCATCCAGTGGGACCACAAACAGCCCATCCCTCGCCTGATTCAAACAAAACCCGCCACCACTTGGACCGACCTTGCCGTCGGCATACTGTACGTACGATGTAGTATACTATGTATGATGTATACACACATACCTACGTCTGGATGGCTGAGACACAGCATTCTGTTGTTGCCCGCCCTCTTGTCTTCTGCTCATACTGTGTGTAATTAATGACAAACCCCCCACCCGTCGACTGGACTGACTGGTGAGAAGGCCGACACTCACGGCGCATGCGATGACAAGGACGGGCTCACAATGGAGTGACATGATTTGCCAGGCCACCTGGATAGACTTTCGATCGACGCCCTCCAGAGGGCCCTTCATTGGACTGCGCCGACCCCAGTGCCGCCTGAGTTTGTCCCTCCAAGTCACCATCTCCCTGCCCCTCTTCTTCTCCCCTACCACGTTCAGTAATACACTACATCGTACCAACGCGTTACTTCACACCACCTTTCCGTCTTGCTTTCCCCCCTCCCTTGTCCTCCTCCTCCTCCTCCTCTCCAGTATTAGGTGGTAGTTCCATCATCGGACCCTGATATAAGCCCATCTGGATCCCAACAGCTCCACCGTCCCAGCGTAGTTCCGCTTTCAATTGCTGCAGTCTAATTACTTCACGCCATGCCTCCATCCTCCCAGTCTCGCCCTGTTTTGTTCATCTTCTCCTTCAACTTCAATCATCGTCTCCAGCCCGGACTATCATGCCAGTCCCACATTCCCACGCCTTCTTAGTGTCTCGTCCACGTCTCGCCCGTACGTATCACATCAAATCGCATCGTATCTAGGTGTCATATCCTATCGTCGGCACATGCGGCCTCTGCTACGTCCACGTCCGCCACGTTGCTCCCGGCACTCCTCGCCTACGCTATCGCTTCCTTCCGCCCGTTACGTGAAGGCCTCACGCCAGTTCGGTGATGCCCGTCCGTCCGTCATGGCTCCAATGCCTCGAACCCATTCGCTCCTCCTCAGTTGCCCAGGTGCACCCAGTTCCACCACGCATCCACGTGAAATGCCTCAATGACTCTACCGTATTCCACTGCGAAGCTCGCTAATGTTCGTGACGAATGACAACGGTGAGTGCTGGGTGGTCTCCCCTCTCTGCCGCTAATGGTTCAGTTGGACCATCACTGTCCCGGCCAGCCAAAGCACGAATGCATTGTCTCCCAAACTGCCTGCCCTACGGCACCGACCAACTACTACGGATGATTCGACCTGCTTGCTGCGCTTCGTTACCCCCCCCCGTCGTCGACTCCGACGCTCCCGAACCCTTCGAGCCACCTTGGTAGCCACCCGAAAACTGCCCTGATGGCGTTTCCCCGCATCAACAAGGTTCAGACAGCGTTGTAATGGGCTCTACAAACAGCCTAAAACCATCTGTACTCTAGGTGGACAAGCTCAAATCCATCCATACCTCGAGTCTGGTCTGGCTAACACATCAAGTGGCAGAGCGAAGCAAGAACCCGGTGTTGGCCTCGCTGGGCCTCGAAATACACATAGTGATACGGCGGCCCAATTCCTTTTCCCAAGGATAACCGCACATCGCAACCAGCCGCCAAGTTACGGCTATGACGAAGCGCGTGGAGAGGAGGGAGGGATTCGGTTTTGGAGAGAGAGAGAGAGGCAGGAAGTTGGGGGAGGTGGCAGGACAGACGGGAGCTTGGACTCTCGCCACCAGGCTTCACGTAGGCGGGCAGACCATCACTGAGCGGGGTCGCTCCTCACTACTGCACCTGCTCTGACTGCGCTAGAGAGCTTGGAAGGTGCAGGAGCTTAGAGAGCTTTCCCTGTTCCCTGAGCTGAGTTTTCAGCACGCCGCCAGACACGATATGGTCTGTGCGCATGCTTCTGTCGATAAGCGCCATTATCTTATCTTATCTCAATCCACAACCCCCCCGTATTCCGTCATGCCGATCCGTCCAAGGAAGCGCGCACACACACAGGTCCAGGTACCTTGGGTACTTCCTTCGCTGTATGTTGTATGTGTGCTCGTGCCGTCACGGACGAGCAATGAACAAAGTCCAACTCCGACCCGTGAACGACGTCTGCTTCGTCCAATCACCCTCTCTCTCCCTTGGCTGCCACCACGAGTCGTAACTGCCCAATTGCTCAACATCTGTTTCCCGGCCCAGAAATAGAGGTCCCTAGCTATGGCTGTCTTGACCACCACCTTGAAGGTACTTACACGCGATCTTTGGTGGGGGCTTTTTCTGCTCCCGCAAGCCGGCTTGAGCTGAAAACGGCAAGGCAGCTCCCACGAGTGGTCGCAGCACTTCTCGTGCTGGGAAGTGGAAACGTCGACGAGAATCTTCGCGGGTACTACAAGAAGTAGTGAGTTTCACTTTGTTGACAATCGAGGCTGCCCTCATTAATGACCACCTCAGCAACGCATCGTCAGCGGATATCGCCCCTCTCGGGAAAATCTCAAGAACAGACGCTAGGAATTTCCAAGCCTGGGCGCGAGATCGGTGGGAACATCCCACCATGGCCAAGTTCTTGGAGGCAATGCCGTCAGCAGAGCTACTTCCCCTATCCGCCGGGGTCTAGGGTTACGAGGCAGATACCGAGATAGGCCTGACGTACAGACAAGTGTTCACGACAACCCCGGTTGGAGGGGCATTATTGAAATTGAATGGCAGGAAGATAGGTACCGCGTGCGGAATCAGAAGTAGGTCAAGGTTTCCATATGCTCTGATGCTGACAACAAGTTTATACTGAATGTTATATAGGCTTAGGCAGAAGCGATTTACTCCTACGCTTTATTCACAACGGGCGTCCTTCATCCAATGACGCCTGCGAGTATGCTCTGATTTCAAACAACCCTGTAACGTCGAGACATTATTGCCTTCAATCTTGTCATTCGACCATCCACAAAGCTCCTTGTCAGTGAATCCGGCCTTGACTCCGATTCGTTCTGTGAGTTGGCGCCGCTGCTACCCAGTCCGTCGAGATCGGTAAGCCCCAAGGGGGTAGACTCATCGACAAGGACGGCAAATCGATGGTTGTACTGTTTCTGCACCTCATCGAAAGCGTCGTGGTGGAAGACCAGCGACGCCTCCCCGTTCCACGCGCAGGCCTGCGCCATCCTGCCCACGACGTGCTCGATGCGGAACCGCGCCAGCACCTCTCGCTTGCGGGCCCCAACGACGAGGTGGGCCGACCACCCGCCGGCGCCGGCGCCGCGCAGGGCGTACTGCTGCGCGTGGGCCCAGCCGTGCCACGAAAGGTCGTCGGGGCACGGGTACGGGATGGCGCAGCCCCTCCGAGGGACGGCATTGTCCGCGGACACGCGCAGGCCCTCGCGCAGGAGGCGGTCGAGATCCCGGGCCTGGACGAAGAGGACGGCCTCCCACGCCATCCGGGTGCGGTCGTGTCCGATGCGCGGGTCGACCACCGAGTAGTGTGTCAGTTCCACGTTGTGGTAGAAGTCGATGAGGGCCTCCTGCTGCGTAGCAGGGTCCTCGCGGGAGACTGCCGCCCTCAATCGCTTGCTTACGATGAATCCCATAGTTGGTGGATTTGCCGTGTTGGGGGCTCGGCCGACCTTGTGTTGTTGATGTGTTTGGGTTTGATATTCTTCTTCTTTCTCCTTCTTGAGATCGGCTTTGTTCCGTATGGTATGTAGCCGTCTGGGAGTTGAGCTCGGGGAGGGATTGCTATATGTGAGAGACCAGTGATGAGGGAAAAGCGAGGGGAGTGCGGCAGCAAGTAAAGAGTCTATCGCAGCTATCTCCGGTACAGCGTCGCTGGCAGTCGATTTGGGTTTGGGCTTGCCACGGATGGACCGCAGTCTACAGATCGCGGCACAACCACGGAGTATGCCGGTTGGGGTAGCCCCGTGAGAATCATTAAGGTGCGTTTCCATGATGGTGGTGGCACTGCGCGGCGTTCACACAACAGTTGTAGATCCCCATGTCTAACGACTGCTGCTTATTCGGCGGTGGTACCCAGATAGACGCATCGTCTCGATGCATGCATGGGTGGCCAGGCTGTGTTTTTGCTCTCATGTAAAAGTAATGTTTCATCTATTGGGAATCACTTTGCTTCGTTCGTGCCTTCCGACCACTGAACAGGAATCTACTGAATTTGAAGAAGCCAACCGTCGCCCTCTCTGCCCAACGCGCTGACGCCGCCCCAGAAGATGACACTCTTCGCATCGGCGGCGTCTGCGCCGAAGAAGCCTCGCGGACCAGGGTGAGCCTTGCCTTCCGCCCTCACCTCCTCCGTCGGGAGGAGCTCTACCTCGGCCCAGGTGAACTCGCCGGAATCGATGCGCGGAAGCTTGTCGCGGATGGCGTCCTTGATGGCGGCCGCGCTGAAGCCGCGGGTCGGCAGCTGCAGGGCCCAGATGTCGGTGTAGAAGTCCTTCTCGGCGGAGGTGCTGTTCTCGCCGAACATGTAGACAAGGTAGTGCCTGCCGACTCCGGTGTTGACGGGAACCAGGGCGCCGCCTTCGCGGGGGCGGGGGCCGGGGGTCAGGGGGTTCGTGGGGAAGCTGACCGTCTTCCACTCGAGGGCGTTGGGCTTCTCGCGGTCCTCGGCGTTGGACTTGAGGTCGAGGTAGTGGATGGCGCCGCTCATGCCCGAGTCGGCGCCGACGGTGTAGAGCACGTTGTCGACGAAGGCGGCGGCGAGGGGCGGCTGAGGCGACGGCGGCAGCTCCGTCCACGCGAGGGTGTCGAAGTTGTACATCCAGGTCTCGGTAGTCGCCTCCTGCCCCTTGGATGTGCGGCCGCCGTGCAGGACGAGGAAGTCCTGGGCGTCGTCGACGAAGATGTGGTGGTCGAACCTCGGCGTGAGGCTCTTGCCGATCTGGCTCACCCCCTCAATCTTGGTCCACTTCAGGCTCTCGGAGTCCCACAGCCACAGGCACGTCTCTGGGATCGGCTTGCCGCTGGCGTCGGCGCCGCCCTGGACGATGACGAACTGGCCGCGTGCTGCGGCAGCGTGTCTGGAGCGCGGGGAGGGCACGTACGTCTCGCCGGTTCCGGCGTCCTGCATCGCTAATGCGGGATAACAGGCATAGGCTGCGACGGGCTCTCCCTTGGTCACGGAGGGCAAGGAGAGGACGTGGAAGTCGGTGGAGCTGAGCTGGCCGTCGGCGGCCTCGCCTCCAAAGATGCAGGCTTTGTGGTTCACGACGGTGACCGAGTGGTGCGAGCGTGCGAGGGCACTACAAGAGCGTGTCAGAACACGTCCCTCAAGGGGAAAAACGGAAAAGAAGGAGCCAAAGGCTTACGAGACATCGAACGCGGGGGACTGGGTGGTGGCGACCTGGGACAGGGTAACCTTCAGAGGCTGGGTCGGGCGTGCCACGACGGCGACGGCTCCGACCTCAACGCTGGTCGAAACGATCTGCTCGGCCACGAGAGCACCTGCAGCGACTTCAGCCATTGTAGTTGTTGCTTGGTGTCCTGAAAGATGGAAAGGAGTGCGTGTGCGTGAGTGTGAGTGTGTGTGTGATTGTTGTAAGCTGCTGGCTGCAAAAGCTGGGTTGGAAGGTCGTTGGTAGAAAGGGCGTCCGAGATATGTGATTCGGAGTGAGAGTGTGATGGATGGGCGATTGGATGTTGGGAAGCTGAAGTCGTTTTGCCCAACAGAATTTTGATCATTGGTTTAGGCTAGAAGTGCGAGGGATGGATGTTGCATCTGACGATCAGGAACAAACTGGAGGGGGGAAGACGTTGTTGAATGACGTAGTGCCTCCCGCAAACGATACATGACGTCACGTTCGATTGTCTCTTTCCGCCGTCAAAACAGATGTAAGAAAAAATAATAACGGATTTTCCTGTGGGAAAAAAATACAGAGCGACGCAGGAACAGGAACACCGCAAGGGATGTATTCCGGGGACACGGACAACGGATGAAGACGAGGCCGCTGCTCCCGGGCCGAAGAGCGTAGTTCCGCGCTCGCCGGCTAGTCAGCCACCATATCCTCGTTATCCCATTCCGGTGTAAGGCAAACAATCCTTGAGGGCATTTCGGCCGGCTCTCGGAAGGTTGCATTAGTTGGGATTCAGAGCCGTATGTTGCAGATACTCCCGACTACGGCAAGCAAGGCGGCAAGCATCTGCCCTTTGATCCTTGACACACGCGTGCTCAGAGGCCATCGGCGCCGGCAACCAGAGCCTCACGTATCCGACTCTGCAGAACTTCCGTGTCTCCGCCGGCATTACTGACGGACATCAGCACGGCAACAGCACGCTCGGGTGGCATCCGACGGTGGGGGGTGTCCAGAGCGCGGCATGTATGAGAGACATGTCGAGTTTGGGCGGCCAAGCTTGGAACACTCTTTTCCAGATTGAGCATCTGCAGAACCAGTGTCGACTTTTTGAATGAAGCCTTCGTCAGGGTTCCTCGGGTTTTTCTTTGGTCCCGTTTTCTGGGTGCTGGAGTGACAAGAGGCGAGGGCAGATGCGACGCCCTTTGTCGACAAGGTCATGATTGGCTGCTGTGAGGTATCTTTGGCTGTGTGAAGTACAGATATCATATCGCCAATACATTGAAAAAAACCAATCCCCAACTCCACAAGTCATACATCCCATCCTGGGTCATTCATAATACAAGGAAAGGCTCCATGTCTTATCCATACATCATCCGACGCTCAAAGGGCGCTGAGCACTGTCACCAATCCGCCCTGGTCGAGAGATTCTCGCAAATCCGCTGCAAATAGGTTAGCCTTCTGTGTACACCAAGGGTCCTGCATTTTCATGTTCCTCGCGAGCTCACCTTTCTACGATTCCTAAAGTCCGTGTAAAAGCCGAGCCACAGATCTCTTGTGGTGCAGTCTTCGGCCCCGTCCTTCGCCACGCATTTGGGCTGGTGCCCCTGCACGAGCTCCGGCGGGGAATCCAGCCAGGGCTTGTGCACCGGCCAGTCGGAGAAGTGGAGGAATTTCGCCTCGTTGTAGACGGCGACCGCGTCGAAAACCTCCTTGTCGTTCCCGAGGTACTCGGCCATGTGGTCGCCTCCGAAGGTGCGCGTCAGGAGGTCGTAAGGGCGGTGCGGGATGATCATGGCGCTGTCCCTGTACAGGGTGTTTACGATCTCCATGTCGTAATCGTCCTTGCCGGCGCTGTCTATCTTTGCCCTGATGCGCGCGAACTCGGCGGCGCTCGGCGTCACGAGCATGACCTGAGAAGAAAGGATGTCCTTTTCCGGATACAACCAGTAGGCCAGGGGCATGGCCACGGAGGCGGGCGGCAGGAGGAAGAGCTCGTCCACGTTTTGGAGGAGAGTCGAGTCGGAATCAAGTGACAGGACGCGTTCGTACTGCGTCTGGTTGAAGGCCAGCAGTTTGGTGAAGGAATCAGCCCACGTCGCTAAAAGAGGTATGCGTCAGCTCCATGGGGTTCGAATGTGGGTGCGCAGGCGGCCAGCGGCATCATGGGGGTCAACTTACGATCTGCGCTTTCCCTATGTTGGACCACGATAGGTACCAATTTGACCCCATAAACATCCCTCGCGCGGATGAGAAGTTTCGCATCCTTTGTGCCGCCCCCCGTCGCTTGGGGGTCGAGCATGGAGGACGGATACATCATGACACGGTCCGCCTTGCTTCCCACGTGGTCCAACCTTTCGAAGAACATGACCGAATTGCAGAGATAATGCGAGTCAGTGACGTATTGCACATACGCAAACCGAGACCAGTCAACATGGTCTTGCCCGGACGCAGCGCCGACTCCGAATGAGGCAGACGACCGTATTGCCGAGACGCGGACCGAGTTTTGGAACACCAAGATCACGAAGAGGATCCCAACAACGGCGGCCACGACTGCGCGAAAGCGCTTCGAGCGCAGGACCTCGGATAGGCTCGGTCGGGTCTTTTTCGACGAAGGCAAGGCGGGGCTGGACGCATCGTCAGCGGGAACGCGGGAGTAGCTCCATTGAGACCTCAGAGCTTGAAGGGCCATCAGGGTCGATTGGAAAGGAGAACGATGACCAGGCGAGAGCAAAAAGCCATCGAAGTGAGTTTCGCGGACGCCTGCGCGGGCCGTCTGCGCCCCAATATATAAGAAATGGCTATGTGGGGGTATGTCTTATTGAGGCGGATGCTGACCAGCCAATGATATACTCGCGAGCAAGGAAAGCAGCCGCTCTCGGCCCCTGCATCTATTGATAGGAGGAGCATTGAGGAAAAGAAATCCTCTGACAATCCCGGCGAATGATACGTGAGAAGCGGCCGCTACGAAAGCATAAAAAGTGGAAGTCTGGAGTTAAAGTGAAAACCCCTCATCGCACTGCTGGCAAGCATTAAACAGTTGCACAACCTCGGCATAATGCATCAGGCCAGTTTCTCCCGGCTCTGTTTGCCAGCTCCCTGTTGACATACATTGTATGATACACATTGTGCCAGGATCAGGGTGAGGAACTGCCGAGACTGCAAAGCTACGTTGGTTGCGGTTAAGTAGCATCGCAGGGGAAGGTTGACCAATGGCAACCGGTACCAACTGGACGGTCTAGCGCGCCGAAAGCTCATTTGCGACTTGTTGCAACCCTTCCAGAGACTGGGGTGTTCCATGGGTAAGTCGAGCTTGCCGCTCGCACATTCCAGTCTCTGATCATCACCACAGGCTACTGCAAGCTCAACAACACGAACGGTTGCTATGCCTCCAAAGCCGGCACGCACAATCAAGCACAGTCTCTCCAAGACGGTACCGGCTCTGCGTCAGGCATCCGATATCGGCCGCCCCTTTAAGAGTGGATGGCTGGGATGGACGTCCGCGGGACATTGCCTCTGTCCTGGGTAGACTTAACGACACTCACCTCCGCCTCTCCAGATTGACCGACGCATAGAGTCGAGAATGTCGGTTTGTCGCCCGTTGAGAGCCAGATGATCGCATACCCTAACGGGGTCTGGTATCCCGCCTTTGCTGGATGCCCGGGCGTCGGCGCCGTTGATACTGTCAACCAATCTTTTACGACTCCGTAAGACTTGACCAACGCCAGTCTTGCTCCAGGAATGCCATGGGCTCAAGGAAAGACGAGACCCAACTCGTTCGGTGTGAATATTGACTCGGTGGTTTCACGGATGTCTGGTTCGCTCCGATTTGGTGGATACGACCAGAACCGATTCATCGGCGACGTCCTGGTGGCAGACCAAGATTTCGTCAGGATTTCCGAACCCCTTGTCGAATCGCCGACGCCATATTTTCCATGCTTCACTGGGGGGGATCGGCACGTGCAACCTGGAAAGGGCTTTTCTACAGGACGCGTTCCTCGGCGCCATTTGGGACAATCCAAATAGTGGCTTACCCAGGCACTCGGCCCGAATATCCAGCTTTCACCCAGTGTTTTGGAGATTGCTGAAAGGCATTCAGCTATAAAAGCTCACAACGATGCACCAGTCTACACTAGGGAGCTATACGGTGACGGAGAGTGGTGGGGTTACAAAAGATCATCTAATCGAATGGTGGAGCTACCATAGACGGCGGCAAGATAAATACCTTTGGACGGTATCATCAATGAGTTTATGTTCAGCGAGTTGTTTTCCAAAGGTTGCAAGTAAGGCATTTATGGATATTCTTACACTCCCGGGCTCGTAGGTGCTCGTTTTCTGCTCCATAACACCTGAGTTAAAAGGAGAAGATATTCCACAGAAACCGCCAGATGATGACATACTATTTATTAGTCTTTCTAGCTTTGAGAGGCCTATTTTCTCACATGGGCGGCTTTTTTTGAAGGCTCGGCAGCACTGAAGATGTACAGAAATAGTTAAGTCCGAACCTGATGTATGACCCCTTACCAGGCAAACAGATCCAAAAAGAAAAAAAGAAAAAAGAAAAAGAAGAGAGAGAAAATGAGGGGAGATAGAGAGAGAGATCAGATATACTTGTTAGAGCAAGTTACGTTATCTAGACGACGCACTAAGACAGTCAGAGGTTGCAGACGTGGCCGCATCAAGCTAGAATGCAATCACGACACTCAGAGCTTGGCAAGGCGGCAACGTAGCTACCGATTCCCTGTATGAGACCAGTTGGCGGCTAATAGACGCCGTATTAGGCGTCTTCAATGTGTCTGGTCATTTCTCACAAGTATTAGTCGCAAACTTGATAAGACGGACGCGTAGGAACACGGGTACCTAGCCATCTTTGAGCGGCAAGTTAGAAACGGCCATTAGCCTAAAACCCACGATTGAGAAACACGCAAGTCAAGTTTGTCACAGATCGGGCGCTTTCCCAAGATGGGAGGCCGTTTTGTACGATTCCTAGTTTGATTCGACAAATTACATGTTTGCTGATTTCGCTCCCAATCTCACATTGCATATATCCAGCTGCGTCATCACGGTGACTATTGTCACAAAAACACCCGGTAATCATTCGAGTATTCCAGACAAACCCCCTCAGACATGACCCTTTCCAGCTCTGGGCAGTCAAGAAGGTCTTTCTTAGGGACGAGAAAATTTTCCATAACCATACCGCTGGAGATCACCATCACTAGCACCTTTTGCTTCGTATTCAACATGGCCAACTCTCGCACATGGACAGTCAACAATTCTTGGTACAAGTTGCCATTCGGGATATTTCTGCCGATACTACCCACACTAAGGAATTCAGCTTCTGGAAACTCTTCTGCAGCCTATCGGCACACCCCATCTCGAAACGGACGGTCACCTAATTCATCATTCAGCTTGCCGCACATATCCCTTTCCTATTTCAAATTACAGCAATCATCATTCTCACTTAGAACAACACCTTTGTAGAGGCGTTTGACAGCGGCGTGACGGCACCAAGCTTGAAAATTTCTGTCGAGGCTAGGCTCTAAAACGCGGCAAATCACTCGGTCACGTCTTATCATATCAACTATCGCTTCATCCCAGTTCGCGACTTTTCTCTCTGCACCATGAAAAGGTCCCATAGCCCCCAAGGGGCAATTTTGCCGTCATGCGAAGCCACATTGAGATCCTGTCTTAACCAAACACAAAGTTCGTCAAAGAGCACTCGAGTGAGTCCTCGCGGCTGGACCATCGGCTAAATCCAAAGACGGGACTTTCTCATCCTCTGTCGGCACGAGCCTGTACATGTATTTAGCCAAGTCGATTTAAGTCAACTTATTTCCAACTCTGGTGACCCGGTAAAAGTGATGGTGAGGGCCAAGAAGGTTCTGGCTTTGCCTAAGACGACAACAAAAAAACATACAACACCAGATATTCGCTGGTCGTCACCGAGCCAACTACTAATCCGGCCCTGATGAAGTCTTAGCTGTGAGAGCGTTAGCCTCCTTTTCTTGAAGCGGAACACTTATATTATCAGAAAGCAAAGCTCCCATCTCAGTCCCACTTCACAGCATAAAGTAAGTCCTTGCCAAAACGTGACCCCTCCGTTTCCAACTCTACCAAGCATAGTAAATAACGCGCTTAGATACGTGCACTTGTCCTGCTTCTAAAAAGTGAGAGGTCGAATTTTGATTCCACGTCTTGCCCGCCACCGCACTGCAGCGTTAGGGACCAATAAGAGCTCCTGGGGGGAGCAAGAGATGTCCCACAGCACTGTCGCTGGTGCAGTGGATTAGGTTAGTACGTCCTTTGATATATTTAATATTAATACGGACTTCATAAAGGCCGGCAAAACTACAGAGGCTACGCAGCCAGGCGACGCCTCGCAAGGACAGATAACGTTTGTGGAGTTTGGTGCACTAAGCAATCGTTCAGTCAATAGTGCCCACTTTGCTAAGCCCTCCTAAAGGTCGTGGACACAGGGTCTAGTGGGAATCCCGAAAGCGTCAAGGTATTAACTCCTTGACGATTCCAAGCTACTAAATCGTGGGTGTCATAAGCTTAGATATAGCGATAATAAGACTAGAAAAAAGGTCATTTCATATCTCAGAACACAGAAACACTAATAAACTAGGATAATTATTTATATACTGCGTGTTACTTAGGAAACCCTGTTCCTAGGCTGCTCTTAGAGTTATATAGACTAGCTGGTACATAATCCCAAACGTATTGCTACTCTTAGTCTTAGAGGCAGCAGGCCTAGTAATTGGAGGTAAGTTGTTAAGGCCTGATGAACCTTAAGAGTAGGTATTTTCTATACGATCCTAGCAGCTTTCTTTTTCCGAAATTTGCCTTCGTTGGAAGGGCCGTGAGGATGAATCGTCACGAGAAGAAGTTGAGTAACGTCAACTTTTGGCGTAACCAAGCGTCATATGGCCATCGGCATGACTATTTACTGCAATACTTAACTTTACTGAACATACTTCCCACATTTTCCGTGTAGGGAGCAATAGCTGATGAAACCCTTGGATTTGACATCATCCTCCTGGGTACCATCCAGAGTGACAATGCAATACAAGCATTCAGCTTGGTCGTAGCACTTCAACGAGTTAGCTTGACTGTTCTAGTATGGAAGATCAGGTAGGTAATTACGTCGAGGGTGCCAGTTCGAGTCACAAGTTGTCCGCGTCCAGCACAGCCTTTGGTTACCCCGGCATCGTCAGGCATCACATTCCCATTCGCGTCGAGAGTTTTGCAGGAACAGTCCGTCTGCCCGGTCGCAGCTGTGACAGTAGTGGCCGCAAATCTGGTAGCGTCAGAATCATTTCCAGCCAGGGACCCATTTCGATATACTTACAAGACGGCTGCGACGTGGGTGAAAGAAACCATGTTTGAACGAACGAAGGAAAGCAATTGCCTTGTATGATGTAGGTAGGCTTTGCAGGCAATTTTGTCAATGATGCAAAAATGAGATGTCAGACGCAAAATCCGTTGCAGCTTGCTCACTTTAGATACTGGGATCCAGCACTACTTCTTATACAGGAAACATCAGCGACACGGTGTTTAATCCACGAGGATTTACCAACGGAAATTAAGACAAAAGCGGAATTGATTGATATCCTGATTTTTCAACCGTCTTCTTGTGGAGTTGTTTATTTTATTAATCTCATTAGCTTCATTACAACTACACCACATCAGACGATGTAGGTTTCGGCTACTCCGAGCTTTCTCCTGCGTTCCTAGTCGCGGGCTGGGTTTGACTCAGTCAACATGAACTATGCCCGAGCAAAGCAAATCAGTTAGTTAAACTTCCGGCTTGCCGTATGAAGGGGCACGGGTAGAATACCAGTGCGATTTGGTCGGCGGCCAATAAGTTAAGCCTATCTTAGAAGGCACTGCCACCACCACCACTGCCACTGCCACTGCCACCACTGCCCACGTCCATAACCGGTGCAAAAAACGCCCTTTTTGCCGCAAATCCACCATCGCCAACAGACGCCCACGATGCCCGAGATTAAGCCCTCATATCTAACCTTCGAAGAGCAACAACAATATATACAAATTTACTATCGCGATAAGGGTATTAGCCTTTAATTAAATAGATTACATAATATAATAAATTTTTAAATTAATTATAGCTGTTGCCTCTATTTTACCTTGACTATAAATTGCTTAAATCTAAAGAGTTTTTAACTTTATATAACTTTCTAAATCTTGGCCTTCTTATTGGTTAGTTAGGTCGGAACATTGTTTTTGCTGACGCTGACATAATGTATTCCGAAATAGGCTTAACTCACAGGCCGCCGACCAAATTACACCAGTATTCTACCCGTGCCCCGTATAATCATAGGATCCCACTCTTCTAGTTTAGATGAGCCGCCCCTCACTAGAATCATCTACGTAATAGGTATATGGAGCAGAGGCAGCGTTATTCGTAATACCTGGTTGTACCGAATATGAAAGACTAAATACAAATGCAAGCCCCTCCACGAGATCCTCCTGATAAGTCAGACAATTGCGGCTCGGGCGGTTGCTCAGTTGCTGGAGAATGCGGTCCCAGATCCCTCAAGATCGAATCGAGGACTCTTCCAAACCCAAGACGGTTTAAATGGCTTGGAATCTGTTGGTAACACCAAGGGATAGGTTGATACGGTTAACCGTACGTATCGGTGGCAATTGACGAATAATGGGGGTAACTGTGGTTCTCTATTATGCGTGAAGAAAAGAAGGATAATTATCGTGGGTTGGTTGGTTGAATAACCAACTTATTGCCCACGAATCCTCGGAGAATCTATGGCCGAATATCCGAGGATTCGCCGGCGATGAGTCATCGGGGTTAACCCGATAACTCCGATATTTATCCGCGATGGTCAACATCGCAACAGAATCACTTGAGAATGACCGAGAATGAGGAATGGGGGGGGACTTCCCTCGCCGGTGAAAAACGGACGTGAGATGAACTGGAAACCCTCCCGGCCTCTATACACTGGCGGGAGGCTGTTGTCTCGTGATAATAGGAAACCCTTTCAGTTTCGAGTGGAAGATCGACTCAAAGAGTCTATCTAATTCTTTAAAAAAAGTATTGTCCCAATCACAGTACTGTAAGAGCAACTTATCCTCGGACTGCATGGCGACAAGCTGCCTACAGCAAGACAGATCGCTTCTTATTTTCTCGCATGGATGACTCCCAATCCTTGGAAGTTCAAATGTTTTTCAGGATTAAAATATGGACCACGCATCGTCACCTGCATCTGCATTTGCATGCTTCATGACTCGCTTTTGGAGTATGGTTCTTGTACCATCAGTTTTTTTTTTTTTCTTTTTTTTCTTTCTTAAATTCAAGTCATTGCAATGGCGTTGAGAGGTGTCAGGGACCCAGCGGTGAATCCCCCAGTGGATCCCCCAGTAGATCCCCCTAGTCATCCGGATGAGGGGTAAAACCCCCTTATCCTGGCCCACGATAATTACAGTTGGCCAGATTCGAATGTTGTTACACCCAGATACCCAATAATGATCCAGCTAAGTGTCCCTTATTGTCGACTTCTTCACTTAGATGCCAGCGCCTCGAACAAGAGGGTTGCACTTTCCTGTTGATGGGGATGAGACGTTAGTAATGTCAGAAACATCTCCTGCTTGTGACCTGTCGTTCTTGTCTCGGTGCTCATTCATGATGTCTTTATCCCCACACGGGGATATCGGCCTTTGCCCGTCGACAAGCTCACACAGCGCCCCGTATCGCTGTAATATCCACCTTGGCGCGGGTTAGGTTGTCTCGTTTTCGGGTGGTAGTCGTTGACTTGTCGTAATTGCCTTGAAAGCAGACATCTTTCGACGGGTTGGTTGTCTTGGTGAGAATGCCAGGTCACCTCGGCCGATTCCAACGTACCATGCACATCGGGACATGGCGATCGAATCCCCTCGGAAGTTCGCCGCTGGTTGGAGTTGGCCCTCTGCAGGGCTGATTGCCGCACAACCTCTGCGTTACTGGGGAGTGGGAGTGTCAATTACGATTATAGATCTCAGTGGCGTTGGAAGCGCGGGAGACGGGGGAATATTCCGGGGTCGTATCCGGGGTCGTATCCGGGGTCCGGGACGGAGGCATCACCGCGCGGGGCCCGAATCGAGTACAGAATAGGGAGGCGGGGGGTGTGTGGGGCTGGGGTTTGATGGAGGGTGGTTGGAGTGCTCTTGACCCCAAACCTTGTCGTGTTCTGGGCCCTGGCAAGTAGCCTTTTTGATGATATGCATGTGGCTTGTACGGGTTTGAAGTGGTCGTTTACTGGAGATGTTCTGGTACAACAATGTATTATTGATGGATCGATCCTCCCTGACGTCTCCCGGGAGGTGATCACTGTCCTGCATTATGCCCAATGTGAGTTTGTTTTCTTCAACCAGGCGTCCGCTTCCCGTTTCGTTCCCTTGCGCGAACAGTCGAGATCCCGAGGACAAGACTCTTTGTGGCATGTTCATTTCTTGTAAGGCAACAAATACCCTGGCGCATTGGAGAAAATACCTCCTATATCTCTCCATCCCGTCTCTTCTAAGAAGAGACACGAGCGTGGTAATAGTCCACTGGCCCTGGTGCTCTGGGTCTAGTTGGCCACTCAAAGCCATGGACTCCATGTAATACGCCTGAGGCTGGCTCTCGCACCATGCTCGAGCCAACCACATATACTCCAACGGATGTTTTTGCCTCGCAGGTGCCGTAGATTTCATGCTCCTCGGAACCCATCGTGGCGTACTTCCGTCTGGTTCAAGTTGGATAGCAGGTGAGCCGACACTGGTGGGATTGTCATGACTGTAGTGCGTCAGAAACATGGCGTAGGGCCCGTTCGACCCCGCCTGCCTTCCAGGCGTGAATGAAATAAACAGATCAGCTGTTCTTACCAACAAGCTAAGAAACAGAATATTGTAGAAAGAATAACGAAAAGCTGGCCGGAAACCCAGACCCGCCCAACTGGCACGGTTTCCGCACTCATCTCTCTCCATCCCTGCCGGAACAAAAAAAAAAAAAGGCAAAAACATACAACACCAGGTATTCGCTGGTCGTCACCGACCCAACTACTAATCCGGCCCTCACTGGCTTATCTATGGGAGAGCGGACGGGATCCCGAGTTCTCCAGTGGGTGTGGTCGTATGTGACAATTTCGCTCATAAGCGAATTCATATACAGAGTATACGTACGGATATTAGGAATGTACTGATCCGATGGGCGTCATCCGCAGCAACTCCAGGAAGGACTATACGGACAAATTGGAAGATTGAAAATACCAGACTTTTCTACAAGGTAAAGTCATGCGGTGTAGAATCTCCATGAGGACACTTCATCAGAGGCCTTCCGTCAGTCAAGATGTACCAATTCCAGGAGGCTGGCTCCATTAGCCGAGCTGAATATCACCACAACAGAAGTATGGACTTCCGTATTGACAAAGAATTCCCATATAAGACTCTCACCATGACTGGTTTCCTATCTGATACTGTCGGAAGTTAAAAATGGTCTGAGTACAATGGCTAGACTCCAAGTTCATTGGTAGCGGTTGGTGTTACCTCCAACCTTAAATCGCCTCGTCGATAAATCTCCATCCCTGTGGGAGATGGCTACCGAGCTCTCAATACCACTCAGTGTACCATAGACTTTGTGCCAACAGTGTTTCGAGTTCCGTCAGAATAAAGATAGAAGCATTCATGTTTCGCCGCCATGAGCATCGAATATATCGACATGCATCGCTCCCTGGCCCGAACAGCTGTGAGGCAATTCCGCCTCGCCTTGAACAGTCTGACGAGCTTTCACGGTTCATTACTTGGAGAAACCTTTCTGTCAAGCACAGCAGTTTAGAATAGTTCTTTCAACAAAATGGGCCACATTCGGAAATCTAGTGCTCCGCTTCTAAGTTTGCAAAACCCTCACTACCATGATCGACTCTATATTATTGGCAGGTTACGGAGCAGCACAATTGGTGGTTAGCGCTCTCGCGAAACCGGCCGAGGCTGAAGCCATGTTCGACGTATCCGCTCTATTGCTGTTGGTGCAGTCTTTAATGCAATGGCATTTGTAATATATTGCTTCAGGGTCCTGTAGGAAATATCATAGACAAAGGAGGCTACTATTCCAGTATCGAAAGAGGATTTTTGGGAGCATGGTAACAGACAAAAGAGTAAATAGGCAAATATCTTATGAAAACACCGCATTGAAATAAGACTATTTTCTTGGAACGTGGTCTGCAACGGCTGTCTCTTCCTCTTTGCGCTCTTCAGCCCTAGACTCAACCCTGCTTTGATAGCCTGATTCGCCCACCAAGTTGTAGCCCTCGAAACCGTTATGCTAAAATGGGTTCAGAGTTACAACCGGGCTCGGAAAATAGTCCAAGTCTTGTCCAAGAACAAGTTTTCCGACCGGAGCACTGTGGCAGCTATTGTAGACAGGCTAAGAGCCAGAAGCAACCGATCCTGTGTATGGCTCACCAGCCGTAATATTGCTGTGGATACTTGTTTCATTGGCAAGCTGTATGACAGAGGCAAATAGGGATTCATAAACGGTCCATTACTTCCCGTCGTGCACGGGTACTATGATGATAGTCGGTCTACGTTGTCTCGCCCGAACGTAGGATGGGTTGCTGGTAAGTTGGCATGGGGCTCCCAGACGATAGGCAAGGAAGTTGGACTGTTGCTAGCCGTGAACATGCCTCGATACACCTAGGTGGAGGTGTGAAGATAGGCCGCAACGGCATGGAATGTTGGCATTTGGTTACCTCAATCCACTACTTCGAAGTAACAGTCAACACAGTCCATGTTAATGCGTCGAATGTGTACTTGGACGGAGAGTTAAGTTAAGAAGAACACGACATGAAGAGTGTGAGCATAGCCAGTGGTAAGTACGTAACTAGTCGGCGTCGGTCACCATCAGGTAAGATCTCCATCAGCAAACGAAGATTGAGAAACGGTAAATCATTCGATTTGCCTATCAATGTTTTCATCCAAACATTGCATCACCGGGTGTGTATATTCAATGTGACTCGGTTTGCCTGCATCAGTGTGCCACATCCCGCGAACGAAGCAAGGGTATATAAACGGGTGAAATGGTGTGAGGCATATATGTATGCTGTTTCCTAGCGGAAAGAGAGAAGCATCTAGATGTAGTGAGACGTGCATGTATAGAAAAGACAATTGATGCCCAGCTAAAAGGAAGAACTGCCTTTTTGGGAATCAACTGCATGCTTGTAAACGAGCAGACGAGTAGGAAGTGCTCGATACGCGCCACCGTCTTGTGAACTACACTACTCCGCTGATTTTAGTAAATAGCTAATGCGATAATTGTATTGCTGAAGACCAAACTGCCTTCAAAATAGGATGTGAGAGGCACTTAAAAGGCCCATGACCTCATTCAAGATAAAATGGACTCACCATCTCATCGTCTATCAAGGCCCAGATCTATATCCAGAGAAGTTGGAGAGTCCGCTCAAGCAATCCATCCCACATTCAATCCAGAATCTTCACAACTATGGCTACCATGGTTCCCTTATACAACGCTTTGCCCACCCTGGGAAAGGCCGATTCGCTCTTTATCGATAGGCCGAGGGTGCTCAAGCAAATGCGTGACCCCCTTGCCCAATACAACCATGTCTTTGGCCTTTGTCTTATTCATGCGCATTGCAAACTGTAGGAAGACGACATCATGTACGCCCAAGGAGACACTGCGAGACCTGTGAAAGTTGCCTCTCTCAGTGAGTATCACGCCGAGCGCTGGCTGCCTTCCGGCCCACCATACGAGTACACCAGCCGATTAACCGTTGCTCCGCCCGCCGATCTCCTCGAATCATTCAGCGAACTTGTCTCTGGCATCGGTGTTCTTGGTCTGTACCACATTGACACTGAGAGCGGCGGCAAGATGATTGAACGTACCGAGGGACGGATGAATTCTCTTTCGCCCTACGATGGTTCTGATGGAGCAGAGTCGGGAGACCATTTGGAGACAGCTTGGAATCTTGGGAAGGGTGATCCTGTCACCATGGCCTGCGTCATTTAATATTACTGTGACACTCGACCAACCCGCTCTGGAGGGACTCACAAAAGTATAGTAGCAGTCTGAGCCGCCATGTACAACTAGTTACCTGCTAACTTGATAAAACTTTAGACACAAAAAGTCGCGTTAGGCAGACCTTAGCTTTTTGGTGATTCACGATCTCATCAAAAAACCACTACGGAGGAGCCTGTCAAAAGTGGTGATCCATAGTGCCAAGTCCAACACCCTGCGCGGGGATCCACTATAAATATATATATCTAACCAATCAGAACAATGGGAGTTTCTCTTTTTACCCGGCCCCTTGCAAGAGTAATTTTACCACAACTATCCATCAACAACAACTAACTATCAACAACAACTATCTATTGCAACTACTGCTGTTATGGCCCACGTCGACCCCTACTTACGGGCATCTGTTCTTGCCCTTCGAAGCCGTGCTGGAGGCAAATCTGCAAACGAGGTTGCAGAGGCTCTTAATATACCCAAAGTTACAGTTAATAAGATTCTCGCACGCGCAAAAAAGCACGGCTTCGACCCCTCTGCTCCTACCTTTTCTCTCCTTCCCGAATACGTTGAAGATGCCCCTCGAGCCGGCCGGCCCAAGAAGACTACACATTCTGTAGCAGACCCTGTTATCTAGAAGGTTTGCTGTGACTGTTACGGCAGGGAAAAGAAGTGTACTGACATTGCTAGTAAGCTACAAAGAGAGCTTAATATTATATTAAGGCTATTATTGCTCTTGACGGTGGCAACAAGTTCAAGGAGGGCTAGAAAGCTGGCGAATACTGATCAAAGGTTAAATAAAGTGAATAAAAGCCATTAAAAGCCTTAAATTTAGCCTTAATCTAGCTTCACTTGGGTGCTCTTGAGGGGGTGAAATGTTAGTCGTAATCACTTTTGGTGGGCAACTCTGTAATTATCTTTGTCATGGGGTGGGCCTTGGCACTATGGATCACTACTTTTCGCAGGCTCCTCCGTACAGACGTGGAGTTTTGCCAACTTCTGGTGAAGCAACCCATACTGACTGCCGCCGAACAGTTCTACAACCTGGGTCGTTGGACATGTTGTTATAGTACAGGGGCTCCAGCATGTGTTCATTTATTAATTGCTTTACGATGCGGCGTATATAATCCAACATCAGAACGTTACAGGTTTCGTATTTGTTTTTAAACTATTGCACAAACAATCACTTATTATTTCCAAGTCCACTGCTAGTAAAGCTTTTCGTCTTCGCGCATTTGCTTGCTCAGGAACGGTTCCCATGATTGATATCCTATTGCAAAAAAAGCAAAGGTAAGAATACATTGTATGTGGATACTTTGAGAACACAACGCGTCCTCTCTGCCTCTGGAAGATGTGACATAGTGCCCAGCTAGTTGCTGTCACCATTTATCTCTGAAACCATTTAGTGTAGTTCATCTAGACTGGGTTGTTTCTCCGGCGAAGGATTTGTGCAAGCTTCCACAATGCTATTCAAAGGTGAAGGAACAGGGATCTCAGCCCGGTCTGTGATCGGAGCATTCCCAAGTACCATGTGCCGAATAACGTCACCTAAATCATAGATATCAGACTTCTCAGTCCATTCAGGAACCACATTAGGGTCACGTGATACCTCAGGAGCCTAGCGGATTCCCCAGTAACTTTGCACGTCAATAATAACAATCTTGGAATAGTCGTGAGAAAACACAAGGTTGTCAATACGCAGGTCGCAATGCACAATGTCAAGTAGGTAAAGGGACTTGAGCCCAGATATCAGCTGCAGGATCCAGGCTAGGTAGGTAGATAGGGCGTGAACTTGTCCAAGAACAAGATACCGTGGTTTGAACTTCTCAAAGACAAGCTTTCCATCTGGCAACTTCCCGAGCAACTGGATGATGTGTTCAGATACAGGCCTCCCCGGACAAGATCCTCCCTAACACTTGAGTAGGTTTCGTACTTTCTCTCATATCTACTCTGCTTCGTGAAATGTTTGTCGTCATCGACTTGAACAACAGGAAGCAGCTTGAGAATTTGACTGACATCCTCCGAGTCATCTGGCTCCTCTGGAGGAGGTGTAGGAGCCTGCTTGAGAGGACGAATCTGGTCGCCGGAGATTTCATGATGACCATGTTGCTCAGGTAGCGTTTGGTTTAGACGCAAGATTTCTCCAGAGAGTGTGCCGGCAATGGCGGCCAGCCGGACATATTGATATGCGTCGGTACCCTTCTCATACCAGAAAATGAAATAGAGTATAGTACCCATGATCTCTTTGTGTAGGTCGATTAGTTTTTGCCCAGTTAATGAGAAAAGATTGGTTGAGTCTCTTTTCTTGGAATAATCCTCTCGTATGATGCGCACCTGTTCGGAAAAATAAATGTCCGGAGCATCTGCCATGATAGATCGAAGTTTCAACGTTTGTGGCGTGAAGAAGTAAGCAAGATATGGGATTGGGTAGGTCAACTTCTATGATAGAGAGGCTAAATGTTGCACCTTCGATCAACCGGGAGGGCACCACAAACATAAAGATCCTAAGGGTCACGTGCGGAGCGCAGATCTTGCAGCATTGTCGCCAAATACAGCTGGTAAACGACCTACATGCCACCGATTCTCTGAGACAATGCAGTTTCCTTTTGTGGCAGGTGCCCACAGCCTGCCAGCTTAGCCCAGTTCTCATCATCACACACTTCATCACCCAGTTTGTGCCACACCTTGCTCGCCGACTTGGTTGATCGCCGCGCATGTCCCATTAGCTGATGTTATCTGCCATCTTACTGTGCGCTGATGTGTTGGGTCGGGGCCATGGTGGCCTCTGCCAAGGACGGATTGAGCTCCCGAGGGCGCCCGAGCACTGGAACCCCGTCCTTGGCCCACCCCGATAACTCATCGGCCAGGGTTCCCTTCCACTACAAGACAACTCCGGCAGCTACACGACGGATACATACAGTGTAGGTACCTCCATGTGACAGCGTACCCTTGGCATCGAAACATGAGAGCCCATGGACCCGGCCCGGCTGCAGGCAACTGTCACGGCAAAGGCCTACCGGCAAATGTACCATAGACGAAGGTTGAAGTGCAAAATGGGAGGAGATTTGGGGACAGTTGGTCAATGTCTTGCATCGACGAATTGGGGCGGCTCGGATCAACATTCCACCGCTTTGACTGTTTGCCGGACTCCGGCCGTCTCTAGTGCGTCAATGTAATAGCGCAATTCCCCTAGCCAAAGGATGTACTTACTGTACATAGTAAGACCCTACCCTACAACTCGGACCACCCCTAATGTCGGACCACCCCTAAATAGCAGAGTGATAAGGGATAAGTGTATTAAGTTAACTATTTCTTAAAAATCAGAGATAGGCTTAAAGCACATGAAACTTTGTAGATAGCTTTTGATAAGCATAATATATTATAAAATATATCTAGTATAATTCTCTATAGGCTATAAAGTACTATATCTATATAAGCCCTTATCTATAAGAGTAGATAAGGTAAAATAGGTATATTTAAGTATATAATATATATAGATTGTTTATATTATATATTAAGTATAAGAGAAAGTACACTAAAAATCTTATGTTCTTTAGACTTTTCTCTAATTTTTAAAAAATAGCTAAATCTGTAGATTTAGTGTAGTAAATCTGTGAATTTGGTGTGTATTGGCATGGTCCGACATTAGGGGTGGTCCGAGTTGTAGGGTGGGGTCTTATGTTGCCAAATGGTGTATGGGTCAGTGTTGACAGCAGGGGTAAAAAAAACTTCGGCTGGATACCATAGTACTATGGAGCGGCTATCGGGGCCTAGCCCTCCACTAGTGAGTAGGTCAGCTGATGATAGGGGAATAGTCGGTTACACCACTTGTCCCCGCAGTTTCTCTGTGTAATCCTCCGCTTGAAAGGGTAGCAGTTAATAGGCAGACACATTACAGGTCTGCCTACAGACCCCTAAAATACTACACTACAAGTAATAATTAATTATATAAGAATACTAAATATATTTAGATATTCCAACTAGCTTATCTAGTTAATATAGGTCTAATATTTTTCTGTTAGTTTTTTACTAGTTAATTAATAGGGATCCCTATCTTATAATATTACAAAGGTTAAGAAAAGGTAGTTAATTATTGTTAATAGTTAACTAGTTAACAAGGTAAAGTAGGAGTATAAGTGTAGTAGTACCCTTGCGTATAGGCAAAAGTAGAGATTCTGCCAGTAGGCAGTGTATTATATAACCTACTACCTCTGGCTGTATTACCTATATGCTAACACTAGTAACTTTCTTGTGTAGTAAAAGTCACTAGTGCTCTTATTCCTTTTAAAAAGCCTAAAAACATAATAAAAATAAAAAAAGCAAAAGTATTACACTTTTTATAGTTATATACTACTATAAATTTATTTATTTATTTACTTAGTAAAGGTAGGCTTATATTATTTTATTTAGGTATATTTCTTTTTAGCTATAGCTATTAGAGGTATATACTTATGTTAAATAGATTTAACTACTATTAATCTATATAGTTTATATAACCTATTTTCTTCTTTAAGTGCCTATTATTCTATATCTTATTATTCTTATTATTTTTTATTATATTTATATAACTTATTTTTTTATTTATATTTTTACTTTATTATAAAAGATAAGACTCTTAAATACTTAGTTTAATAAGGACTTTATAAACCTATTAGTAAGGTTATTATTACTATAGATTTATTATACCTTAAAAAGCTTATATTACTTATATAATTATTATAGTACTATAATATTAATTATTAAGTGCTTCTTATAAGTAGTACCTAACTTTACTAGGCACTTATATAGTAAGTATAAGTTAGTGTAAGTAATAGTAGAAATTAATAAGTTACTAAGCTTATTTACTACTATTATAATAGTTATAGAAAAAGTATATACTATATTAATACCTATAACTATACTATAGACTTTTAATATAAGAACACTTTATATTACTTATTTAGATTTAGTTAATAAAAAATAAAGGATATTACTATAGAAAGTAAACTTACCTTACTTATTATTAACCTTTTTATTAGTAAAAAGAATAATAAATTTTAACTATAAAGTTAAGTTATAATTATTAGTAAAAGATTTATTAGTAAATATAAAGAGCTTTATATTAGGTAGGTTAAAAGGAATAAAGATAAGGCTATAGTTAAGTATATTTATCTACTACTAGATTCTCTAGTTAAGTTACTAAATAGCTTTACTATTAGGCTCCTTATACTAGGCTATAGTAGATAAGTTAAAGTATACTTTAGGCTAGTAGATAAAAGCAATATATACTTCTTAAGTATACTACTAGATATAGTTTTACTAGGCTATAGGTAATTTTTTATTAATAAGTCTTAGCTTTATGCCTTAGCCCTTTTAGTAAAGTATAATAGAAGTATTTTTAGCTAAAGTTAAAAAGATAATCCCTTTATTAAACACTAAAGGTTTATTCTCTATAAATAAAATTTTTTATTTTATAAAGAGCTTTACCTTAGTAAGCTTATTATCCTTATAGTTAAAGAAATTAATACTAGTTAAGCTAATTATATTATCTATTTATATCTTAATTATTATAAAGTTAAGGTTTTTTATAAATAAAAAGAGTAAGTATAGGTTATATAAAGTAGTAACTATATTAAGCTTTTCTTAGTAGTAGTAGTTATATATTATTTACTAATAAGTACTTACTTTAGTAAGGCTATATAATAGCTTTACTACCTTTATAATAGTGCCTTAAAGGTATTAATTATAGATCTAAAAGGAAAGTTATATATAAATAGTGTAGTTAAGTTATAAAGTTAACTATATATAGGCCTATATTATATTTTATAGCTATATTACCTTACTGTTAGCTATAAGGGAAAAGGTAAGCGCAAGAATTATATACTAGCTAGCTCTCTAAATTATAGGTAACTAAACTAGTAAGGTTTTTTTACTATTATTACTATAACCTTATACTATAAGTTATAATTTCTTATATAGCTTATTATTTTTACTTTTAACTTTATTAACAAGGTAAAATTTAAAGATATAGCCCTAGTAAATAAAAGGATTATATATAATAATCTTAAATATACTATAGTTAATAAGGCCTTAGATTTTACTCTTTTTTAACTATTTAAAGGGCTTACTAGGTGTAGTAATAACGCCTTAGTTATATAGTTATTATATAAGGGCTAGGTTAGCTTCTTCTTTAGTAGAAAGAAAAGTAGTAAAAAGAGGTTTATTTATTTTTTATAGTAGTATATTAACTAAAGTCTTATATAGTTGCCTATAGGTATACTATATAAGAGGAAAAGCTATAGTTTAGATAGGTGCTTTTGTTTTTATAGTAATAATAATAGTATTCTTTATACGTTTACTAGTATAGTTAATATCTATAGGTTAGTTAGGTTAAGGATTTACGTTAGTAAGCTTATTTACTTCCTTCTTAGTGTAGTAAGGTTTAACTAAAGTAAAATAAAAGTTATATAGGCTATTAATATTAATAGTATAATCTTTACTATTAATAGATAGTAAGTAGTATAGGCTAAACTATTTACCTTTTTTACACTATACTTATACTTTGCTACCTAATAGTAGGTCCTTAATAGTAGAGGTATCTAGGCTATTATATACCTTAAGTGCCTTATAAACTTAGTGTATTATATAGCTTTTATAGAGGTTATTAGTAGCCTTCTAGATAGTAGTTGCTTATTAAATAATATTAAGTAAAAGAGTAAAGTTAGTAGTTATATAGAGGTAAACACTAAATACTAAGAGGGTTAGTATAAAGCTATTAGGGCCTATAGTGTTATTAACTACCTTAACTATACTCTAAAGGATAAATTTATAGTTAGTAGTTAAGTACTCTTTATATATAATTTTATAGGCCTATTAGAGCACTATATAGTATTATTTAACCTTTCTAATACTATAGTACGCCTTAATAAGGATAATCTTAACTTTAATACCTATTGCGCAGGCTTTATACAAAAATTCAGTTATAGTAAAGTTTCTGCCTACGTTAGTAATAATCTAGTCTAGAGGTCCTTAGTAGACATTAATTTTGTCACAGGACAATATACAGCCGACCTTCGGATCCACTTTCTCGGCCTTGCCAATGGATCCATCAGTCAGGCCGATATCCTGCCGACAGCTGGTGCCCCACTGGGCCCCACCTGTCGCCAGTCTATAAGACCGGCCGTTGCCAGCCATAGCTCTAGCTTAGTTAGTCATCAAATCCATCACCTATTTAACCGTATCAAGTGGTAGCACAACCAGTTGCAATACCATAGGTAATTAACCCTCTGCCGCCATTAAATTCACAATAAGAGGCAAATACACTAATCGCTATTAAAAGCTATTTAATTAGTTATCTTAAAGGCAACTAATTAGAGGCATCCCTTCACCAG